CAAAAAGTGTGTAAGCATTCATAATAATAATAATAATAATAGCCTTATAGTCCACTCCAAATGTTATTAAACCGAAACGGAAATTCTTTTTGCCCAATTGATCGTGAGCCCGGCAGCCACTGAGCAGCGCCAGATCGACGTTGCTCTATCCTTTATTGTTGAACGCCAAACAAGCCCATCTTTTAACGTCTTTTGGTATGACGCGGCCGGGGTTCGAACCCACGACCTCCCGGTTGTGAAATAAATAACAGAAAAAAGGGAAACATGAATGGGTGCAATTAAGTCAGCAGCATAGAAGACGGTTTCATAATTGTTCAGATAATTTGGTTTTGGCCAAACTGTTATTGTTTGTACTTTGTCATACTTTCTTGATAGAAATAGGTAAATGCCGTACATGAAAAGAAAGAATGTGGTACTTTTTTTTACTGTAGCAAATTAACATTCGAAAAAAAAAAAGGCAGTTTCGAGAATGGAACGGGACATCTATTGAAGGAAAAGAGCACCTATCAGATTTTGATAGGGCATTTATCAGATTAAAAAGAGAAAGGAGATCATAAGAATGTGGTACTTTTTTTTTACTGTAGCAAATTAAAATTCGATAAACCTTGACTAAATGCTGATAAAAAATAAAATAAATGAACCGTTCACCAATGATAGTAAACGGCGTGAAACGGATTAACTAGAGAGAGAGAGAGAGAGAGAGAGAGAGAGAGAGTGTGTGTGTGTGTGCAGGCGCGTACGCAGGGGGGGGGGGGGTTTGGGGTTAAACCCCCCTTGAGTTTTTTTTATGTGTATGTTTTGTGTATGTCTTTTGTGAAACCCCCCCTTCCTTTAAAAAAAAAAAAAAATTATGCCAATGGCTGACCTAAAAAAGGTGACCTCCCCCCCCCCAACGGAACATAATGACAAATTTTCAATTTCGAGATAAAAAAGTGTCCTCTTACCCCCCCCCCCCCTCACCCCCGCGTGCGTGTTTGTATGTGTGTGTAGCGAATAGTGTCTTATTAATATATATCTCTATGATATGCACGTAGCTCTGTGTTGTATGGTGGAGTGGAAACAAATGTTGCCTTTTCAATACAGGAAACCAAGAATACGAAATAGAATACGAAATTTGCAAAAATGAGTTGCAATATGACCAAAATTTGAGATATCAATAATAATTGCCTACTACATGGTGAAATCAATTATGTAGATACTTCGATATAGGAGTTTTTTAAAAGTATAAAGGGATATTTTAGTTTTGTTGCAGAGGGCGCTACACAGAATAATTTTGTGTAAGAAAATGAAAAATTGAGTGTCAAATTTGAAAGAACATACAATTAAAATGACAAAATCATCTTTGTTTGATCAAAATCGGTTCAGAGACGGCTGAAATATCCATAAATGAAAGTGGAGCTGAATTGGTATGATCTTATGGAATTATGAGTGTGTGTGGGGTATTGTGAATGAATATTGTAAAAGCGTGTACTCTGATCACACAACATAACTCTCTTTTTAATTTAACTACGAGGAAACAAGGTTGCACTGGCAATAAAATACATGATAAAGTGTATTCCCTTTTCGTTATTTTATTGAGGTGAATAAACTGCAGACTAAACACTTGCAAAGCGTAGTCATGCAAGCAAATACATGATTCAGAATTATTTCCTTTTTTCTTTATTCTTTCCTGCTTTTTTCGAGTTTTATTTTCTGGTTATCAATTTCTTCAAACATCATATAAATTCCATTGCACATCATTTCAACAGGATTCTAGGGGTAGCATAATCATTCTTAAAATACATGTCTTTGCGTGTTAACCAATGGAAGCCTTGAGTATTTATCGGAGGTCAACAATTGGATTCGCCGGACTCCCGTTTGTTTATTGATGGACGCCACTAGTGTCCAAAGGGCACCTCCCGAGCACAGGGGCGGTGGAGTGTCTTCCAAAGTGGGGGGGGGGGGGGGGGGGGGGGGGGGGGGGGGGGGTTGGCACCCACAAAAAGTGCACTTTCTTGAAAAAAAGGGGCACCTACAAAGGGAAACCTCTTAAGTGAACATACACCATTTTTAGACATTGGTATATTTCCCTACATAATCATGATTGCGATAACACGACCAGGGATGACATCAGTATTTGTTTATCTCTTTACGTGGTACAATATACTGCTTAAGCAACATACTTTGCAGTTGGGTGTGATGATCTGGATATTAATATTCGAACGAGCAAACATTTTAAGATTTGTGAGGTCGCATTGTGTAAACTTACATCTTATAAAGAAGCATTTGATAAGTAACATAATTATAACAACTACAAATGCGAGCAAGCTCTAGGGAACATTAAATAAAAAGGGGCTCTAAGTCACTTTGAATTAGGGGATCATGTTATGGAGGAAGGAAAAGTAGGCACTTATCAGAGGGGAAAATGACAGTTATTAGAAAAGAAAAGGTGCATGTGTCAAAGTAAAAATGGCAATTATCAGAGGTGAAAATGGGGCACTTCTTACATCTGAAAAGGGACACTCAACAGAGTTGAAAAAAAGGCAGTTTCGAGAATGGAACGGGACATCTATTGAAGTAAAAGAGCACCTATCAGATTTTGATAGGGGCATTTATCAGATTAAAAAGAGAAAGGTGATCATAATTATAAAGAAGGTAAAGGGGCACTTTACCGAAGGAAATATGGTACTCATCAAAGATGAAAAGGAGTACTTATCAGAAGGGGAAGGGGGCAATTATTTCACTGGAAAAGGGGCATTTGTCAAAGTAAAACGTGTACCTGTCAGATTTGAATAGGGGCAATTATTAGATGTGAAGAGGATACTACTCAGGGGTGATAAAGGGTACTTCTTGTACCTGAAAAGGTGGCACTAACCAGAGATGAAAAAGGGCACTTATGAGAATGGGAAATGGGCACTTATTGCAAAGGAAAATGGGTAGTTGTCGAAGGAAAAGAGGCACTAACCAGAGATGAAAAAGGGCACTTATGAGAATGGGAAATGGGCACTTATTGCAAAGGAAAAGGGGCAGTTGTGAAGGAAAAGAGGCACTAATCATGTATTAGAGGCATTTATCAGAGGTGAAAGGGACACTTATGAGAAAGTGAGAGGGATCTTATAAAGAAAAATGGAGGTGCACTTATAAAAAGGAAAAGGGGGCACTTTTTAGATGTGGAAGGGGCAGTTCTTACAAAGTGAAGGGGGCATTTTCCCTATGTAAAAAGGGGCAATTTGGGGGTACCTGAAAATGGGGGGGGGGGGGGGCTCTGTGCCTCCTGTGCCCCCCACCCAGGGGCGGATCCAGCCGACGGCAAAGGGGGGGGCCCAAATCTTGAGAAAATATTTAGCGGCGAATCAGCCAGCCGGCGAAAGGCGAATGAGTGGGGGGTGGCGTCGGATAAGAGCACATATATTTGTTTTTTGGGGTCCAGTTTTTTGGGAACATTTTTGCGCCGACTCAGCCGGCCGGTGAATATTAAAGCGGGGGGGGGGGGGGGTGCTGAAGAGGAGGACCACTATTTTTTTTTTTTTTTTTTTTTCGAGGGGGGTTGGAGGTGAAGCGCCGTTTTAGCATGACTTTCTTTTTAACTCTCACTTTCACCTATCCCAGATAACCCTAATTTTTTGTTGCTGCTTTGAAACCATTTCTTAGCGTCTCAACCCTAAAAAAATAGCGAAACTATTTTTGAGGAAAAGCATTATACTGAACTGAATAAAGAAGAATAATTTTACATTGGCTAATACTAATACTGATACTGGCTTAAGACAATATGGTATCGGCACAGTAAGATCCGGTATCATGTATAGAGGTATTCCAAAATGACATTCTGATAATCAACATTTTGTTCTGTTATCATATGTATATACGCATAATACAACCGATCTTTGTGATTTCTTATTGACATAGCTTCTTCTCCCCCTGCATATAAAAAAGAAACCAAGGTTTTTTAATAAAAGGATCATGCGACGCATGCGACAAAATGATCATTGTGATTCAAATTGATGCAAGGATTTTTTTGAATAAGCAATGCTTTTCACCAGAATCTTCTTGTAAAACGACTTTTACAAATAAGCCATGCAATTCTGCCACTGTGTTGAAAGATCGTTTTCAGATTAGGAGAAGTGTATTCTTTGATGAGTATTTTTAATTGAATGGAACGTCTCAACTCAGTAAGCACGGCTGATATTTGTAAAAGTTGTTTTTGCAAAGAAGATTCTGGTGAATAGCAGTGCTTATTCAAACAAATATTCGCATCAATTTGAATCACAATCATTATTTGTCTCTTAATCCCTTTTAATGACCTTCTTTTCTTTCTCGTTTGACAAAGAAAGCGGACAAAATATACAGTTCCCCAGGTAGACAAAGGAACATCCCTTCACTGCTATTATGTAAAAAGGTGAATATGCATGTGACACCTGTTCTACACATTTTTACATAATAGCAGTGAAGGGATGTTCCTTTGTCTACCTGAGGAACTGTATATTTTGTCCGCTTTCTTTGTCAGTCATGTTCATAGATATGTCACGTTAAAGACATCATAAAGATCAGTGTTGTATGCGTATATACACAGGCCCCGCGGAACGTTTATCAAAGTGGGGGGGGGGGGGGCTAAAGTATTTACGATCACGTAGAGGGTAGCGAGCGTAAATTGGTGTGGAGGGTTCAGGGGGCGGAGCCCCAAGAAGCTCAGGGGTTTTAGGCATTTAATTACGGTCAGAGAAGCACAAATATTTTGATGCCGCATTTGTGTAACTGGCAGATCAGGGGGGGAGGGCGTTTTTGTTGTTGTTTTTTTAAGGTAAAATTTACGTAACTATCCTATTTTTTTAACGGTTTGGGAGGCTGGGGGGGGGGGGGGGGGAGGTAGAAACGGCCCGTGGATCCGCGGAGCGCCGTATCAGTCCGAGCCCCGTCCAATATGTGACAGGGTAGAATTCAAGCGTAAAATACACCCGACTCCCTGGCGGGTTTGAAATTCGACGACTTTTTGGCAACCGTTCGTAATGTGACGCATTCAGGCACGTCTTTGTTGGAGGAGTGTTATCTGGTGCTCGTGATTGTATTTGTTTACTAATACAAGACGTATATCCATTAGGATTATCATAAAAATATCAGCTCCAACGGATTGCTACTCAACACCGGTGCCACGTACTACGTATTTCTTTCGTTCATAGTTAGTTGTAACTGAATTCATACAAACATGTTTACTATGAGAAAGCTGCTACGTTTGGCTGTGAATCAATCAACGGAAGAATGGTCAAGGTAGGCATAATGTGACAAATTAACACTTGTAACGTCACAATGAACGTACATCTAGCACTCACCCAATGTACATTTGATAGTTCTAGAGTACAAAATTATCATCATAGTAACTACATGTATGTGTATAATGTTTATATTCTTTATATGCCTTCTAAATATACACTGATGGTCATACAAATGGAATAATGTTTTTTACCTCAATTTATGGAATGATTTTGACAATGATTTATTCCTAATAGATCTAGAAAATAGTATACATTCTCAGATGTTATTGAATAATAATTAGCGAGTGTTTTTTTGCATGACTGCTAAAGCATGTATATGCTACAATGTTTATCAACAAGAGGACCTACATCTGTAGTCATAACTGACAGTAATGAGGGTAAAAGCCTCAGAAAAGGGCACTAATATAGCTGATCGACACGGTTTTGATCATGGGGCCTCACAGTTACTAGGCCATTGCTTTGCCACTGAATCATGACTGTACGCAGCGGGGGCTAGGGTAGGGGGCAGCAGTGGCGGATCCAGGGGCGGGGGGGGGGGCCCTCCCCACGGAAAAAATGTGTAAAAACATGTTAATTTAACCTTAGTTTTTTGGAGATGGGCCCCTTCCCCTGGCGCTCAAGGGGGGGGGGGGCTATTTCGCCGCTAAATATTTTTTCACGAATTGGGCCCACTCCCCTGCCGCCGGCTGAATCCGCCCCTGGGGGGCAACCCCCACAAACGAAGAAAATGCAATAAATTATCAATAATTCATTGCATTTTCCCCCGGTCCCCAATATAAAGAAAAATCCTCTGTGTGGCCATGCCTTAAACCACAAGGCGTGGCCGTACAGAGTAATGATTCAGTGGCAAAGCAATCGCCCTCATGTTGGGTAAAAATTGAGTAATTTTGTGCCCAATATTTTGTAGAGTGTACTCCGACCTTTACACCTACCTCACCATATTTACCCCGACTAGCTCTTAACACGACCTTTACCCCCACGTTAAATTGCCTCCGTCTGAGTGTGCACTGTCAGAGCCAACCCCATACCTCATTTAAATTAAGGTAGATTCCAAGCGTTACGGAATGTCACTTGTCCAGGGAATTTTCTACTCTTTAATGGAGAATATCGTAGACATTTTAATGATGATCCGCAGATCAATGATATGATATATTGACTTTCACCGCATTTGGGTTTCCTTTCAATCAAATTCATCAAATTTATGAAATATTGAATTTTATATACTTTGTTACGGACAGACCTAGAAAGTGATTTTGGGGGTAATTCCGTAAAAAAGCTTTGAAAAACAAAGAATATATGTCTGCAGTAGTTCTTTGGTAATAGCTAGTCGCTATGTAAACGTTATTCGTTTTTGAAATGGTCAATTCACCATACATGTAGTCAGTATTTCTGGTTGTGGCGCTAATCTATTCGTTTGACAATGTGCTTAGTTCAACATATTTCAATGTCTTTGTTTTGTTATAGCTTTTGCAGTGGTAAGCTGAAACCATTGTTCTTAACTCAGTTCTGTAACTTAAGATGGCAGACCACTGCATCAACCGTCACATCGAGGTAAGACTTCTTGATATCTGGGTTCATTTGTGAGGGGTCCTAGATGGAATAAAGGGGGCGGGATGATAACATGAATTTAAACTATATAATGGAAATGAAAACATGAATAAATAACTCTATAAATATTTATATATCTATCAAATGTTATTGTAATGTCTCCCCTCTTCATGCCCTTGTACCCCTTGACGTCAGTAGCCATAGACTCTATTTCGACAATAAAACGCAATAATTCACGAAGTCTTGAGCTAAACACAACTTGTGAGTCTCTAAACCATGGACGCACCTACTAGTCCATGGTCGAACGGGGCCGATATAATTATGAAATCCAGTAAAGTAGACCATGCATAATCTTTCAGTTCAGACACTCCTCTACGGTTGACATAATTGTGTACCGTTTAGCTATCCCTCTGTTGTGTCATGGTTTCTTATTAAGCCTGTTGATGTGAGTGATATACTTAACTGTATTTATGTAGCAACTGAGAAAACATATCGGTTTGTAAGGTGCATACACAGTCCCAGACACAACGGTGTTTATTATTTTCTTCAGTCATCATTTAAGCGAAAACCACGTTATCTATCAGTCTCGTAAACTCTACATTATAATGGGACTTTGTACTAATCCGTTCCAAATTCCTTCTACGAGTAGGCTTACAATCATGTGTGTATTGTTACTTTTGTACAAAACCCAAGGATGCAAGTCAATTTAGTTCTTATGTAATCAATGAAATGGACGGATTCTCATTTCTGGAGCGAATACCTATTTTTTTGTGAGGGGGGGGGGGGGGGGGAAGGAGAGGAGGGGCAATTCAAAATTCAAGTGAATGGACATTGGAAGCAAACCAGTGAGGGGGTTAAGCCTACGAGTGAGAAAGGCTGCGGGGGGGGGGGGGGTCGGCTTTGAGCCCTGTGAACCCCAATGAGTGGCGTTGCATTCTGGTCAAACTATTCCTGTTATTCAGTAGTCCCTTGTACATGGTAATACGATTTAATCATATGAGATAGCTTGTCCCGAGGTAAGTTTCTTAATGTTTCTACAACTTACAAATCACACTTAAAACAGAATTATGTTATGATCTAGGAAACTGTTATTCAAACTTGCCATTGCATTCGAGTTTGCATGTGGGCAAAACATTTTGTACGTTCTCATGTGATATCAAGATATAATATCTGAGTTGAGCTGCTTGAGCAAATGGAAACTGTTTTAATCGTAATTTAGTGTTCCTTTAAACAAACTGTTATAACATAATGTGTAACGTAATATGCAATGGTATTTCTAAATAATTTTCAATTTCACGTTAAATATCTGTAGCATAATGTGCTCAAATTCACAGCTTGTGTTCTTTCCACTTACTATGGGTGAATCGTGATGTTGAAAATACATGGGTAACCACTTTGGTCCCAAATCATTTAATTACGCCCCCCCCCCAAAAAAAAAAAACCAAAACAACAACAACAACAACAAAACCGCTGCCAATATGGCTTTTGAAGAAAATCCAAGTTGTCATACTTTCTGAATTTTGTTTGCTCTGTTTGGCCTGTTGCTAGTATCGCTGGATAGAAATGTTTATGTAGGACATAAATTCGGTTTCATACGGAGAGCGATATTTTACTATGCGACTGCTGCTCGGACAAGCATAGTCATACCAAGAACTTGCAGAGCTGCTAACACATCTGCTGATCTGGCTTATTCGCATTCGTAATAACTGACCAATATAATCTCTTTCCTTTTTATTTCTATTCAACACAGTCGCCCTAAAGACCAATCTAGTCGCGATGAAGCAAATTACAAGGCCCGTGTAGACCTGGCTACAACATACAGAGCGTTAGAATTTTTTGATATGGGCGAGGGCATCTGTAACCATTTGACTCTTAGAGCGCCATCTCGCGTCAGAGAAGAAGATGTGATGCTACTCATCCCATACGGAATGCACTGGAAAGAGGTAAGTATCGTAGCAGCCTCACACATTGTTTCCAACACGTCCCCCTCCCCCACACAAGCTACACACATCATCACGCACATTCCTATTGGCAGATCATTCTACCCTCCAGCACCCGTGGGGGGGGGGGGGGCGGTGAAGGCGGTCGCCCCCCCAAAAAAAAGCCGGCCAAAAAAAAAAAGAGAGAAAAAAAGAAGAAAGAAAGAGGACGTAGGGAGAAAAAGGATTAAGAGTCGAGAACGGTAAAACGAATCGTCTTCTTTCTCTAATGATTTAATGAAACGTCAAAGCTTCCGCGCTTCGCGCGGGAGGGGGCAAATTGAATTCAGACAAGGATTAAGAGTCAATTGAGAATGGTACAACGAATCGCCTTCTTTCTCTAATACTTCAATGGAACGCCAAAGCTTCCGCGCTTCGCGATGGGGGGGGGGGGGGGGGGGAACTCCACCCTCCCTGCACCTACCCTCCTAGTGAGCGCGCTCTGTAATGGCACAGTCACACGGCCACTTACGGTAGCTGCGGATGCTTACGGATAAAAGTCCGTAAGCATCCGCAAGGATCCGTATCATCCGTAAGCATCCGTATCCATCCGTAATTCAATCCGCAGGATCCGCAGACATACGCAGATCCGCAGCGGAATTTTGAAAATCTCAAAATTTTGCTGCGGATGAAATATACGTAAGCATCCGCAGAATATACGTTATCCATACGTAAAATACGTTATCCAAATATACGCAGGCATCCGCAGGTCCGTAACATGGCCGTGTGACTGTAGCATAAGTGATTCGCACGCTTCGCGTGCTCACTTCCGCCCCCCTAAAATGAAATCCTGGCTACGCGGTTATATGTATGCTTCCTATAGTTTCAGCAGATGGTCCGGAATGGGTATAGCTTATTACACTTTTAATGTTATATCTATAACTCCTATTTTATCCCATGAGGTGAGAATACTGGAATATAAAAAGTGAATTAGTTCTACGGTTTTTCACGAAGTGTGCACTTTTTTCTTGATAAGGTGACTGCTTCGGGCCTACTGGGAATGGATTTCTTCACCGGAGAAGTTATAGAGGGAGATGGAGAACCGAATATCTCTGCTTCCTGCATACACAGACCAATCCATAATGCACGTTATCCAATAGACGGGATGACAGCAGTATTGCACACTCACCAACCTTACACTACAACCATCGGTAATCCATACAAACTATTGGTAATGCGTGAAGAGATTGATACGACATAATTGCAACTAAACTGTCGGACAAATTAACTCAAGGGCAAATTCATTACCCTACTGTACATCATATAGAAATCATGTTCGGATTAAGTAATTAATGGGCGCACATTTCAATTGGTGATGGACAGGACTATTTAATTTGCCCTGGGTTAGTTTTTCGTTAGTTGTTTCGGTGATGTTATGCGAATGTCTTTGATGCCAAAATTAATATTACGTAACTTCTATCTGTAATTTATAGTTTTACATATTTCTGATTTGTAGGCACAGTATTCATTAGATTAGTATTAGTTATTTCGAGGCCCGGTTTCGAGGACTTTGCACTCTTAATTGTGTACTCTGAAATTATCTGATTCCCAAAGCATATCAATATAAAATCACAACAAGGACCTAGGAGTTTCTTTGAAGAAGATAAATGATACATGTCTTCATTCGTTGATTCTACGATCCATATCGTCGCTCGCATCACGAACCGTCCTCTCCGCGTATTTCCAAGCGAAAGTCAGTTTTGCAGAAAACGCGTTTAAAAGATAGAACTTTTTGAAACGGTAATTGTTAGACTTTAGAATAGATTATATTAACAATCAATGGGACGACTTGAGAGCTTAGGTCTTAAAGTTTTATACAGTGTGTTATATTTTCTTGAGTTGGAGTAGTTTTGCTACAATTGGTTTGTAAACAGAGAGGACGGTTCGTGGAAAAGATAAAATGCGCGATCACGCTAAGCGAATTCACCACGAACCGTGAGCTCTACTTGCGCGCGTGTACAAATTGAATGGAAGGCTCTGGTACTGCGCGCAACAGAGGACGGTTCGTGGTGCAGACAAATCCTGTAATTACTGAGCGGACGCTTTGTGATGATTACGGTATTACGTAACCAAGCATATTCACGCTCTGAAATTTTTACAGGATGTAGGTAATCATGAATACATGCAAAAAAAATAAAAAATGAAAAATGAAAAAAACAGCAAATTTTGCTAAAGAGGATCACAAACCGTCCTCTCCGCGCATTTCCAAGCGAAGGTCAGTTTTGCAGAAAACGCGTTTAAAAGATACAACTTTTTGAAACGGTAATTGTTAGACTTTAGAACAGATTATATTACAAATCAATGGGACGACTTGAGAGCTTAGGTCTTAAAGTTTTATACAGTGTGTTTAGATTTTCTTGAGTTGGAGTAGTTTTGCTACAATTGGTTTGTAAACAGAGAGGACGGTTCGTGGAAAAGATAAAATGCGCGATCACGCTAAGCGAATTCACCACGAACCGTCCGCTCTACTTGCGCGCGTGTACAAATTGAATGGAAGGCTCTGGTACTGCGCGCAACAGAGGACGGTTCGTGGTGCAGACAAATCCTATAATCGCTGAGCGGACGCTTTGTGATGATTACGGTATTACGTAACCAAGCATATTCACGCTCTGAAATTTTTACAGGATGTAGGTAACCATGAGTACATGCAAAAAATGAAAAAAAATGAAAAATGAAAAAATAGCAAATTTTGCTAGAGAGGACGGTTCGTGGTGAGGGGGACGATATGCTCTCGTTAAGGCTGTTTGTGCACCTGGACTTTACCGGAAATTTTGGGAACTGTGGGAACTGGGGGGGGGGGGGGAGGGGGTACCAGGTTTATGTACGATAGATGGGGATAGATCGTATAATGAAATAATTCATATATCAATCTTCCTTTTAAATCTTTCTAGCTTGCATGAAGGACCCTGAACCGTTCAAGATTGGCCTGAGTCAGAACAGCATGCGTTTTCTGAACAAGATCGCGTATGACATGCAGTACGACGGGTTTGCAAACGTTTCTGATGAAGGCGAGAGGTTAGCCAAGGTATTAGGAGACAAGGACCTTCTCTTAATGGGACAGCATGGAGTCTTAGCAGTAGCCAAGAGAGCATGCGATGCATTTGATAATTTGTATTATCTCGAAAGAGCGGCCCAGATACAGGTTTGTAAAATATTATAACAAGACAAAACATTCATGAGTACATTCTGCTCATATTAAATGCGATTAAAAGCGATAGTTTTTTTATAGTTTTTTTAATATTTTAAATTTAATTTTTTTTTTAAATTTTTAAATTTTTTATTTATTTATTTATTTTTATTTATTTATTTATTTTTTTTTTTTTTGGGGGGGGGGGGGGTTAAATCCATGACATAAATAATGAACCTCCCACCCCCAAAAATAATAACCCACCCCCCCCCCCCCCCACAAAAAAAACAAAAAAAAAACGCGGGACCACGGAATCAATCAATAGAGAATACTCTGGGGGGGGGGGGGGGGTGTCGTACAGGAGGTACACATAGAGCTATGCTATGACATTCTTGTACTTATGCCCCATAAATCGTACTACATTTTACCAATTGCTTTGTCAGATTGTGTTCATTTACTGTAATATTTATATTTATATTTATTTGATTTATAAAAAAGGGAATAACTGAGAAGGCTTAGATTACGTTTCAGTCTAAAGATTACCTGATGTTATGGATCCCTTTTTCATCATATCTATGATTTTGGGTCTTTTTCTACACAGGAATATTTCCAAAGTGAGATTCCTCCATGTATTCATTCATTCACGCATCCTCTCCTCTCTCTCTCCATCCTCTAAAAATGCAGGTTCTTCTAATGTCTTCTGGGGCCCAAGGAATGACCGCAACTCCTGAAGTCATAAAATCCGTAGCTGACGATGACTGCTACGAGCATAATGCATCGGCATTTTTTGAAAGCATGAAGAGAATTCTGGCCAACGAAAAACCAAATTTAATGGATTAAGAAGATGTGTTTCGTTTTCTCATGATGGGGAATAACTGTGGAAGCGCAATGAGATGTTATCCATACAAAAACTAAATTGTATTTTTTCGAAATATATACCCTATATCTTTAATGTTTACAAATAGCAATATACTAAAGATTTAGAGTGGCTGCAGTTTTTTCTTCTCGTAAGTCAAATAAAATATGCCTCTCCAGTCTCCAGTCATGACCAGGTTTGATTCCTGGAGTTGTGCTTTTTACCCCTATTGAAGGGCATTTAAAACGGCCTATTTCAAGTGATTAGGCGACCCATTGTTGGGCTCGGAAAGAGAACAAAATGTTTGTTCATGTAATAAAAAAGTAGAGACTTGCCCTTGAAGTATTGATCATGGTTCGAAGGCCATTTATTTTGCCGGTTCAGAAACGAGACCAGCTTATTTTGGCCTCCGAATGAAAATGATGTACGCTCAATGTTGAGGGCAATGTTATGATTTAGAAATTCAAGATGGTAGCATTATATTACGAGATGAAGAACGAAAGTTAAGGTTTACATTTATAATTTGTAAATGATTTTGGTTACGCATGTAACTAATAATGGCTCTACATCAAGTTAGAATCATGATAATGGAAAAATATATGAATGGACCTCGCTTATATCCAAAAGATTAACATAGTTGTAATGTATCTTCTACACGCTTTTCCGTTGCAGCTATACTTGATTATATTATATGAAGAATGTGATGGTCATAAACAAAATTGAAAGGACTCGCAACCATTCCTTTGTAAGAATTTATTTTCAACGGACTGAAATCTTAATGGCATTTTGGGGAAAATGAAGGCTTGTTTTTGATTGCTTCCCTTCAATCACGGGATTCTATCAAAAGGCATGAATCCGATTGAAATTTAATTATATTTCTACTCCCTATCCACTAAAGTATTAACTAGTACCATCGCTTATCCTTTCACAGAGTCAGATAAACGTCCCTACAAATATATTTTATTGGTGCAAGCCAAGTTTTTCAATTCTATATTTCATATACAGATATCAGTGTACCTATTATTTGGCTAAAATTATGTTTAAAATTTATCTTGAAGACTAAGCATTATATATCTTTTATATTTCTATGACCGATAATGAATTATATTTCAAATGCAATTGTTGAAAAAAATATTATTTATCTTTTTGGAAAATGATTTCAGATGATTTTCCCCTTATTTGAATCGATTTCAATAATCTTTTCGTAATTTTACTTTCATTTCTCACATATATATATATATATATACCTATACTTGTGTATCATTATGTAACACTGTTCTAAACGTATGAACGAGAAAGCAATTATAGAGTGGGGACGGCTTATCTATATGAACCTATACTTCTCATATCCAAGAAGAATATTTGTCCTTCTCTTTTTGAGGGGGGGGGGGGGGTAATTCGTGTATTCCTTTTCTACACTTGCCTGATAAATTGTTTAGGGTGATTAAAAAATGTAGAACTGCTTCTCACTGTAATATACATGAAGAACTGTAAAATTAAACTTTTACCAGGGAATTGACGTCATTATTCTGTATATTGTTGAATCTTTTTTTTCTTCATGAGTTTCATATGATTTGTTAAGGCATTATAAATGAGCATAATGCCGACTGTTTTGTGGTTTAGTCATAAAGGCCGTCACCAGACCATTTTAAATGGGGAGTGGAGTGTCGAACAAAGTTATCGACAAGTCAGCTCAAAATTTTCTAATTTGCCGACAAGGAAAATTACGTTTGTCGGTTTTTCGAATATGCTGACAGACGTTCACATCTTTTACTGGCGTACAAACAAAATGCATTTGAGATTTACCAACAGCTTTAATAAGGGTGTCACACCCCACCTTCTGTATCGACGCCCCCTCTTTATTCAGGCTTGGTTTTCTCTTTACATGCAATGTAAATATTACAAATGAGTGTAAGCTCTAAAAACTAAGGTATGCTACCACAAAGGGATGCTGTATTCAATACACTTCAGAGTGTGTGCTCAAAATGCTTTAACTTTGGAAATCTCTTTGATATAGCTCTTTTTCTATTACTAAACTATCTGGTGAAAACATATTACAATGTATAACATCTGGGTCCTACCGCTATATATACATCGGGAAGAAGAAAAGCAATGTCGATATCAACTCTTATTGAAATGAAAAGTTATATATAGGCGAATGTTATAATTTTTTTTAAACGGATTCACATGTATGAATTACTTATGTCCTACAATGATAAAACCTGTTGTAAAAAAAGAAGGCGGATGGAAATCAACTTGTGGATCTATACATATTTTTTCAATAAAAGAGCTATTGATAATAGTGACGTGTTGAAATGTGCTTCTGTTTCTAAGGTATGGAAGCAATTGTTTAGGATCTAAACTTTTACTTTGCTATGTCACGTCTAACAACGAGGGTAGCATGAATATAAATGTTCCCTTAATATAATCATTCACATTTCTACTACACTCATATGAATAAAAAGAGCAACTCGTCAATCGCACAACACAGCAAATTTATTTCAGCCCCAAACAGTACATTTTACAATCATTACGTCGCTAAAGAAATGCCACATATACCAGGCGCGGATCCAGGATTTCTTAGGGGAGGGGGCCAACTTTTTTTTTTTTTTTTGCTCCCGAAAATTTGAAAATCGCGCCGGCCGAAAAGTCGCTCAGTGGGGGGGGGGGGGGGGGGGGGGGGGGGGGGGGGGGGGTAGTGAGCACAATTTTTTTTTTTTGGTCCTCGAAATTTTTTTTGAGCGTCAGGGGGGGGGGGGGCCCAACCCCCAAAAAGGTAAAAATCGTGTGATTTTGCATGATTTTTTTCTCAAGGGGGGGGGGCCGGGCCCCCTCCTGGATCCGCACCATGATCACAATACACTAAATGTACTTTAAAGATTACCAATCGCCTGAAAAAAATCTGTGTAAATAGAATGTAAAAATCATAATCAAAAACCTTAAGTGGCATTATATATGTACATTTCCACAGTTCAGGAGTATAAAGGAAAAGAAAGGATAACAAAAACCCTACACAAAGGGCGTACACAGATCCTCAGTCAGACTTTGGTTCCGTGTGCGCCCTCTTTTTGCGTGTGTGTACGCGTGCGTTAATTAACTCAAGCTCAAATTGAAGTTCATTCATTTTTGCACATAATTTTTTTTCTTTTTCATTACACAATATAATCCCTTTTCTGTTCACTCTTTTTCAGTAAACTACTTAACTACAAGCGTTTGGTTTCTAAATAGAATAGCCAAGATAATAATAAAGCCTACAAGTACGTTTCATCATTCATTGTATAAAGCATTAGTGAAGGGGCTTACAGTGAAGCGAAACTTTGTTGGGGGCAGACCCGAATTAGATTGGAGGAAGAAGAGGGAATTAATGAAGGAAAGGGGAGTATAAGCTAAGGGAAGGGAGGACTGGCAAGGGGGAAATTGAGAACATTACAAGATAAAACAGACATTATCACAGGAACGGGAACTCATGGATATTAGACAAGACAAGGATGGATACAATATTTGTAGAGGGTTTGTATTATTTCAGTGGTAAGGTTCCAATACTACGTCGCGGCACGGAATACAGAATAATATATATATATTTATATGTACCATTACATAATTATGAGTGTATACATGCAAGATATCATAAGAGCATCAAATGCTTCATCATATAACAGCTAATAGTTTGTATACATATATAGCCATATGTTACCCCTAACGCCAACAGCAAACAAGTTTCGGTGACTGACACACCTAAAATACTGAGAAAACTTATCATTAGGTACAGTATTAAAACAAATTCAGGTTAATGAAAATCCGACCTCATATAAACCGGAAATATTACAAAAGCAAAAAGGGCTTGATTTATCTTTTTTTTCTCTCTCCACAAAAGACAGATATACTAACATATTCAAATATTATGTATACCCATAAAAAAAGTTGTTTTTGAAACCTAACAAATATGTCCGAGGCTTGCCCGACAAAGCAACAACATACAGGTGTCGTGGTCAAGTGGATACGTCACCGGACTGTGAATCACGAGGTCCGCGGTTCGAGCCCCAGCGCGGCACTAATGTCCTTTGACAAGACATTAATCTACATTTGCCACACTCAACCCAGGTGAGGTAATGGGGTACCTGGTAGGAATATTCCTTGAAATGCACTGTGCGCTGATAACGGCCGCCGGAGCTAAAGCTAGCTGGGTAATAATTTCCAAAGCTCTTTGGAAGTGCATAAAGATATTTCATAACGTATTATGCACTATACAAGAACTGAATATTATGCATACTGGATTTAAAATATTGTAGTTCATTCGTTAATAACAGGTTAATAGAATAACTCGTTACTAGGTCCCCAGAAAAGAAACATCCATAAATTTGAATATGTTAGTAAACCGGTAGATTCGCTGGTAGCCGCCCCAAAACCCCCTACTACATCATCATTTACAACGATCAATTCGCCCTCCTGCAGCACCCGAATATCTTCTGACAAGTAAGCATATCAACCAACAATAACAAAAATACTAAAGTTACATAATTAATAAAATAGTTTACCCACCATACCAATATATCTTATTACTTCACGGCTACTTAAATTTTTTGTTTTGGAATCAATTTCATCGTTGCAGGCATACATTTCATTTCACCACTTGCCGAATAAAAACAAATTATCACATGTACATTTTACAAATTGTAAGGATCAATGAAGATACAAGCTTTTACAATCTCCATTATTATAAAAAAAAAAAAAAATCATATTTCTTTAAAGGAAAATTAAACCCTAAAACATTAGCTGATAATCTTTTAAAAAATTGTCGCCCAGTTTAAACAAATCTTGAAATTAATCTTTTTATCTGGGAAGGAAAACTTACAGAATATCTCAAAAGTTGCAGATTTATTGCTAGTCATTTTCCTTTGGGAGTAGCCATTTTGATAAAAATAGTGATATGAAAGTAATACGTCTAACGAGGTACCCACTGACATGTATTTTACCTTCAATATCGGAAACACACCTCTTAAATGATGCCATAACAATGGAATAGACCATTTATATTTACTCCTAATTGCGACAAGATATTTGGTTCAGCCATTTGGAACAGTTGAGCACTTTCTTTTATTAAGCAACATTTGGCATGCATAAGTTGTTACTTGACCAGATAAAGCTCAGCCCATTATTCAAAAGACGTAAATAAAACTGCTCACAGAAATCACCTGTTTGAGAAGCTGGAGTATTAAACAAGATGGTCGTTCTTAATTTGCATCAATGGGGACTTTTAGATTTGCGTGGACTGATACGTGTGACGTCCATTCAAGGCAGTGCATTAAAAGGACGTCGCTCGTAGCAATCCACGTTGTCGTTCGGCAAATCTAAAAGTCCCTACTGGCTTTGGTTGCACAACCTCTTCTATTCTATGCATGTCAATGGATATGTACTACTCTAACATCACTATTGAAATAAGATTAAGGTTCTAAACACTGAAATCCTGGATGTAGCTCATGCTGCAATCATAATTATAAACCTTTAGGTCAGTCAGGAATCCCATGTTTTTACAAACTGATCACCTGTTGGATTATCAAGATATTTTTGATTGGAACTCATATTGTCAAAAACCGTTTTCCTAACGGTTTCTTTAAGACTACAGTCGATTGGGGGAAATGAGTATGGTAAAACCGGCCACTCAAAGATTTTTACTTTTTTGAGGCACTTCATGACCATTTTGAAGAGCAATTTTGTTAGGTTTTCAATATTACACCATATCACGGTCACTGATAACACGTAGGGCCATGCACATCGGATTTAACATTGTTAATCGATGCCTTTAAATCGAGATGGCACTCCCCTCCATGGGAATATTGTCATAAAGAAAACTGTTAACTTTGGAAATATAGGATACCTTGTTAAAGCCCAAGTCACATTAGGCGTACAACTGGTTGCCAACTTCTGACAACCAACATTAACTGCGTCCATGGACAACCAATTTGCAGGAACGTCTAGTGGGCGATCAGTTGCCTTTCGTTTGTAAAGCAGTTGCCGATCGGTTGTGGAATGCTGTATACGAGTTGTGTGATCATCGAAGATTTTCGCTTCATTTTCGGTTTCATTTTCCTTTCATTGAATCAAGTCTATAAAAAACCAAGCATATCTACCTATAGTTTATATCTTTCTTAAAAGTGGAACAGCTTATAACTTTTCGTACCTTCTGTCACCATTTATTCAGGGCGATTGGCCATATATATTGCTAGTCGCTATTTTTGTTCTCGACCCAAGTGTACATGAAGGTCAAAATTGTCCGTTCTGAAAAAGAACTTGGTTTAAAACAAGATCAGAAATCCAGTTTCAAAGATCATCATATGTATAAATCACTGCATACAAGTGTCGTAATGATTTATGTCAAGCTAATGATCATAATTATTAAAATCATTAAAAAGAAAAGCTAATCTACCAAGATCCTCTTATTTTCTCTTTCATCAACTTTTCTTGATCCGGCATTTATCTGAACCCCACAAATAAAGCAAAATGCATGTATATATATTGCATGTCTATATTGGCTATCAGTCCAGCTTCGGTTTACTGCTTAATTTTGTAGAGACTGACAGTGCATGAAGCTAACGGCCCATGCGACCGAAATATCGGCTGCCTGGGCCTTCTGTCCACTTCTCCGAGGGTTCACTAGACCAGCGGTCTCATGGGCTGTCGGTCTACTGGGAATTCCTGGATCTACTTGAAAAGGTTTTCCACATCGCTCTTGGTAAGGTTGTAAAGGTGCATCATGTTTGAAAGATGACTGAACTGGTCCTTGAACTCCTGTAAATTAAAAAGGACAATCAATTCATAATTCCATACTTTAATCTCGTTTTTCTTAAACTCCGTCTGTGTCAAATGTAATGGATATCCCTTTAAGTTGAAAACATTGAGTTCAGGAAAAAAGGGTCAAATGGACTGTCCATTTTCATATTCAGAACGACGTTAATTGCATTATCATGCATATATATGATGGGCCATTCAGGCATTGTAGGCTACATGACATTTATCAATCTATTTTATCCAGAAATTAAAATCTCTTGACATTACTACATAGTCAAATCAAGAAATTATTGAGAGAAAGAACATGATGTCTTACATGACACATGTCACGGGTTCGCCTTAATATACAATAGTTTTACATACCTTTGAGATGTTTGAGCAGGCTCTATTCAGTTTTATTGGACGAAGCTTTGGCTGATTTGCTATCTCATTACAGTAATCCATCACCATTTTTCTTTGCAAGGGATGTTCGTTGTAGTAAGGTAGATGATCTGACTCGCCCTGTATTGAGCAAAAAAGACGGAGGTTATAATATGTGTACAATATTCATCTTGTATTGTTATCTTCATCTAAAATCTCCTAACATCGAAAGTAATAATCGAATTAGTGGCCATATGATTGATCCAACGATTGTACACATATTTAGACTTTTCAAAACAACTGAAATATTAATTGTAATCGTTTTTAGTAAATCGATACATGTATGTATGATTTTTTTCGCTTTTGTTTTAAACAAGTACTTTAACTTAAATACTGTCCCCTCTACACTTCAATTCAATTACTAAATTGTGTGACGTAATCGGTATTAAAGATCACGACATAGGCTTTTACTTTTCCTGTCTCATTTGACTTTCTTAATTCCTTTGTTGAAATCAAAAGGTGACCGTGGAACGAAAAAGAAGAAACTACTGGGGATGAATCTTGTTGTTACGCTATATTGTGATATAGTTAATAAAAACATTGTCACCTGTTTCAGGGAAATGGTCTTGGTCGCATGCTTGAGAGCATCAGCAAGAATGTCTACACAACTATTAGCTGTTTCGGATCTCGGCATCTCAAACAACGATGGCAGGTTGGTGAGCACTGAACGCCAGAAATTTGACAAGCTACGAAAGGAGGAATTTACATAGGATACGTGTAGTTTAAAAAAAAAGAGCTTAAAGGTGCAGATATGCTTCTCTTTCAGGTTTTCTTTTCACATTCAACACCCTCGAAGTGCACATTTGCCCCTCTCAAGGTTCAATGTTTCGCCTATCTCATTCAGGGTGCAATTGTGCACCTTTTGAGGCTCAGAAAATTGCTATGCATCCTTTCGTTGGCTTGCTGGAAACGTATGTTTGGTGTTGTGTTCTAAACCTTTATCTCTTAGAAATGACACAAAGGCAATACACAGAGGAACTGTCATTATAACACGATTGATATATTAGACACAATCAGTGGGTATAATAAGTACAAAATCACGAACTTTAATAGTATTTTAGTTGTCATGCTATAGTGAATATCATAAAGTAGATTTTGTTAAACAACGAAATTGAGCGACACATATGTCAAATTTATACCTTAAAATTACATTAACCCTACTCACCAATTTTTCTTCCAATCTTTCGCGTAGGCTTCTCCATACTTCACAGCAAGTCCGTCAAACGTATCAAAGAGATGTTTGATTGGTAGAGGTACCTTTGCTGGCATCTTGAACATTACTTCGAAGATACCATCCACATATGGGCTGATCGACGCCTTAAATGTGAAAGAGATAGAGCTTAATCAGCGTATATTAACCCATGTAGATAAAATAAATTCCATCTGAAACTGGCAATCGAGTGCATTGGAACATAAATACCACGATGAGGTTAATCTCGGATGATATTTTACTAAATGAATCTCCAAGCCGGGTTAAGTAAAACAAGGAAAGAGGGAATTTATTTTCTTGTAAGTCTGTGCATGGAACACAAAAATCAAACGAAAAGTTAACATTCGAAACAAATACCAAAGGGTGAAAATACGAAAAGCTTTCCAACGTTAAAAGGATGGTTAAGACGATGAGCTGCATCTGTCTTCGCTAGTTTTCAGTTCATTATTTCCCTTATTATACTTATGAGTAAGAATGTAATACTGTAATACTGTAATAAAGTATAATGTCGAGGATATCTTTTTATTGACATCACGACTCACTTTCATTGTCAGCATGTGAGGAAATGCTAGATTACGATCAAGGTCTGCTCTCTTCTGTTGGATGTGGTCTGGCATAGTACTTTCCTTCATCTTAGATTGTTCAAGGTCCTGCAAAAAATAAGCGTTTATGCATTTTGTTTAAATCCTTCTCGTTCTCATTATTCATTATAGACCTAATTATCAGCGGACCTATCAATACAATCACTCGATCGCAAAGACTTTCAATAAATCAAACTGAGGCAATTTCTAAAGCCTTGTGAATCAACTGCTAAAATTGCGAACATTACAATGGGACATTTTGTAATCCGGAGATAGCCCCTTTCGGATTTACAAATAGGACAGTGATAATGTCCTTGAAATGATTTTCAAAAGTTGTTGTTCTTTATATTTCAAAATTATTTATCAAAATCAAAGTTGCAGAATATCAGACAATGTTACATGTTAGGATGATGCCACTACCATTACCAAATTTCAAAGTCTTTTCCACTCCATGTTATGATTATGTCGATCCTGTTTAACGTCTGTTTTTTTATATTTCAAGACATATAGTAAAATAATGACAATTACCTTCCACGGATATGTAACAATATTAAGCAATTCCTGTTCATTAATCAGAGTAGAGATTGATCTTAATACAAGAACAAATCAAGCATAAATCCTTATCAAGGGTTGTATTAACATGGTATTAATTGATCAACCGAAATTATCATACCTTCAGATGAATGACCTTTGAACCTTGTTGTGGTAGGTGCGAATCGAGGACATCTTCATCAGTCACGTACTGTAAGGATACATCTAAAATATGGATGAAAAAATAATAAATATTGCTCTACTTTCTTTCTCTTTCCATATATTAACGTACTAGTCGGCAAAATCCATTTATTTCTGTTTTATCTTAATAATCATAAACACTAAATAAGAAGAAATTAAGAAGGAATTGAAGATGGTCAAATGTTAAAGAAAAAGAACTGGATTATTGGACGTCACAACTATTTTAATTTTGAACTTGATTTTTTAAATTAAATTACAAATATTTGAGATAATGTATCTTCCAAATAAACCAATGATTTCTTACACTTGTCTGAAGCAACTTCCTTCAGATCTAGAGCTTGATACCCATCACCTTCTCCATGCTGCTTCGGTATCAGTGCCACACGATATTCATCTTGAATCTTAAAGCATGAAAGTCACAAAACGGAATAATAGAATAGAGTGTGCTTTAACTGCATTTTCGAGAATTATGTACGGTATATGCATCCATGTGCACGTGTTCTGGTATATCAGGTACCAGAATAATTGCCTACGTCTAACATAGAAACGATTTCTTTGAATAGATGTCTGAGCATGTTGCGCGCCGTGGTACTCTTTCTTTTTATGTTTACACCTCCACGTGTTTCCTATATTGTCAGTACGCAAAAATTCGAGTATCTAGATATTCTTGATATATCTGAATTTGTACCCAAAGACACAATGTTAATAAACATTAATGATAATACAAAATAATAAAAACGTTACTTATAAAGCGTTTAACACCGAAGTCTCTAAGCGCTTTAACAAACAAAATAGACTGATAAACAATTATATATTGAACAAAACAAAAAAAGTGCAAATAAACCCTACAAATTATATGGAATACACATCAAAGTGAACAGAGTTAGTTAATCATCGAAAGCAATTTTGACTTACCCCGTAGCTATTCATTGTATTGGCAATTATTTTTCCCTGAGCCTCAGACGTCTCCCGAAGCAGAATGGACTGTTGATGAGTTTGAACCAACACTGTGAATTGAGGGGAGGATTCAAGAATAACTCAATATAATCAATATGTAATTAATGATGTGATAATATTCGTATACAGTTTATGAATGTTTATGTTGGTAATTATAATTCAATGGAATATATATTATTCATGCTTTCATAATTATTTGATTCCACCCAATTGTAGTATATGACTTTTACAACCGTGATTGAATATACTGTGTTATTATTAGCTCATATGAGGAGAACATCATGCATTTACGTATCTACAAAGGTTAGGGTGGGCGTTTGCGCGTGTGTGTATGTATTTCATCTGAATGTAACACAAAGCATTTATGTGGCCCTCTTTGTTTCCATCTGATGTAAGCTTGAGATGATATCCATTGTATTCTCACCCAGGTCTACTGCATCCACATCTCTGGGTTTCAAACAGTAGCCCCTTCTCCACGCACAATCTAGAACTTTCTTTTTGACCTGTTTGACGCTGTCAACATCCAGAACATTCACATGAAGATAAACCTGACCATCTTCATCTACAACATCTAGACCCATCATCAACCAAATGGTTATTCAATGGATGAGAGAAGTGATACAAAGAATAAGATTACGAATACTGTCGAAAACTAAAACTAAGGCAATTTTACTATCAATGCTCATCCCCTATTGAAGTATGAGAACTTTACAATGATGTATTACGTAATCCAAACATTATTTCTATGGGATACACAGAAAGGCATCGAAATTGCCCTTGAGTTGGTTTCTCGAAGGTCTTAGAGATTGTGTTAAAGATATGTTAAGTGTACTGACAAAATATTATTTATTTAGCCTCATCCTAATAATTAACTTTCTACATAAAGAATACATACATATACCTGTATGTTAAATTGTATTCTTATATTTATGCGTAAGGGGTTTACGTTCAAGGAAGTTTTCAAATGTGAACACAAATATAACAAGACACTGAAATAGAAATCGCACACACTTGAGTTTGCTTTGCCTAAACCGTTCAGCATAGTGGTAATACTATTTGACATAATCATAGCTTTTTTTTTATTAGAATGCAAATATAAGTTTACAAGGCAAAGCCAGACATTACATGTACTTACGAGAGAATGAAATTCGACCGTCTGGTCAAATAGTTTGTTGAACTCTAGCGTGTAGTATGCTTCACCTGTCCCTTCATCTATAGGACCCTTCTCGGTCTGGGTCTTTATTGCTTGATACAACATGTACAGTGGGTAGAAGGCGTACACCTGTAGTATAACAAACAATATATATATATATATTGAGACTTTATGAATGATGCGCAATCCAGCCTCTAGCTGCAAAGCATTGTCAAAATAAAAACATTAGAGAATCAACTGAAAATTAATACGCGCATATTACGTATTTTAGAAATGGTTTCTATAGAATACACAAAAAAAGTATCAACATTTCCTTGGGTTTATTTCTTGAAAGTTTTCGCAATCGTGTTAAAGATATTTACTTTTTACCCACGTCACAATAATTGGCTCTTTAAATAGATCATAGAGGTACTGTAAAGAGATAGAGAGAGGGGAGGGGGCTGAGAATACCCCTTTCCCCTCTTTTAAACGAACTTGTTTGCTTCCATTTAGACAATCGTTAGTTTTTTTTAAGCTGGGGCACAAAAGTTTGGATAAAAAATAACTGGGAGAAATGGTAGGAATTAGTTTTATTTCCATAGTTATCTCCTGTCCCAGGCATTCAATATTCTTTCAATTGTACATTTAATTTCGTTCCAAATTCCCAGCACAATGTGCTAAATACATCAGGTAGTTTCACCTTATACAGTTAGGTGTACAAAAGGTTGAATATTGAACATTCTAACAATATCATATTTGTAATTTAAGGAAACAAAACATTTCAATTGTACTTAGAAAATGTGAATATATTATGAAGAACCTAGAACTTTGTTCAGTTAATGGAATTAAGATAGTGAAGTCGTACGAAGAAGGTATTAAAGCACAGGTGTACAAGATAAGGATGGAGCTAGAGTAAGAATGAACTTACAACACAAATAAAAATATCCCCCTATATTATAAAACAAAACACATATAAAAATATCCCTCTATATTATAAAACAAAACGATCCGAAAAATCGTAGTAAGATCTTAATTTAATGTAAAAGATGATGAATATTACCTTCAAGTAAGAGAACATGAACAAGGTAAACCAGCTGCTGACCAGTTTTTCTGCGATTGTTTCCGTGCTGAACACATGAAATAAAATTATACGAATATCATATACAAGTTTATCAAAGGAGTACTTTTTCGGAAATTACATATGTGTAATATAATTTTCAGTGGCAACGTTTCTGACAGATATGAACTATTACAATATATTATTACATATATTTGAATAGCGTGCTATATGCAGTAACAAAAATTAATGTTAACAAAGCATTTGTTCCACGATAATTATTCTTGTTTAATTTATAAAGAACCTGTAATTGGGCTTCCTGCCCTCATAACAAGCCTAGTACGCTAATATCCTATTCAATATTATGAGAAGTCGGGAATGTTCTTTAAGACGCATTAAGAACAACAAAGAACAAGTGTAACTCTAAAAAGGGATAATAGAGATGAATTTAAAACGTTACTTGGTGAATAGTGTGTCCATCTCTCTACTAGATTCAGATGCCATTCTGACTTCATCTTCAACAAGTGACATTACGACGCTGAAAAGGAAATGAAATGAAAGAAGTGCCAAAAGGTCATACTTTAATCTTCAATAAGAAGTCCGGCGTATAAAAAAAAAAAGAGAATAGAATGATATATAAAACTTGAATGATGAGTAATAATAATATCTTATGAAACCTTACTTGTAAAAAACAAACTCAACTGATTTGTTTTTATTGTTTTTTTTTTGTGTGGAATTTTTGAAGGCAGAACTCTGATGAACACATACAATTAATGTATTTAATGTTTGTCCATGTATATATATAAATATTTAAATATATGATATTATTAGTAACATTAATAAAGTCAAATTAGGTTCATTTAAGCCCTCAAAAGTTCCTTGGGATGATCTGATTATCTCCGAGAGTAAATATAATGTTTTGGGTTTTACTCTAATCATTTCGTCATTTTCACAATAAATATCTGTTACAGGGAGTATCGGTGTATCCTGCAGAATATTACTGCACATTGATCTATTCTGTCGATTCATGGAAAGAAATTGCCGCCTCTTGTCGAATGTTCTACATCATCATTATTATCATAATTATTTTGTTAGGTATTTCAACATAAAAAATAAATTTCAACAATAAAGTACACCACGAAGAAAAGGAATAAGGGATGTTGACCGTACATGCCCAGGTTGCCTGGGAAATGAAGAAAAAAAAGTAAATCTAATTACATCGACTGGTCACCCCATTTGTCCTATGTCAGATCCCCTTTACGCTCTGTCCCACAACACTTTACCCTCCCTGTCCCTGCCCGGCCAATGTGTCCTACCGCTAATCTGTTCCAAGAACCCACATGTCTTTCGTACCCGTCAGTCCTATATCCGACAGTCTAATGCCCTACCGGTCCTTCGCCCCTTAAGTTATGTTACTTCTTCATAATCATTGCGTTATACAATTGTTGATGTTTGGAAAGCATTAACCCTACGTTAACTGGGGGGGGGGGGGGTCAATTTGACCCCCCCCCCCCTGTAGAAATTTCGCGACTACTCCGAAACCGCGGCAGATATAACATTTTCCTTTCAATGACTTTTTTCTTTTGAGTCTTACGCATCTTTTTAAACGATTTTTTCGAAAATCGGACGTATAGTTACAAAGTCACGTGACCTTTTGTCTTCGCATGTCAGGCCGAAAATCGCTCATTTTTGTGATTTGTGTACAAAACATATGGAAATGTCATTTTTCCTAAAAAGAGATAAAACATTGGTTATTTAGTCTTGTTTAAAGTTTAGGTGTTTGTTTTGAGGTCAAAATAGTTGAATTGTAGTTATAAATGATATAAAACAACAAAAACAATAAAATACATAAGTTAAAAATCAATGAAATACATAATAAATTATCAAAACAAGAGAAAACATAAGGAATAACCTGGCTCTTCCAATTTTTTGTGTTGTATTATTATTCCAAATGGTCTATCAAATATATGTAGTGAAAAATAATGCTTAAATATGAATAATGTATGATTTATGGGCAAAAATGTGAATTTTATGACCTTATTTGCATAAGTTACCATAAATATGCAAATGAGTAAATTTGTCAATATATTGAAATTACCATAGTATTTTATACACTTCACTTGACATGTATGCAAATTTTCGCGGCGATCGGCAGTGAAACGGCCGAGATCTGGTCTGAAATAGCCCAGTTAAAATAGGGTTAAAATGTTCGGGAAACCATTTGATGAAGTTATTGGGTTTATCGGCACTGAAATTGTGATGAAATGAAATCGTACTTAAATTGTTTTTACAGACAATATATGATAAGTAAAAGATTTATGGCACTTCATCTTTGAGCAGTAAAAAAAAGGGTATATATATATATATACGTACTTTGGCATATATAACTAATGACTTACTCTGTGAAGTGGATTGATTTTCCCTCGCTGACAAATGTTATTGCCAAAAGAGAGGCGATGATTTCCCTAAGAGGTGGAAAATGAAAACCATATTAAATTTGCCTCGTAGCATAAATGTAGTACAGATGCTCTACATCATAAGATTTTGCAACAAGTTGAGAGTACGAAACTGAATAACCATATATAAGTGAATTCATAATCAATTAATAATAGACCTTTGGCAAGTAACAAAACTACATTTGTCGTACTGGTAGCAATGAATTCCTTGATTGCTATAAATGAGCACCGAAAACGGTATCCACACAGAGTCTGGGTAGTATGAGAGCGCCTTGAGCACATTGCGTGGTGACTATGTATAGTATCATTATCACAAATCGTACTTATTTCTGTTTAAGATTTAGACCACGCTATATCGATTAAAAAAAACGGTGTTTAAAAAAAATGGTTAGTCCTTTAAAATACCTTTCACGACCACGTCCTTCTTTCTTCCTCTCTAGTTGTCTGATAAAGTCTGTCAAAACTTCCTTCTTCTTTAGCATACGGTAGAAGGATATCACCGAGTGTTCCATAAAGTCTTCCATGTACTACAAGTAAAGATTTCAGGACAGACATAACATCTTGATGGTGCACAAGTTAAAATCAAGAATGATTTTTTTTTTTTTAATTACAAGTCAGTTAAATGCTTTTCATTTGGCAACGTGCCAAATGTCCCCCTCCCCCCCTCCCAAAAAAAAACTAATTGCAATGTGATTAGTCGTGAAGAACAAAACCCATTTGTTTCCAACTAGTGCAGTTTTACTATCCAATCATGTTAATACTCTATTGAGAAATTCGTAGTTTGATGGGACTTATTCGGAATGATTACTCCATTATCTGAAATTTTTTAATACCATATCATGATTTTATTTTTATTACCTCAGGGTCCGTTGTTTCTGGGTGCACACCAAGCCCATTAAACAACATCATTGTCAAACAGTGGACGTGTCCTCTAAATGGTACGCCGTGCTTCTGTGTTCTGTCGTCAGCTACGGATACATCTAAGCTCGTGGTACCAACTAACAGCAAACAGGTAAGATAATTTAATGTAATTAATGAGCATTCCCTAAACTATATATTTAGTCAAAATAAATCACAGTGTTGACCATGAAAATAACTTTCGAGTAAATTTAAAAGAATAATAAAATGATTAAATAAACACCTCTAATTTGTTTTATAGAGAGAAAAAAAGCAGAAAGAGGCGCTTCTACACGGTTCTACACTCAGGTATCTTCGACAATGTTTCTTTATATTACTATCAGTTTAAAGTCTGAACATCTGAAGGGGAATCCTATCAAATGCACTGCTAAAGGTGTTTGATTATCTACAATGACTGCTTACTTCCAGCTTGATTGACACTATCGCTCCTGTATTAAATACAGCGTTTTTATCATTGTCTGTATTAAGGACTTTTCTCCACGACCCGCTCTCTATACTGCGCACTTTGGCGTATCGATTTGGTATGTTTTGGTGTTCAAATACCCCCTGGCAAACAAGGGGTGTTTTAGGATTTGAAAGACACCCTTTATCTGTGTTTTATCTTTGACCTCCCCCCCCCCCCCCCCGGCAGCAAAAACAAAAATTGTTGTCATTTTCTCAAGGGGGGAGGGTGGATGTTGAGGGGGAAAAGGAGTACTTACACCCCCCCCCCTGCCCATTCACCGGCCGGCTAATTCGCCGCTTAATACTTCTCACGAATTTGCCCCCCAAAAACCTCCCCTCAAAATATCCTGGATTCGCCACTGACTGCGCATCCTGAATTATATGATTGTAACAGGTGCGGTATCACTTCAAACGGATGTAACCAGGCTTATGAATAATTATGAATGTAATTGCAATAAATGTCCTTCATATTATATGTTAAAACACACAGATAAAACAAAAAGTGAGTACATGTAGGAACATTGTTGCACGCAGCTTCTTCTTTTTATCGTTTATTCGTTAGTACTCACACACACAAAACCGCCGCCATTTACCGCGACATAATTACATTAAAAATAAAGCTAGTGCAGACACTGCAGATCAAAATGTATTCACACACACACACACCCACACATGTCCGCCCCATATTCTCGCACACCCCAAGCGCCCACATACATAATTACATGCATTACATCTACAAAACATTGTTGTACTCTGTGTTAGACATACCTTCTCGTATTCTATTCATCATGTTACTACGGACCATTTCTACTTCTCCCCTAGCTCGTTGTAAGTAACGCTGTTCCTTCCTTGACCACCAAAGCAGAATGATTATCAGAGTGATGATCACAATGAGTCCCACCACACTAGATATTACGATGGCTAATACTAGACTGTCACCTGTAGCTGACCATGCTGAAACAAAGCCTGGGTAAAATCGTAAGTTCCCATGCAAAACCTAAAAAGACAACAGCGTCAATTTAATATTATGTTATTGTGGGTTAGGGTGTGAGTTTACAATGACATGCACATATATCCTTCTCCCTATCCCCTCCAATAACAGAAACGCCAGATATACGCACTTTAAAACTAAAACAGGTGATTTACCAGTTTCTACAGCATCGTTATAATTGCTGATTAATACTAAATGAGCCTTTTCAGCAATATGTCGTCCAAGGGTGGCGAAATGCTCATTTCCGAGGGAGATAGAGATGAAAATGTACACGTCAACTGTGCTTTCCTTACTGTAGTAGCGTTTATAAGCTCCAATAAATTCAGAAATTGTTTACAGCTAATAACTGAATTATTCATACTCCGAAAAGTGGACTGGTTAAAATAGGGCCATGGTTAATTACTTTTAGTTGTAAACTCTAATTTGTCACATTCTCAGGATACATAAATCGGAACAAATGTATTTTTAGCATATTAATTTAAAAAATGCAAAACTTTGAAAGAGTCTGAACAATTTAGTTATTAATTTTATATCAAAGAAAGCTGCAATAGGAATAATATGTATGTGTAAGGTAACCGTTATAGGTGTATGACCCTGCAATAAAGAAGCGCCATGCAAAACAGGTCTAAACAACCAATACGAAATATATATTTTTTGTTTAATTATTTAATTTTAAAATATACGATGATGATTAATTATGTTATATGAATATATACTTACTGTCACAGCTGGAAGATTTTTTGCATCTCCCTGACCTAGTGTTCCATTCAAGTTTCCTGCTTGAGGCTGGTTATCTGGTAGCTGGCAACGCAGGACATTCATTTCAAGATCATCAACAGTGCATTCTCCATCAGGCCCTAACAAAACTAGTACATCGTCTTCTGTACTTGCCAAGGTTAAATCCATGCCCTAGAAAAACATAAAAGCAAAATTTACAATTTTAGCTTTAATCACTTTACTCATAGCATGTGTAGTCAAGCCTGTGAATACTAAACAAGATAAATTTTTAAAAAAGAAAACAAATCAAAGCCCTTTAATATTCCACTGAACCGAATAATGTTTAGTGTAAATCAATTTACCTATTTGAGATAATTAATAACAAAAACTATACAAATAATAATAATAATAATAACAATAAGTTACTCAAAATATTTCAATACACTTTGCATTAGACACAATAATAATGAAATACATTTGACAAATATCCACATTACATTAATTTCACAGCTATAAAACATTACTTTACAAATGTTATTGTATTACATTACATTAAAATTATAAAATGTAGTCTTATATAAGGGCAGAAATCATGACGTAATACAGAGAATATGGAAATTAATAAAATTATCCACAACTGTTACATGACATTTTAATATCCAAGTGTCTATTAAGCCAGCATTTACATTTAATGATAAGCATATGACTATTTCTTCACTATGTGAAAAGGAAAAGTAATTGAGTATACAATGTATGCTTTCATTTTCAGAAGGCAAATTTCTCCTGCGAATTTACATAAAATCATGACAAACATTATTTATGTATCAAGAATAGGCTAGAGACAATATTTCTATTACATGGCAGAATCTAACAGCTATAACAAAGTCTATTAGAGCAATTCAAATTTCAATTAAAAAAAAATATATATATATATATATATATCATGTACGCGAACCAAAACGTATCTGCAAATACAAAGTAATGATGACATTTTTCGAAACGATTAATCAATACAGGCTAAATGATTTTTTGTCATAAACAGAAATTTGGTGTTGCAGGTGTGTATGAAGAAATCTCCTAAACTCACTGTAATCTCGAGTCGTTTATTATCACTCTCATAAATTCTGCTGTTCCCACTGAAGCTTTCATACACAGGGTCTGGGAAATATTCAATTGTGCCGCCATCAATCACATTTCCATCAAAGTCAAAGGATAAATTCGCTATCATTGCATCATCTGTTGCTCGTCTTCTTCTGGCAGGGATAGCATCATCAGGAAAACTTGGTGTTGGACATGTGAGAATGGTTTCTGTTCCATTGCAGAGCTTTAGGACATTAATGTCAAAGCATTGATAAAGGATAAAGAACAAATGATATAAAAAGTATTAAAATTTCATTTACATTTCATGTAACTGCACTATGATCACATGTTTGAATGTGCCAATCTATAAGATCCAATAATTTATGAACACAACCAAATGTGATTTCAAAGAGAAAATTTGGGAATAAATCTGTAGATTAACAATTACATGTGCAAATGAAGATTCTTTTCGCATGGCAGAACAACTCATTTATTTGTATATAAAACTGACAAGCAAATACAAAGTATGGTAAGCAGTACTGTGTCAAATAAATTGATCTAAAGGTTACTAAATACAGTTAATAGACATATCTATGGTTACCAATCTCCTAAACATATATGGGTTTAGCTAAAATGTATAATATCAACAACAACAAAAAATGCTTAACCCAGCATTCTACACGCTATTAAACAATTAAGGAGTATGAAAGAAATAAAGGATAACATAATACCCTGCATAAGGATTAGCATGCACAGGAAAATCAAATAATCTTCTCATAAGTTGCATCTTTGTTTAATGGGTGTACTTAAAATTGCCACATCTCTTTGTAGAAGTAATATATGTAGCTCGTATTTTTAATTTACTATAACCTTACATACACAGCAAAATACTTTTTGATAATCCGATACCTTTTACTGGTAATGGGACTTGAATGAAATATAGAGAATGGATATCATACCTCAGAATTGCTAGCATCAGTTGTGAGAGATGTAACTACAATCCTGGGTTCTTGGATCAGATCAAATCTTACGCCAGTTAGTGTGATATCGGGACCTCCTCTGTTGAAATAAAAAATAAATTCAAGGTAAATTTCAAATAACACCTATATATATAAGAAAACAGTCGTATGTGAAAATTACAGACAGGGAATACTTTATTATATTAGATAGCTTAGAGATGTGATTGGTCCAGAGCTCGCCACGTGATATCGATTGCGAGGATCGTAATTGTTACGTAATAAATATCTGGATAACATTTGGTCAATTGTAAAATGAAGAAAAAATTAACAAATCGTCGAGCTATATATTCTTATAGTATGTAGTATCTATGAAAAATATTGATACCTTTATAATTTACATGTTAAGATGTTTGTTTGGGCCAAAGCATACACAATTAAAGTAACAGTTCAATAAAAAGCTTCAGAGAAATAGAACAAAGAAAAAGAGGGTTAGATTTTTTTTTTCCACTGTTGAACTCACTCATTATATGAAAAATCTTGTAATAGTGAAGCAATAATGATGTATTCTGTCATACCATGGAGAACTCATCCAGTTGTTTTACACATAGTGCAACCTAGTGAATATAATCCCTCTTCCCAATGCTTTTGGTGGAACAGACACATGTTAAATTATGTTAACCATGCTGCTTCTTGAATCAAAAAATATATTATATTGATAAAATGAACAGGGATAGTTTTAATGGTAGTTTTAAAGGTACAGTTCTCTATGTAAAACATTACATATTACTACATTGCCAATTATTAATTTTCAATACGACTTGTTATCTCTACTTTCAAAAATACCAGAACTTCCAATTTTTTCAGAAACTTACAAGAATCTGTTTCTATCTGAGTCATAATTCTATGATAAAGTAATTCCCCCAAATGCTTATCATGACTGCGTAAACCATGGTGATTCTTTATAAACAAGTAAATGAATGGCAATTAAGGATGAAAACAGAAATACAAATTTATATTCCAAGTTACTTACGACATGATAGATGTTGTCCTATCAATATATTCAATCCTTGGATTTGGCATGTAGGTAAAGTCGTAACCGCTGAATTGTCTTTCTTCTCCATCAAATGTCATGGCCAGGGTTACGGAAACCTCTTCATTCTCCGGTATGCTGCTTGTGATGCATGTTGCGATTTCGTCTTGAACAGAACTTCAAAATAGCAAATAATTCCCACTTACATATTATTTTTATGTAATTCTATTCTAATATTTGCCTAATATTTGTTTGAATTTATGAAGCCTTTCATGAATGGATATGATGGAGTTAACCTATTTAATTACAAACTATTCGAAAATGGCATCAATGAAGAAATGTGTACACTGAAATATTTCTCAAGGCCCATTAGCTATACAAATTCTTCTCAATATTCAATTGCGCTTCATTACTTTTAATAACAAGCAAAGTTTAAACAATAAAGACTTATAGTGGACTTTACAAAATTATTACATCAAGCATTAAATGCAAAACACATTACTTACATCTCTATGCAGTCTGCATCTCTGAATCTTGCAGTAATGTCCCTTCCAGTGTCCAAGTACATGCCACTGATAGTGATTTCTGTACCCCCTGCCACGGGTCCTTCTCTAGGATTAAACCCTGTGATCACAGGATCCTATCAGAGACCACAACATGTTATCATATTGTATATACTTGTATTTCAAGGATGTGAAATGAAATGTATGGTCAAACAAATCAATACATCTATCCGTTACATCTTGACAATGAATTTAGGATCAAATTGTCTTCCCTCCCATGAAAGAATTAAACATGTTTTTTTAGAATATACATGAACATGTACTAAGAGCTTACCGGTGCAATAATAGGAAGTATTGCTGTTTACACATGTAAACATGTCTATCGTTCGTATGCTATATTTCCATAATTTGTTTCACTCAACAATCATATTCCGATACCTCGGCTACATGTATAATAATCAATATTAAAGTCTACATGCAGACTTTTATAACATCATTAATGCATTTCAGCTGTTTTTGTTTTGTTTTTGTTTGTCATGTAAACCATTCAATTCAATGAAATTAAATTCAAACATACACCACATTAAAAAAGAAAATAATGCCTCTAGCAAGTGTCGTAGAGATAACAACAAGACTGGTTTTTATCTTACTCACCCTATACTGGAATTCTTTAGTGCTCTGTCCTGTCTTATATCGTCCCCCTGACGCCACCGTGATTTCAATGCCTCCTGATTTTACTTCAGTAGACATTGCTGCCATACAACTTACACTGCACAACAAAAACGAACAAGACAAATGAGACTGCTACTGCGTCTCCTATATGCTCCAGCCCTTAATTTAGTATTAAAAAATGCATGGAATTATTTGTGGCATATCATAATGAAAACAAAAAGTCTATCTCTTGTATTCCTTTATATATTGCAATAGCAAGGTTAAAACCTGTTATTTGATAAATTGACCTATTTCCGAGTTTGAGCCTCATATCTCTATTGGTTCTTGAGATATAGTGATAACGAGGTGAATACGTTGAACTCCTTAAGTTGACCTCTGTGACCTTTGACTAGTTACTCCAAAATATAATCAGAATGTCTTCTTATGATGATACATGCTTTCATCATGTTGAAGTTCATATCTTAGGTGGTTCTTGAAACATCTCGTTAACGAGAAATCGGGACAGACGGACAACCCGAAAACATAATGCCTCCGGCAAAAGATAGACAATAACATATGACATGTGAATACGCGGTTACAGTGTAATTTAATTGGAAAAATCAGCACTGTGTCATTTGACCAAATATGACTTTGTGACCCTGAAATAAACCTTTTTACTTCAACATTTCGTTGTATAATCTTGCCATTCACAAGTCTTCATATATATATATATATATATATATATATATATATATATAATATTCAAGTATTACTAAGGAAATTATACAAGAGGTGTTTTAGGCAAGTGGACACGTCTCGAGACTGTGTACCAAAGGCCCGGAGGTCTCAGTTATGTAGAACTACTGTAAGCATGCGTGACCACAGGTTTTCCAGACACCCCCTAAACGAGGACTTCTGAAGCCAAAATACACCCTAAATGAGGATTTCGCGTGTTTTTCCCCCTAATTCAAACCCTAAACGGGTATTTCAAAAAAGTGTACTCCTAAACAAGTATTGTAAAATTATAACCCCTTGGGCATTTTGAAGTGCGACAGGGATTAACATTTAAGTTGTTGTAAAATCCACACTGTAAACAATTATTTCAATAGAGAAGCAATAACGTCAACCCGTACACTTTCAAATGGGTTTAATGAAAAAAGTATATTTTGTGTAACGTTAAACTTCATATCTCATATATGTAATATACACCTGTCAGAAAATTGAAGTAAAATTAATAAATTAGAGTAAATATGAGATTTACCTTTGTCCTGGCTGGTAATATTCGTCCATGTCTGTCAAAGCGCACTCCAAGTCTTGAATAAATATTTGAATTACATCATCAAATACCACTCCAATGTCGGTTCCGATTATTTCTAATCTTGTGTGGCCGTTGATAGGACCTGACAAGGGGTCAAACTTCAGGAAAAGAAAAAACAAATGATAAATTGATCTCATCAAATCTCTTTATATCATACTACTTTAGTCTATCACTACCATTAAAAGGAATAATTCAAAATTTGAGAATCTTGTTGTCTTGTTTGTATTTATCATGCGTCAAATATAAGATTTCTTATGTGTATACATGTATAAGACAAATAATGAATATCAATTATATGTACATGTTTATCAAATAATTCTAAACATTACAAACTTTTCTAAAGGCTTAAGGCTTGTTCAGTTATGTTGCGGTAAGCCACGCCGTTTTTTTACAACGTGTAAAGGAATGAAACTGGGCGCAACAAAGGTCGCACGAATATTCCCTTTATATATAAGCTTTAGTGCTTTACAATTGTGTTATAACATAAAGAAATGTGAAGCGTTTTACACTTGCTTCGTCATAAAAAGAATGATCACGGTTTACCATGGCATATCTGAAAAACTTAATAGTTTGGATTTATATCCTGTATGAACAAATACTCTCTTACATCAGTGATAACTGGTGCTGAACATTTCTGCGTCTCATTCTGATGGAGAAACGGGTTGTTCTGACAAACTTCACTTTGAATGACATTGCAGTCATCACCACACCAACCACACTTCAAGATGGATGGAGTTGCATCTCGGGAAAGGCATCGACTGCAACTTCCACTGTTAACTGAACACTTGTAAATGGTGACTGCAATTCAACAAAAAAACAGACCTTCACTCAAAATATCCATTAAATGCAGCTCAGAAGTCTAATATTTTTTCAGACTCATTTTTAACCGATTTTTATGACAACTTAGATACTTGTTCAACTTCACAATGACACTTTTGGAAAAACTTTTTTAAACATGCAAGAGCATTCCTAAGAATACCGCTGTCGTGTAACTGGTGCCAGACTACATACCCATACTTCCCCTTTTTGTCAGAATTTCAAAACTAAATATGGTTCATCATTAATCCTTAAGACTGACCATTTTCTCAATTAATACAGTGATAAAGAGTAGAAATAATAATACCCCTAACAAAACGATCACAAAACATAAGAAGTAAATCCATCCTTAAAACTGCATGCACAAGTGTACATTTTTGATGACACCTTGAACTAGATTTTAATTACAATATTTATGTTTTTACTTTTATCTACTGGTTTACTGACAATTCACTTTTTCGACAATTTAGAGTGCAATTGCAAAACTTCAATATGTAATATTTGAAGCAGAAACTTGTGAATACTTTTCTTTTTACATCAAGTCTTTTTCATTTCGAAAATCCATTATCACCTGTCTTAAAGCCACTATGTCCTTTTTGCACCCAACATCAAATTTATGTAGAAATTTGCAGGAATTATTAATATTTCATGTATGTCCTATCTTTTAAATTTAAACATTATCAGCGTCATAGTATTCAAATTATGGAAGGAAACCCGATTACCTTCCAGACTTCACTGTCAGACACTATTGAGTGACCGACTGACATCTTTTTTTTCTTTGGTAATAACATAATATATGAAATGAGCTGTAACAGGTACGTAGCATTTGTCTACATCATTAACCCACTACTTGTAATGGACAAAATTAAACTGATTGAATTTTTTTTTAGCACAAAACGTACTACCATTCGGTAAAAGGATCTGAAAATGGGAAAGTTCTAAATTAGTATTGTCTTTCAAATGCCGTTGGAATTTAACCTTTTTGTTTTCTGGCCTGCAAATGGGACATAGTACCTTTAAATTATAATGTAATACTGTACCAACCATGCGTTTCTGACAGGTCATCTATGCTGTTCCGTCCATTCCACTGTACAGAGACACTGACATTCTTTTCGAGGATATTATCATTGTACATGTACTGAAAACAAACAATAAAACACAATGTTATGACAAAAGAAGGGTGAGAAGATGTGTGGAAGTAGATGGAACTTGCAGTGCAAGTCTATCAACATGGTTTCAAAGCTATTCTCACTATGGTCAACTAGTGGAACAAACAGTGAACACCACAGTTTACTTTGGCCAAGTAATATGTAGCTTTATTATACACTCAAACAATGTGGTGATCTCGGGGTTTCATTCCATAGCAAATAAAGATTTTGGAAATATTTATATCATAGACTTTGGATATACAAGTAGTTAACCAGTAAGAATACTAGTGAATAGATATATACTGAAGCTTGTTGTCTCCCACTCATCGGAGTAAACCACAAGAAGGAACGGAAAGCCGTAATCAGGCAACATACATGGAAATTAAGGGAATAATGTGCACAACGAAAAGCTTCAGTATGTCTTTATTTACTACTATTCTTTGATTTTGTAGTCGCAATCGTCTCTTCAGTATAATTTTAGCACTAACCAAATAGAAGTTGGAAAACAAAAGGCAATATATCTGGCAACTCAGTAATCTTTATTCTGCTACAAATAAACGACAAGAAAGGTTGACAAAAAAGAGATTCACACGACCAAGGACCTTAAAACTGCTCTTTGAATGACAACATAATCATTTTCTATTTCGTATGTAAATTTAATTTGCCATACCATTGATGTTAAATATACAGGTTAACACTTTAGAGTAGAATTATGACTATCCATGAATACTTGCACAATATGATATTACTTTCACGTTATTTGGCAAATCGTATGATACTGATAAAGTTCTGATAAATGCTGGATTTGAGCATAACTTTACCTGTTTATCATTGCAGAGAATGTAGGTTTCATTAAAAGTGGTACTTGGTACTCTCACTTCTTCTCCTTCAATGTCAAGGATGCACTCATATGTTACTGGGCCCTGGAAATATACAACATGTCACGTTTTTTGTTAAATATGTGAACCAATTCGGTCTAATCAGCACTATATGCAAGGGGGTTTTATTTACGTGCCAAACATACAGTATTAAGTCGACTCACAGTCGGGAATGTACTATGGTTTCTTGTTAGTCATAATGTACGTTGTGCTTGTCGGATATAATAAGGAAACCAAAGTCTTTTCATTGAAGAAAATTGAATCACTGTAATGTACATTACTTCAATCCAAATGTACAAGTCTGAAGTTTAAGATAAATGTGCGTGTAAATGCAAGGGTGTCGATTTGTATCCGTGGTTGGGGGGATGATAGGTTCCAAAATATTTTCGGCAATGGATCAGAGCAACCAAGAGGTAGAAGCGTGTGGCAGGTTGCACCCCCTCCCCAAGCGCGTAGCCAGGATTTCATTTTAGGTGTGGGGGGGGGGGGGCGGTAGTGAGCACGCGAATCACTTACAGAGCGCGCTCCCTAGGAGGTTGGGTTCAGGGATGAGGCAGTTTTCCCCCTCCCCCGCAAAGCGCGGAAGCTTTGACGTTTCATTAAATTATTAGAGAAAGAAGACGATTCGTTTGACCGTTCTCAACTCTTAATCCTTGTTTAAATCAAGTTCCCCTTCCTTCGCGCGTAGCGCGGAAGCTCTGATGTTTCATTAGATTATTAAAGAAAGAAGACGATTCGATGTACCATTCTCGACTCTTAATCCTCGTCTGAATTCAGAGTTCCCCCCCTTCCGCGCGAAGCGCGGAAGCTTTTACGTTTCATTTAATTAGAAGAGAAAGAAGACGATTCGTTGTCTCGTGTCCTTGCCTGAATTCAGTTTCCCCGCGCGAAAGCTTTGCATTTCAATGAATTATTACTCTTAATCCTTCTCTGTATTCATTTTCGCCTATCCCGCGCGAAGCGCGGAAGCTTTACCGTTTCATGAAATTATTAGGGAAGGAAGACGATTCGTTGTATCGTGTCCTTGTCTAAATTCAGTTTCCCCCCCTCCCGCGCGAAGCGCGGAAGCTTTGAAGTTTCATTTAATTATTACTCTTAATCCACGTCTGAAATCATTTTCGCCCATCCCGCTCATAGCGCAGAAGCTTTTACGTTCCTTAAATTATTAGAAAAAGAAGACGATTCGTTGTACCGTGTACTTTGACGTTTCATTTAATTATAACTCTTAATCCTAGTCTGAATTCAGTTGCCCCCTCCCGCGCAAAGCGCGGAAGCTTTGCCGTTTCACTAAATTATTAGAGAAAAAAGACGATTCGTTGTACTGTTACTATATTAACTCTATACTCTACATACTCTATATTAATCCTTTTCTGAATTCCGTTTCCCCACATGTACATGTACATATGGAACGTTCGTTCGCAAAGTTTTGCATGCACAGCCCGAGTGGTGGGTATCATGTTATCTCCCGGCGGTGCTTGTCGCAATAGCTTCTGGAAAGGAATTGTATACTACTGTTAGTGTTATCGGCCACTAATTAGGCCCGTTAGTGACTATACAAAATATATGCTCATCCTGGCTATTTGGAAATGTGTCAGTTTGCAACAGAAATGGACAAACGGAGACATTTTGTTGAAAATCACGTGATATCACGAACATTTATAAATCACTTGTATGAAATTGAAAATAAGTCATGGTTGGATGTTATTTTTTTTTTAATTTATTTTTATTTTTTACGCCAGTGACATAGGCCTACATCAGCTTTTCAATAAAACAAAAATAAGATGTGACATAGTAATCTTTCTCCAAAAATGTTTTATGAAATATCAGAAAATAAAATGAGTGAAAAAAATAAAAATAAAGATACATGACGTGAATTTAAAAAAGGGTGAACGGAAACAACATAGCAACTAGTGAACTATCTTATAAATCATACTAATGTCCGAAAATCTTTCTCCTTGTCTCCGATCTAATCACGAATTTGTCACAGAGTTCATCTATGTTTACACTGTCCATAATTGTTTGATGTGCATTAATTGCAGTTACTACTTTTGCGCTTCGCGCTTAACATTTAGCTCGTTGCTTTTTAACGCTGCGGCTTTGCATTTGGCGCACTGTATTTCTATGATGCTGTTGATTGAAAAAATTGAATAAATTCATCAATACCTGATGAAGCCGTATGAGCGAGAATTCAATTTATTCTTGTCTCATATACGGTTGTCTCATTTACTTCGTATATATATATATATATATCTATTATGAGAATGAGATAGCAAAATGTGTATATTGATGGTCATCTTGCGAGCAATAACCATTAACTACTCTCATCGGGCTCTCATTATTTTTTTCTCTTCATTTTTTATATTTTTTATGGTGAATTATTGGGGGGGGGGGGTGATTGTACAGGCCATCCCTCCCCCTCACCTGAAATATTGGGAGGATATATCCCCCTCCCCACCCCCCCCCCCATCCCCCGGGATCGACACCCATGTGTAAATGCCATATACTATTCATACTGGCTGACTGAAGTCAAGTCTTGTTCATAATCTGCTCGTGACTTAACATGTAGCAGTGGTGGTGAGGTAATACATATAATGTAAGTCCACTTCCACCACATGGTCTTCACTATAATGCATTAGTGAATCTCTCGTAGCCCTACTAGCTTCATAATAATATAATTACCTTTGACTGGTCTGTAGGAAGGTTCTTTGCAAATAGTGAGAAGCCAAAAGGAATACTGACTGGTATGAGAAACGATTCTGTTGCTCCAAGCAGCTGAGGGCAAAACCCCTGTCCTTTGTTTCCAGAACCATCATTATTCTATAGAGACAAACATACAGGTAACATGTGAGCACGGAAATCTGTAACCTTGAGCACTTAGTGCATATGTGTGCTATAAAAATATTTAATAATATAATTAAATGTACATAATAGTAATAAAGCAAGCTAGATATGCATGCTTAAATGAGCAATAGTCTAATTCATTACTTAAACATGTTTTTAAGTATCTTCTCCCGTATAGGAGGTTAACTGCAACATCCCTCCATTTCAATCTACCTTCTCCCATTCTGGTGCACCTTTACATTTTTAGTCCACTTCAGTTCTTGACATTCTCTTCCTAGTTGATTAAGGGTCTCCATCTCGGTCTAGGCTATACATGTGCATTATAAACAGTTGTTCACAAATTTAAGGTTGGCTTCCTGATATATGATTAGCAACATGAAGCCCCCAAAAACAAAGCATTCTTGGGAAATCTTCCCAAAAAAAGTTTGGTTAAATTACCATAAAACATAAGGAGATATATCTGTAAATACTATTTGATCAAGAAACATTAAATTGTGTGTAAAAAAATGTACATTTCATTCCCTTAGGATGCAAGGGCATAAAAACCATGGCATGAAAACACTTTCGTAGCCTGAAATCAGACTTTGTTTGAAAACTGGTATCCCTGCATGAAGTGCTTACATTTACTCCAATAACAACTGTATCTCCTGTCTGACATGAGCTGCTATCATCTGTACACTTGTTGTCATAAACACACCAGTCACATGGGAAGCGGGTCATAACACAAGATGAACATCTGCAAGAAATTGAGAATGACTGTTGTATTAAAACTAATACAAAAACTGTTATTATGATTATTCACCATGGCGCCAGTCGAACCCTTTCTACAATACTGCCTGAAGGTCTGATTTGATCATTATAAACAACCCCAATACCGACGAGAACTATAGATAAAATAGCTTGCTGAAGTTTAAGGAATCCAAGAACTTACGATTTAATGTGACTGCAGTCAAAGAAGAAAAAATCTGTGGTCACAAAGTCGACACTCGTTTCAGTTGAGACAACAGACAGAGGCAAGTTCAAGAAGTACACTAGCAATCAAATGAAAAGAAATGTTAAACATACTTATCATTTAAATGCGGACAAAATCATGTATAAGTGAAGGATGAGCAACCACTCTTTGTTTTTTGTCCAATGACAGCAATTTTTTGAGGATCAGTAGTAACTGCCGACGAAGATAATCAACAGATTATTAAAGGGGCGCCAGATACTGAGAGGAATACATGGTAATTACATCAGTCCTACATGTACATTATATCATAAACCTCTGAACACCTTTATACGATGGGAAGGTCTCAAAACAAAGAGACACTTCACCTTGTGTTCAACGCTCAACTCAATCTACTTCGTGGATTCCTGCATGTCTCTTGTGTTTTAATGAGTTTTAATGAAAATAGTCAACAACAACAAAATAAATAAATACATTAGATAATAAAAGATGTGCCCTATTTCAAAGATTTTTCACAGGTATTTTAATTACGTATCAATAGTCAGCACATGCTATTTATTCAGATAGGGTAATTAAATGTGCAAAGACAATGCACATGTACATGTACAATCCGCACTGATACACATTTCATCTTTACATGTACTTACTTCCATCTGGAATTGAAGGTATGCTGTTTGCAGGAGGGGATGTACAGGTGACAGTATTACCGATAATTGTAGCAGAGACCTCATAAGAGTTAAAGGCACACATGTATTGAAAACCGCTCTCAAGATGTGGGAGCTGTTGTACTGTGATGGTAATCTATAACAAGAGCAGGAAAAAAGAGTGTCATGTCTCAACAGGACTCACATGCACAGGAAATCTCACATGTCATTCTACATGTTATTGCTTTCACTTTTAATAAGTTGTATTTCATTCCCTGGCTATTTGAAACATTAAATTGAAAATGGAAAACTAAAATAATTTTTGATTTGTTTTTATAACTGATCATGTCAGCAGTCTCTGCATGGTCAGTAATAAATAAGCTAGTTAAGTATCACTTATAGCTGATATTTTCATGTAGTGCAAAATATATTTTGAACACCTTTAAAGGGGTCAGACCAGCATGGATATGCAGAAGGGAAAAGGAAATCTGAGACAGTGAAATTACAATTGTATTTACTTCTTGTTGTGTCTGATGATAAGGCAGACTGTTTGGCTGGACATCTGAGATGGATACACACTGTAAGGCATTGTATGATAACCATCGAGTTGACTCATCACGGAAGGGACATGCTTCATATCGTGTGCACCTTTAGAATGAATGGCAGAGTAGAGAACAAATTCATTAGTCTTGATGTGTAAAAACTAGGTCATCCACTGATGATATTTTATTTATATTAAACTCTAAATGATATTCATATTCATAAATGTTCTTCCAAATTTAGTTATGTCCTCTTTGCAGATGACACTACAATTTCTTTATCAAACAAAGATGAAGAAACCCTTATTCAAACTCTAAACCATGAACTAGAACATGTCGCCCATTGGCTCAAACTTAACAAGGTACTGCTTAATGCAAACAAAACCCATATGATGATTTTCACCAAAAGAAATATTGATACTTCCAACTATAAGGTATACCTAAATGGCTCTGAAATTACAATAGTATCTAATACAAAATTTCTAGGAATTAAAATTGATGACAAATTGCGTTGGCATGACCATGTTAATTACATATGTACAACCATCGCTGGAACAACAATTGCACGAAATATTGGTGTAATGAACAAACTAAACTATCTGCCTAGAAATATTTTGTTATCTCTATTTACCTTTATATATTGCAATATTGTCTGGGCCTCAGCTTCTCAAGAAAAAATGTAGAGACTATATAGATTGCAAATAAAGAGCAGTAAAGATAATTTGTAAAATGCCTTTCCTTGCCTCCACTAAACCTTTATTTACTCAATCAAAACTCTTGAATGTATTCGATTTGTATAAATTAAGACTGGCCATTTGTATGTTCTCTTGTCAGAGACAGATCTTGCCATTATCCCTGACATGCTTTTTTTTCCATTAACTCTTCAATCCACTCCCACCTCGTACAAATGCAGATTTTCATATCCCATATGCAAGAACTTCAGTTTCTCAAAAGACTATTTACTATGCAGGTCTCAAACTATGGAATGCATTGCCACCTTATCTAAAATCTGCATGCTCTCGGATTGTTTTCAAGAGACAATACAAAGTAAGGCTTTTACAATCTTATTCACATTGAGTCACCTGTTGTTTGTTGTTTATGTCAATGTTAATTGTTATATCCCTGGTTTGTATGTTTTTTGTTGTTTTTAATTAATTTTTTTAAATTGTTATTTCTATTTTGTATTTTGTATCTATTATTATTCTGCTTGGTTTTAATTTCATCCTTTGTATTAACTTTACTTCTCATCTTGCCTTTCTCTCCTTCAATTTTCCTTCCTCTTCCTCTCTCTCTCTCTTTCTCTCTCTATCTCTATCTCCCTCTCTTGTTTCTCTCTGACCCAGCTGTTTATGTATTATCTCCCTCTTGTTGTTGTACATGCGACAGTATACAATGCAATTTACACTAATGGGGTCGAATTCAAAAGATCTTTAAATAGATCTTTAATCTGATCCCCACTCGATTTATGTTACTTGTGCTGTCAACTACTGATTTTACTATGTCCATCTTTTTATATTTGTTATACATGTATGCGTTTATTCGCAATTCTATGTATCTGTTTTTATATTGAGTGAATAAATGATTTGATTTGAATTGATTTGATTTTTAAATGATTTGATTTGATTTAAATACAGGATGAAGTGCATTGGAAACGGACTTCTAAAGGGTATAAACCGAAAAAAGAATCCTTAAATCGGTTGCCTTTTTTCCCTCGCGTATGTTGTTGAGGATTTAGTACTCTTGCGTTCCAATAGGATACAGTTTATAATTAGGGTTCAACATATTTCAGAATTCTCGTTGCTTTTTTCCCTTTTATGTTTCATCATCCTCTTGTTTAATATTGCATCTTCAACAATCTTTGCAATGGTTAAACGTTTACAAGACGTCTAACTTTTGGTTACCTTACTTCATTTCTCGACTATAGCTTTCCTGAGATTTCATTAATTTTGCATCCAATTGGAAGAGGCGAGCAGAAGACCTCTTACTGATGTTCAAAATGAGAAATTCTTTCGTTTGATTGCAAGGGATTACATAATCGAATATTCGGTCAGCCGTCATCTTAAAATGTATATTCGAGAATATTTATGTATGATATTTAGAGTATTTTGATGACGAATTAAAATCTTTTGTTTCTTTGCCTTCTTTTACATTAATAACATGATGGTTAATATGCAGCCAGTGGCCTCATGCCCCCCCCCCCGCGACAATATACCTATGCACCCATCACTGCGATGCCCCCTTGCTAATTTTCTTACCCATAATGGGTAGAATGCGCAAGTAAATGTGTCTTTGAAGATTATGAAAACAGTCTACAGCTCATTTATTTTGCTCACTTATTTGAACAGTTGATAGTTAAGACAGGGGAGCCGGGTGCAATTTTTTGTAGGGCCCGGGTGCAAAACAATACCTAGATATGCTACTGCACAATTATCACAGAATTCATTCTCAATATTGTGTGTCGTTTTTAAATCCAAAGTGGGCCTCAACTTTAAAAAAGGGTTGGGAAGCCTTTCCAATGAGTACGCAATCCATAGCAAGAGTCTCCATTATTTCCCCCACTTGTACAAAAGTACCCACCTTGCTTCTAAAGTACACCATCCACAGTAAGGGTCTCCATCATTTCCTCCATTGCCTCCAATGCACTCATCGCAGGTCTGGTATTGCCCACAGTTTGTCAAATCCAATGTTAGGACCTACATTTTGTTTGTATAACATGAAAAACGAGTTAAATTATTTTCTATATGTTGATGATCCTGATACACGTCAAACAATTTTAAAGCAAATAAAATTTGGTATACAAATCAATCATCATCTGAATCACAGAGTGGCATTTAATATAGTGATACTCTAAAAATGTCTCACTTCAAACTTCTTCATCGGGGCAGAGAGGGCAATTTAATTTCAGTGACAAGGTTGATAAACTGAATCAAAGTATAGCACTGGGTACAAGGTCAAGAACACACATGTGTATAAGATTCATCATAATCGTACATAATGATTATATGTGTGTACTAACCGAATGGGCATAGATTACAATGACTGGCCAGAACCTATAACAATTTTTAAAAGGGGGGGGGGGACACCCCCTCCTAAGAAAATGTTCAATCTCCCCCACGTTTTTCAAGATTATGAATAGACTTAAGCAAGGCACATGTAGAAAATGAATACATGAACCCCAAGCCCCCATCCCATCTTCTTCTAGAATCGTATCTAGTTCAAGCATCACTAGCATACTAACACATTAATACTTGTATGTCCTACCTTTGAGTCTTGGTCTGAACTTGTGGCCAATGTTATCTGTTCTGTAGATTCATCAAGAAATATGTCTTGTAATACAGATCCACTTTCAAGAGGGACAGTCTCGTAGGCATAGCCAAATGAGCTATTCACAATATTAACCTGGTAAAACAAGCAAATTAAATTCATAGAACATACCGATACAAATAATATTTTACAAGTGTGCAGGCCCACATATCAATAAAATAATTATTCAAAAATTAAATGTCTTGAACAAAATTCTTTATCCTGCTGGATAAAAAAAAGCTTGTCCAGCTATTATTACATGGGGACGACATGTGTGTCTTGAAATAAAGCTACATTCATTCATGCATCCATCTTCATGGTGTTGGCTGGTATTTTGACCGATTTTAAGTCACTCCTGTAGTACCTATTTAGAGCTGGATATGCAAGACTACCCAGAATGAGAACAAACAAATGAGTGAAAGTTTGAGCAATATCCAGTTAAAAACTGTATGACAGAATAGATTTGTGTCATACAGGGGTTATATAAAAACCATATTTGCAAATAATTATATTTAGGGAGAATGTATGATTGGAAAGGAAAATAGAAATGCTTTAAGTTTGTTAGTACATGGGAAACGGGAGGGTAGCTCACAAGATACGTCACAGAGTTCCTGGTTTATGATTGATCGCACCTTCACCAATTCATAACTTTTTTTATTTAATCTGTTTTTCCTAAAACTTTCACTGACCTGTTTCTTGCATTTCTCCGCTTCTATTAAACCCGACTCAATTTGAGGGTGGACTTCCCCTTTGAAAATAGAATGGGTTCTCACTCATTGATGCTCACACTGTGATAGCCTTAGACTGTTTGGCTACACTCATGTTCTGTGATGTCATTCAAAGCAAATGGTGCACACCCTCCCCCCCCCCTTTCTTTAGGGAAGTTCTAGATTAGTATTATCTTTCAAATGCCGTTGGAATTTAACCTTTTCATTTTTTAGGGCCTGCAAATGGGACATAGTACCTTTGAGGTATTAACTGGACAGATAAAATTCTAACTTTATTCAGGAGGCCTTGTTTTGACTTTACATAGGATTGGGAATATGAAAAGTATCTGAAATCAGGTAAAATTTTCACTACCCTTTCACTGAGCGCATTCAAAGAGGAGAAGCTGGCTACTCAATAATACAAAAGAGAACAAAATAATATGAACATCGCAAATTGTCAAAAGGAGTGAAATATTATCTAGAGCAACACAATAATGGACTGTAATATATACTTATCCAATGAAAGTAGTACTTATATATACATTTACATTTACATGTAGCTTCATATATTCATCAATTTCTCTCACAAAATTATTCTTTTTGTAGGATTAAGAGACAAATAATTTATCAGGCTTTACTACAAAAATACATTGTAGTCTATGAAACCTACTAATATACAAGTAATTAATGGAAACGAGTGCAATGGTAAAAAAGTACTGCGGGCAAGTTAATTACAATGCACGAGACTTTTATCTGGATAATTGCAGTGCAATCACTAATGCATGCGTGTATTTGTTTTATCGACAATACGAATATTAATTTGAGAAATAAGCAACAAACCTGGTCAAAATGTCACGCCAATTTTATTTTGGCCATTTCAAGAATTGAGTTATTGATGTAGACAAATGCTCATGTACCCTTTACAGCTCATTTTATTATGTTATTACCAAAGAAGAAAAACGCCAGTCAGTCACTCAATAAAGTCTGACAGTGAAGTCTAGCAAGTAAACGGGTTTCCCTGCCTAATTTGAATATTAGGACACTGCTAACGTTTAAATTTCCCAGATATAAATTTCACGGACATACATGACATATTCATAACTCCTGCAAAGTTCTACAGAATTTGATGTTGGCTGCAAAAGGAACATAGTATCTTTAAGACTGTGGTTATCCTTCACCTGTATGCATATGTACACTAACCTTATGTAGGTATCCTTGTGTATCTCCCATGAATGCCACAGTGTGATTTCTCTCTATGGTTGTTACAATGGAGGTGGGTATCACACCAGGCATGGTGGTGATGGGTGAGGCAGAGAGGGGAACTGTACCACTTGCATACCGGTAGAGAGTCACAGGAGGATCACCCTCATCTTGAGTATAAGCTGTACACTGTGCTGTATCAGGTGGAGTGTATGTGTCAGGAAGCTGCCAAAAGAACATAAGGAGAGATAATGGCAATGAAAGCGTCACAATAGAGGGAGAATAATACAGGTAATTTTGATGTTTCAGTTTAGAAAAAAGGGGAACCATTCCACTGGTATAAGAAAATCATTACTCTTCTTCGTAATAGGCTGTATACTGGACTATATACAAATTTAGAATGAAAGCTGAAAATAATGGCTAGCTGTCTTCCTATGGTAGGTAAGGTGGAGGTATCATATCAATAAAAGTGGTCAGCAAAAAAAGGGAGCACGTAAACATCATCTCCAATGACAGTCCTAACATGGTGCCCTCTCTATGGAGGTGGGGATCATGACAGAAGATGTGATGATGGACGAGGCAAAGAGAGAAAATGTAATCACTTTACTCGTATGTGTAATGTTGTATTTTGCAAGAGAGCTTTTTTACAGATTTTGTGATTGGTTGTATGTAACAAGTCACTATGAGTCAGCGATGACTGCCCAAACTTGTATGGTGAGGGGCCTGGGTTTACAATATTGAAGTTAAAATGTCGGTGTCAATATCATCAGTGAAAAACATTTGTATACAAAATAAATTCAGGATACTGCTCCAAATACTACACAAAATAGGTTTTACATTTTCTGATTGAACTTGCAACAGAGAGAAATCTGTCTTCTGACTTGAATCAGAAATTGAAAGGGATATTATTTGCGGTTCTAGGACACCTACCCCCTGGGAACCCACCCCCGGATAACCACCCCCAGTCAACTACCGCCTAGGAAAACTAACCCCTAGGGCAACCAACCTCTAGGACGAATACTCCCCGGACAGCTACCCCCGGACAACTACCCACAGACAACTACCCCCTAGGACTACTACCCCCTAAGACAACTACCCCGGACAACTACCCCCAGAAAACTACCCCTAGGACAACTACCCCCAGACAACTACCCCCTATGACAACCATTCTCTAGGACAACTACACCCGGACAACTATCCTAAGGGGTAGTTGTCATGGGGTAGTTGTCCTATGGGGGTTGTCTGGGGGTAGTTGTCCTAGGGGGTAGTCGTCATAGAGGGCGGTTGCCCTAGGGGGTAGTTGTCCTATAGGGGGTAGTTGACTTGGGGTGGTTATCCCGGGAGGGTAGATGTTCAGGGGGTAGGTGTTCGGATACGATTATTTACATATACACTGTTGGTCATAAAGGTGGAATATTTATTTTTACCCCAATTTATGGAATGATTTTGACAATAATTTATTCCTAATAGATCTAGATAATAGTATACATTCTCAGATTTTATTGAATAATAATTTGCCAGAGTTTTTTTTTTTTGCGTGACTGCTAAAGCATGTGTGTGCTACTATGCTAATCAACTAGCGGACCTACGTCCTTAAGTCATAACTGATCGTAATGAGGATTAATGCCTCACAAAAGGGCACTAACATAGCTGATCGACACGGTTTTTATTCTGGGGCCTCACAGTAACAAGACCATTGCTTAGCCACATCATGAATGTACGCAGCGGGGGCCAGGGTACGTCGCCGTCCTCACAAATACAAAAAAAATAAAAAAATAAAACGCAATAAATTATCAATAATTCATTGCACTTTCCCCTGGTCCCCAACAGGAAAAATTCCTCTGTAGGGCCATGCATTATGGTTTAAGGCATGGCCGCCACACAAAGGATTTTTTTAATGTTGGGGGGGGGGGGGCAAATGCAGAGTGAATGGGCTTGATGGGGTTATCATGTTCAGATCATGTCAGGTCAGATCAGATCAGATCAGATTAAATCAAATAAATTCAAAATATATAATCATTTACAATTATAAGAAATCATATCAAAGCAAAGCAAATCAAATAAACCCAACTCAACTCAATCGAAGTACAATTAGGTGTGCACATCTAAGAACTGCAACAAACTCTGATGATTATGATGATACATATTCACATATATCTTGTAATTTAATTGACTTACTGAGTCACAGAAGCTGTTTTGAAGGAAGTCGTTTGATGTTCCTAACCAGTTTCCGCCTCCCTGGATACATCCCAAGACAGCATCTTCAAAGCTCTGCTGGACATCACTCATCGTATAGATACAAAGAGCAGATGAACTCCCACTTGTAAATACAGCATACAGAAGGTCATCAGTACTCTCAATATTCAATGAGTCACCTAACTGGGATCCTGCCAGTCCGATATGAGCAGACAGGATCACATTGTGAGATCTACACTGTAGTTCTATCTCTGTGTAGGATGCGAAATCCCCATCTAATGAATTACGACACAGTCGCCCCAAGTATACAGATTCTTCCCTTGAAATGAAATAGTAGAGATATTTCATGTAATTGATCAAATGTTTACAAATGTTCTGTGTGGTGTGGGATTGAGGTGGTGATACCCTTTGTACAGGTGTCAGATCTACAAGACTGTGCTTTGAGACAGATGCAAAACTCACTGATGCATCACTGGTCCCTGTGAATAAGTACAATCCACCATCTACAGTACCCTCGCCATTCCTTACCAAGTCAGCACCCAAAACAACAGCTCCAACAGTGGGTGCATCTGATATTGTCACAACAAGCTGAGCATAATGAGAATCATATCTCTCTACATCATGTGATATATTAGTCAGGCTTCTTGTCTCACAGAAACCATCACAGCTGCCACATGTGACGAGCTTGTCCTCAGGTGATGGAGCTACAAGAAGAAGCTTATTGTTGTTTGTATTTCCATTTGGTGAAGGGCATTGTCCAGTATCCACAGTGTGTTTGAGAGTCAGGTCTGAGTTGAGTTGATAGAGTCTCTGCCGTGCTCCTATATAGACATCTCCAGTGATGTTGTTGATGGTGATGTGGTTGAATGGTAGGGTGGGGTCAGGACTGGTAAAGGATGATACCAGGTAGGAGGAGAGAGGAGCTGAGTATATCGACGGAATGATAAGAAGCAAGCAGAAGAGCATGGCGCCCAGCTTAAAAACATCTGCTGGTGGCATGATCGCCTCTTTTATTCGATCCTTGGTAGTTCGAGATGATGAACCTATGAGATGTTTAAAGGAAAATTACCCAGATGATGAGATCCATTTCATGATCACATTTATTGAGTTTATATTTTAATGTATATCAAAGAGTTAATTATGATATTTGTGAGTGATTTTGATGGTTGATGATTAGTTGTGTATGGATGGAGATCGATATAATGGTCATTGTGAATATAATCGTAAAGACCTTTGAAAAATCAACTTAAGGCAATTTCAATAGCCTCATCCGCCGTTTTGAAACGTGCGAACCCTACAATGACGCATTGCAAATTCCGAACTTGATTTCTATAGGATATAGATGTACAATGGGGTATTGGAATTTCCCTTGAGTTGAGTTTTCGAAAGAAGTCGCTATCGTGTGTTTAATGTTATTCTGTCAAAATATTCTCAATAAAGCCTACCAATAATAACTTTAATCAACGATAAAACATCAAATCAAGAATATATAAATGAATAAAAACCCCATGAACATATTCCTTACCTTAATAAGTCTTCGATGCCGTTTGTCGTGAATGTAATATACTCTACAGTGTATAGGAATATATCGAACGAGGAAGTAATGGTTCTAAACAATTTTTGTCAGAAATTATTGCAACATCTTCGTTGCAGCCTTATTAAACACCACGGCACAGTTCAAAGGTTCGATTTTTAAATAAATATTGAGGAGCTGGCTCGACTTATCACTTTTGAGCACTTTACCTCTTCGATGCCGTTTATTGTGTATGTTATTTACTCAACAGTGTACATATATAATCAATCGAACGAGGAAGTATTTAGAATTAAAAGAAAATTGTCAGAAAACTTCCCGTTATCACGCTTTGAGTACTTTACCTCTTCGATGCCGGTTGTTGCGAATGTAATGTATTATATAGTGTATAGAAATATATCGAACAAGGAAGTATTTAAAAAACAAAATTCGTCAGAAAGTTTTCCTTTATTTTCATTATTGCAATATAATTGCAAGCTTCATTGCATGCTTAGTAAACACCATGACAAAGGTCAAAGGCTTGAGTTGTCAATGACTATTGAGGAGGGATCAAACTTGAACAACTCGAGCAGTGATAACGAATTTCAAAAAAAAAGGGAAGAATGTCCTGATAACAACAAAACATCTTTAAGAAATGGCTTCCCACCTCTTCCACCTTCCAGCCCCTGCAGCTTTAAACCACAGCACAACGCACTTTTGCTATTTTCCCGGTGTTCTTCTCCTTCACCATTTCCAGGCAATATACGTGTTTTCTTACTATGAAGATCTACTTATGCATTCCCTACGTACGGAAAGTGCCCTTCGATCAACTCTTTGGAAACATTTTATTTTTTCCATACCATGGACAAAGAAATTTACGAAATAATAGGAATGAGTGTTTTTTAAACAAAGTGAAATAGTTCAGGGACCTATGCTTCAAAGCTAATCATGTGGTGTCACGAAAATTTACTAGCGTTGTTTCATCGGAGTAATATATATCTCATCGAAATCTGTGGTAATACGAACAGAAATCGGAAGCAGAAGTCTGAATGGCGAGTCAAATTTGTAGGAATTTCGTATAAGTAAGGATCGCATATATGCTTCCAATATGTTCATTTGAACCAAACTCATGGCCCCATACCAAAACTTTGTATTACCTCTAATGTTATCACCCATTAGTGATCTTCACCTGCGCCACTGAAATTTACACTGATGTAATCCCAATACAATATCGGCCTAATAATCATATGGTTATGATTAATGGTACTTAAAACGGGTTTACAGAAGTACAGGTTCATGCATGGATGCAAATTAAATGCCATTCCATCTGTATCATTCAGACAAGATGGTCTCCTCGTACTTTAATAGTATGCTTCCCCGCACAATCTCAAAGCCAAATTGTTTTGTAACTGACACTTTACAGTTATCTTTCATATTCTTCAAATGACTCAAAATCAGAGTTCATGCCAAAGGAGTCATACATGGATGTATACGCGTCCCAGAAAAGAACGAACCACGACAACAAACGAAAATTATGAGGAAATAATGAGTTGTGTGAAATAATTTGTTGCTCTAATTCATAAAGTAGTAGTGATATGCTTTTAAATGAAACTTTGATTGATTTAGTCCATGCCCGCTTCACAAAGCAACATTATTTTGAAAATGCATATCAAAATCCACTAGTGCCAGATTTTGGCCAGTGAAAACGTCAGTATCACTTGCAAACACGACTTGCAAAAGGGGCTTAGTAACATTGTTCAGATGAGAGAACATGGTGCTAACTAAGGTAGTGAATTCAATGCTAGATGTACAATCTGATAACTTTTTGTTAGTTAAAAAAAGGCCATTAATAATTGTTAATGATACAAATTGGGAAAAAAATGATCTGATCGATTCCTAAATTCTCCCATCCACATATTTATAATTAAATTAAATTTTAGGCGAATATAAATCGTCATAAAGCAATGAATTTGCTCTATATACTATTCCAAACGTGTTGAAGGATTTTAATAGGCTGCTTTATGTCTTATTTTCATGGAGAAAAAAATGGTTGGTAAAATTCAAAAATGGTCGAGAGAATTTACTATCAGAGAGTGTCGCACATTGACGCCTTCAAAGAAAGCCATAAATATCTTTGTGGTTTGAGATTTTTTTTCTTCAGGATTTGTTAGGGCTTGTAGAGTAAAAGGAATATAATAAGTACCGGTTCATTAAAAAATTAGGCAGTTTTTTTTATCAACCTTCAACGATGTTACCGGGTCACTTCAAGTGATGATTATGCAAAATTCCATTGAATGACGATTTGTAGTAAAATAAGCAGTAACAGAAAATAGGGGCAAATACTTATTTCGGACAGGGGCGTACACCCTCAGATTTCTCGCAAATTATTGAATAACCCTCGAGCACAGATCTATTCCCTTCTTTTTCCTGACATGTCAATACCCTTACTATCTTTAATTTTCTGCTGGCATTATATTTGCCCTCGTTATTAAAAGAAAAACATGAAAACAATATTCTCGTTGTACTTAAAATTGTGCGTCATGTTCGGTCATGATCGCCGTCATGTTGTTTTTTTTAAACAAAAAATCGTTTTCTTTTCTAATAAGAAATTTGTATTGTTAAACATAATTGGATTATTCTTTTCTTCAAAATTCCTACAACCGTCCAAATCTTCCCAAGCTTTTGTCATTTTAAATGCAATCTCGGGTACGTGTACCACCCCATAGTCCCCCCCCCCCCCCCCACACACACACACAAGCACCAAACACACATCCAGTTTACCTGCTCACAATCATATTCATTTCTAATTTCGCGCATTTATGTACTCGACAACCTGCTTAGCATCTTTTCCTGCTCTATAAAATCCGTAATAGTTGTCTGTAATATCCTCCTTGGTATCTTTAATAGCTTGACTAACTTTCTATGAACACAGTGAAAATTTACGTTTAAGTGTGTAAAATATATAAGCTAGGCAAGAGTTTGAGTCGACAACACATGGAACAATGAGTACCCATAAACAATCACCTGAAATCTCTTGAATAAAGAGAGGTTGAGTTGGTTCAACAAACCCAGAAACCAAATTAAGAACATATTATCATCAAGTACACATAATACTTCGTACAAAAAAGCAAGAAAAATGATTAGACATGGAATTTATTTAATAGCAATGCGTAGTAGAATCTCACTTTTAAAACAAATATTTGTCTTCAATAAAAAAAAAAAATTACATACAAAAATTTATATTTACAACTCGAATACTTAAACCATTGAAGATTATTCAGCAGGGGAAAAATAGGTTGTTTTTCTTTATAATGATCAATCAAAATAGTACATGTAATGTAATTTTTCAATAGTACTTAGAAAGTTGTATACAAACATATTTGTCTTGAATGCATAGGAAGTCCTTTTCAAATAGAAAGTAAGATGTCCTTATCAGAAAGTGCATAAATGATTACAATTAACAATGAATCCTTTTTCCTTTCTGAACATACCTTGAGCTAAATGAATATTCACATTTACAGAATTAGCCATTTTCTGTTAAAAAAATATCCCATGTTTATTGGATACAATGTAGACTTTAAGGGAAATCCAACCTTAATATCAAACAACTATAGATAAGAGGAGAGGAGAAAAATAGACTGGTGAAAGTTTGAATGAAATCGGACATAAAATGGTGATTTTTTTAAAAGATGTAATCAGTATAAGTATAGACTTTTCAAATAAGATGAATCAGTAACGTCTCTGTGATGTAGTGGCAGACAACTTCCCCCCTTTGTTCAAACAAACAAATTGAATAAAATTTCAATTTTTCAAAAATGTACGAATCAGGAGGTCATTCTCTCTTCAGGGGACCTACAATAATATGCTATCCATAATATATTTAAGTAATGCTCCAAGGGTGAAGGCACTTAGGAGAAAAACACAAATTAAGTACATTTTTCAACACAAAACAGGAGAATACCACAACCACAAGGCAAATTGCTAATTTGCGATTTGCAGACACTTTGTGATCTCATATTTCATACATTCATAACTTTCTTATTATTGGTCAGATTCATTTCAAACTTTCGCCATTTTGTTTATCTTATTATTCTGCTTTCACACAAATTAATTTATTACAAGGGTTAGATTGCAGTGAAATGGGTGTCCTTAAAAACACTTTCCTATTTAAGACTTCACATTTCCTAGACTCAAAAATTGCTACATAAATTGAAATTGAACATATTTGATTTATACTACAATCTATATTCACATTTCAATCCTACCACGACTCTGCTTTCTTTCTTATCCTTTACAAAACATGATAGGTCGAATTATCTTTAGCTCTCAGTAAAAAAAAAAGTGTTTATGATTACAAATAATAGGGATCGTAAAGAAACAACATTTAAGACAGACTACATCTTTAATATTCACTAGGTTCATAGACATAATAGTGTATGTGGACATGAATATATATAAATATCATCCTTTAAGGTGTTTTCCAAGTTTCTAACTATTCCAAATTAAAAGGTACTACTTTAAATGAATTCATTGCTGCATATGATATCATGGACAAATTTGGCATCATTTATAGTTGACAATAGCTTCATACATTAATAAGCAATACAGAATAATGTTATGTTTATTCAAGGAAAGATACCAGATTCATATATAATATTCTGAGTACACAATGTTACTGATTATAATGAGCATCACCTTATGGTGCACATATCACCCAGCCTAAAAGATCAAGGTGCCTACAACTTATCCCTCATGTGCAGAAAGAGCAGCTACTCTATATAAAGAAACATTAGAATCAGGGGCTGTATCTCAAACAATCCTGTACTGAACGCACAATTCAAAGCAAATATATTATGTGAGTTTTTGTTATAATGTGAGTATATGGAGCAATTGCAGGATAACATTAAAAATCACTTTTTTATCACCATACAATGTAGACAGTATATTGAAATTTCTGTGATAGATTATTCGTGTTCTTAGATGATCTGAAGAATAAAATAGATAGCGATGCATATGACAGATATACTTGTACATCATGATTCTAGAAAATTGGTCAGAATTTCACAACTGAGATAAACTGAGACATACACAAAACATTGCGCAAAAAAAACCTAAATTTCCAAGTTTAACAAGTAAGTTACATGTAAACATATACACTATTTCTTTTCGTTTGTTTGTTTTTACCAGACAATATTTGACACTGAGAATAAGAAAGATTGACTTTACATCTAAATGCATGCAATATTTTTTTGCCAAGATGCTTCCTAATGACACAAAGAGAATAAAACAAGCAACACAAAAGCTGTAACCACGTACATGCAGTAATTTAGATCAATTCAAGCAACACGTGTAATGAATTAATTTGTAATAATGTTTTTTTTTGGAAAAACGAACATGGATGTCCATATACACATACTACATTTTTACCTTTATATCTTTGTATCAAAAATTGTACAGTACCGTTTCATCACAATTAATTAAAATCTTAGTGGAAGCTTAACATGTTTTATTCATTAAACTGAATTAATACATACAATATTGACAAAGAAGACATAGGAATCCTAACATATAAAGTAAACTCATACAGTATTCAATGAGTAAGCGCAACATATTCTTTTGTGTTACAGTTTAAAGATGGATGCATTATTTATAATAAATGCATAATTCATTTATTTGTATGCTAGAGGATATTTCAGATTGATTTCAAATTCATAACATATTAACAGCATTCAAGTTTTCCCTATCAGGCTTTAACAATCCTGAGAACAAATTTTGAGCAAATGTCTATAATTAATGAGATTTTTACATAATTCAATTCAATTCAAATGAGGTTTTATTCAAGACCTGTCAAAAAGTCCAAAGACTAAAAATGCAAGTTTACATCAAACATATAATCATATAAAAAAGCGTTCAAAAACATATATATATATATATAGAGAGAGAGAGAGAGAAAACATAGCAAATGAGAACAAATATATAAAAATGAATAAATGTTTACATCAAAACATCAAAGCAATAATGTGAAAAATCTGGAATTTTCTTGGTAAGATTTGTCAAAGGGAAAAAGCATGCCCCTTTTCAAATAAGATAATCCATATATACATGTATTATCAAAATCGTGCCTTATAGGCATCTTTCCATTTAGCTCACTTTTTGTGTGTTAATACAAGTGATGAACAACAGCAGCTGAACACTTGAAATAAGCTGCATATGGTTCTGCTCACATCATCTCTGTGATTGAATCAAGCTGTGGAACATGAAAGAAGGAAAAATGTTATCAACATTATAGACGGATCCATATTTATGGAAGTATTGAACAGGTATGTGTCTTTGAAAGATTTAAATAGGAAACTCCTTGATAGTTTACACTTAAATGTCATTAAAAGATTGAATTATTGTTCATTTATACACAATACACAGATGGAAGTTTTCTGTGAAAATGCGAACAACGGCTATTTATGTAGCACCTTCATCGATGTAGGAGCAATTATTTAAAATTGTACAAAGTGGGACCTCTTCATGTTTTGAAGATCTGTGAATATTCAGGGTCATGTGGGACATGTGCTAACCATGAACTGGTCGGTTAAAATGAATTTATTCACTTACTAAGCCGGCAGTGTCGTGATGGGTGAAGTCATAGAGCAATTTCAGGGTTCCAACACGGCTGAAAAGACCAGAGAATTCCTGGAAAAAATGAATAGAAAGGAATTGAATTATTACATGTATGTTCATGACCTGTAATAATTCATGGCTCTTAAGCAAAATGATACTTATAAACATAGATATAACAACGAGTTCTCTTTCAATTGTTGAAAACTTGAAAGTAAACAACAATAGAGGAATTGGAAAACTTTTTAGTGAAAATCTATGGATGGCTAATCATAATAATATTATAGCTTGAAGATGGTGCTCTTAATTTGGAATACCAAGACTGAAAGTGAGAAATGTCTTTCCTCCTCTCCTAAATGAGGATTACAAATGCATCTTGAACTTATAATGATCAAGTTATAATTCATGCCACAAACTAATGTTTTTTTCAACATGAAAGCGCAAGGCAATTATGTTCCCAGGGGATCTCAAACTTTTTTCTTTACAGTCCAGATGTGATTTCCATGTAAGCTAAACAGTCCGAAGTAACGGGCAAATCTAGTTTGCTAAGTCAATTATTTCCATTCATATAAGTTTGTGATATTATACATACTAGTCTTTACACGTACCTTAATTTCAAGAGTTAAGACAGTCAAATATAGAAGATTTGGTATGCATGTATTGTAGGGTATATCAGTGGGAAAAGTGGCATTGTGTCCCGGTAATAAAGCTCCTTAAAGGCCTGGTCACACAGAGGGGACGCATGGGGGACGCACGGCCAGCGCATTGGAAATTTGCAATTTGGGCCAGTGCGTTGTCGTTCGCTAGGCGTGCGTCATCATTCATTACTCGTTCGTTGAGCCTGCTAAACCAACGCTAGACCAGCGCTATGCATTCGTCGTCATTCGCTGTGTTTTGAGCATGCTCAAAAGTGTGCGCGGAGCTCGACGCATGAATGTACACGCCAGAGGCATGCCAGACATGCGTGGAGCGCGCTAGACCAGCGCCAGATATACGCGGAGCACACGCCCTGTATACGCACAGCGCGCTAGCTACACGCTGTGCATTTTTTGTCAGCTCGCTAGCTTTTCCAAGATCATGGCAAAAGTTAGGCACACAGCCTTTTCCTTTTACAAATGGAGCATTAATGTAACTGTTCAGACAATCTACTACTAGGATTTATACAGTTTAACCCTAAAAAGACCAGATTATTTTGAGGGGTGGGGAGGGGTTGTGTCCCCTTGGAATCTCAGCTATGAAATGACAACAAATTCTTAACCTTAGCATATTGATAGAGTTTCATAAAGATTTATGTCCATGAAGTTTCATATCTATGTCTCAAATGGTTTTTGAACGATTACTAACTCTTCATATATTCACGAAGTGACAATTCTGTATTGTGTACAGTACATAATTTATGGTAGAATGTTCATTTTTGCCACGCACAGTGCCGAAATTTTTCCCACTATGCAGTACTTCAACTGCGGTCCAGACTTTAAAAAGCACTGCTTTACTGAAATGAGTCCTTTAAAAATGTTAAAGTCATGTGCTTACAAATGAGATCTATGGAGAACCAGTAAATGTAGGTGTGAAATTATGAGGTAATCGTATTTCCTTAATACACATGAACCTTAACATCCTAGAGACCTAGAGAAGTCACACAGACCTACCTGTCCAAGCCTATTGAATTCTCCCTGCAGCTCGATATGTGTTGGTTCTGGACGGGAAGCCAGGTTCTTATAGTAATCACTGATAGTTCTGATGTACCTTGGTAGATCCTTGACAAATAACACTCGATTCAGGGACGAGTCCTGCATAGGAGATCATGTCATAAGAAAACATCATTAACGAGGGAGGGGTCTAGAGAAAAAACACTTGATGATCACTAAGTCCATCGATAAAGATTTTTTCTTCTTGGTTTCGAAAGTGATTCTGTTGATACCTGTTTAAATACATGTTTCATAGAGAATTAAAGCAGATTAAAGGAGGTAACCTTATTTTTTAAATGATTGTAAAATCTGTTAATGATGATTTTGAATTGATTTTGAATTTGCTCCAGAAAATGTTAAAGCAATTATCAACAAATTACCTATACATATTAGTTGCACATCCATTTCAATATCTGTTCATATTCATGTTTGATGCTATCTATTGGTATATATCACTGTGCAGATAACTTACTTGATTTTTTTCTGGGATGATCTTCTTACAGGCATTGTCTAGCATGTTAGCCAGGACAGACACGCTCTGATCAGCAGAACGTGATTGACGCATGTCAAAGATGTACGATGGGTGAGTCAGAGTGGTTACCCAGTAATGCTGAGGAAGGCTACAGTACAGTGATACAGAATGGGGAAATAAGATTTAGTAGTCTGAACAGAAATCAGAAACATATTCAAGAACATGCAATGAATGCCTTTCTACAAATCTAATCTGACTATATCAACAAAACTACAAATGAGATACCACAAGCTTTCAAATATTTTGACATATATATACATGTACACAGATTCACTTCTTCTAATGCTGATGCTTTCAATAAGCATAGAATTCTGGAGGGTTTTACCGCATTGACCTTGGACTTTCTACAAAAGTACATTATATAGTTCATATGGATATCATACGTGATAATACATGCTAGGTCTTGATGTTATGGTAGATTCACTACTTGACGATATACATGTACGTAAAGTTTCTAACATAAATCTTGAATTGATTTTCCCATATGCTTTTGACAGATTTTCGCTACATTTACTTGTACATACCTGCAAAAGAATCACTTGTTACGCACATTGTTAAGTCATTATAGAGCAGCTGATCTCAAATGTAATAATAATAAAAACTCTGTGCATGTATGTATGACATTTAACTTGATCATTATCACAATTTCTAGTATAACAAATAGACCCAATGGTGAGAAAATTTGAATGATTTTACTGTAATATTTGGGGGAAATCAGGAATTTCAAACACCTCACCTGTTACTCTTCCAGGCTTCTGAATAGTCTTGTGGGTGATTAGGGCAGTATTTAGAAGCCATTCCATCGTAGAAATCAAAGAAATTCTTAATGGTAACAGGTGTAAGGTCTGGATTCTCAAACACTGCTGCCAGGAACTGGTTCAGGAATGGCTCGATGGTTTTCTGTCATACCATAGAAAGAAAAGGAAATTATTATATTGTCAGTTTATAAAATTACATGGCTTTTGTGATTAGAATCCTTTTTCTTTAAGCATATGAAAAATTACAATACTAACTTTAAGATATTTAAACGGTATGCATAATTTGAAAAACAATAAATAAGTATTTAGTCAATTTTATGAGTCAGTTAAAGGTAATACAAATTTTTGGGAAATTTTGAAAATTGGGTGGATAGTGATTCTTTTCAATTGTGATATATTTGGATGCCCCTGTGGATGTATTATAAGCTCTAGAAAATTTAGCCCCTAAACTACTTCTGCTTTCGAGAAAAATTGAATATAAAAATTTACCGGTGCTCCCGGTAAATTTTGATAAATTTCAAATAGCGCCTACGGCCGTACAATGGTAGCTGCGACCATGAACATCTCAGAATATGTAGTTGTGATATATAATTTCCGAACGGGAACAACTAATCGGTAGATTTTAGTCAAGAATCATTGTATTATAGCTCAATTTATATCTGGACCTTGAGAGGGAAATATACAACATAAAGAGTTTATTATTTACAATTTCATATCTTTAGACTCGATTTCAACCGCGACAACGATCACTGAATATTGTAGGACCGCATAAGCATCCAATATGTTCATTTGAACCAAATTCATTACCCCATACCAAAAATTTGTATTACCTTTTATGTTTTCATATTTTATCTAGTTTTATATAACTGTGTGCAATTTTGCATTTTGCGTCACATTTTTTAGTGAAATTATTACACAAATAAATGACTACAAATACTATTATGCAAACCTTTGTAACTAGCAAATGGGGCGCTGAGAATTCCTTATCTAGCTTGGTCTTTGATGGATCACCATTGGCCTGCAGGTGATCTTCTGGAAGCTATCAACAACAAAAACATATCAAAACAATTGCAATAAACATCTCATACAAACCGTACATCAAAATTCAGTGAGAATTTATCCTGTATTTTGTATTTATTGATTGTGATGCAAACTTAAAAAGTTATTTAAGAGAAAAACGGGTTCTAAAATATTTTTAATTAATTTAATACCATAAAAGGCATTCAACTAATGTCCAAATAAGAATAGCAGAAAATAAAAGGGTGAACGAAAAAAAGAAGAAGAAAATCTTGTTTCCATCCTGAAATTTGTTATCTTACTCTTTGTCTAGTGGCACACAATGCCATTGGTTTGGTATTAAAGCAGAATATAACAAACAGAAAACAACAGTTTGATCAGAACCCCCCCCCCCCAAGATTTGATAATAATTGCACTGTACTATTTAATTAAAAAACACAAAAGAAGCATTTACCAGATGACAGTGTTGGAAGCCTTCTCTCTGTGTCTGTATCCTAGTGTAGTCTCTATCTCTCACATCAGTATTTCCTTGCTGCTCATCTGGAATCATCAAAGTTAAATAGAAACAGCAATTAACTAGACAGTTCAGAAACAGTTACAAGAGTATATGATACATGCAAAATAGCCGAGATAGTATATAAATTGAAACTGAAAATAAAGTGATTTATTGATAAAAACATATAAAAAAATAGCAATTATAGTACCTTAAACTTCATTAAAGTCAGCTTAGCAAAATATAGTGGCACAAAAATACACATCTAGAACACAAAATGCATTGTATAGTTAGTGATGTTTTTCAATTGAAATATCCTCTTTCAATTATCTGAATACAAATTTAGCTAACACCAATCCTCATCGAGATGGTATATCCATATACCAGCTCCATACCCCAACCATGAAGTTCTACCTCTGTATGATCAAATTTTGATTTTCATAAATTTTGATTGGATGTGACTTTTCGTACCACTATATTTTGCTAAGCTAAGCCTTAGATAGGAGTTACGGCTCTTCCAGCTTAGCAAGATAGTCTTAAACTCTGTCTCAGATGTGAGTTACAGCCCTTCCAGCTCAGCAAATAGACTTCAACTCAGTCTCAGATATAAGTTACAGCCCTTCCAGCTTAGCAAGATAGGATTAAAATTTGTCTCAGATATGAGTAACAGCCCTTCTAGCTCACTATGATAGGCTAAAACCCTGTCTCAGATATGAGTTACAGCCCTTCCAGCTCAGCAAAATAGGCTTCAACTCAGTCTCAGATATGAGTTACAGCCCTTCCAGCTCAGCAAATAGACTTTAACTCTGTCTCAGATATGAGTTACAGCCCTTCCAGCTCAGCAAAATAGGCTGTAACTCTGTTACAGATGTGAGTTACAGCCCTTCCAGCTCAGCAAAATAGGCTTAAACTCTGTTTCAGATATAAGTTACAGCCCTTCCAGCTCACCAAGAGAGGCTTAAAGTCTGTCTCAGATGTGAGTTTCAGCCCTTCCAGCTCAGAAAATAGACTTTAACTCAGTCTCAGATATGAGTTACAGCCCTTCCACAGCTCAGCAAAATAGACTTTAACTCTGTCTCAGATATGAGTTACAGCCCTTCCAGCTCAGCAAAATAGACTTTAACTCTGTCTCAGATATGAGTTACAGCCCTTCCAGCTCAGCAAAATAGACTTTACCTCAGTCTCTGATATGAGTTACAGCCCTTCCAGCTCAGCAAAATAGACTTTAACTCTGTCTCAGATATGGGTTACAGCCCTTCCAGCTCACCAAAATAGACTTTAACTCTGTCTCAGATATGAGTTACAGCCCTTCCAGCTCAGAAAATAGACTTTAACTCTGTCTCAGATATGAGTTACAGCCCTTCCAGCTCATCAAAATAGACTTTAACTCTGTCTCAGATATGAGTTACAGCCCTTCCAGCTCAGCAAAATAGACTTTAACTCTGTCTCAGATATGAGTTTCAGCCCTTCCAGCTCAGCAAAATAGACTTTAACTCTGTCTCAGATATGAGTTACAGCCCTTCCAGCTCAGAAAATAGACTGTAACTCTGTCTCAGATATGAGTTACAGCCCTTCCAGCTCAACAAAATAGACTTTAACTCTGTCTCAGATATGAGTTACAGCCCTTCCAGCTCAGCAAAATAGACTTTAACTCTGTCTCAGATATGAGTTTCAGCCCTTCCAGCTCAGCAAAATAGACTTTAACTCTGTCTCAGATATGGGTTACAGCCCTTCCAGCTCTAAGCAAATGAATTTCATGCAATTTTAATTAGGCTTTCATTCATGATCCCACACGTATATACTGAACATATATAATTTTTAAAATCAAAGTTAGCAAAACAGAAATGAATTTGACAATCCAGTTTCTGAATTGCTACTTACAAATGTAGAACGACTTTGCTCCAGGTGAGACTGGTGTATAGCTTCCAGTATGGCCTTCAAGATTACCAACTTTATTGATCATCGCCATCCGACAATCAGTTGTCACCTGTGTACATCAAGGATACATGTTTACTGTTTAATAGACATCCAGATACATATAATGTGAACCAAATTCAATGTAAACATACACATATGAGTTAACTTTACTAAAATGTAAGGTTAGGGTTACACTGTAGGATTATAGTAAACTGTGACTGAACTACATCTAGCTTCACGCACATTGCTCTATCACACATGTATATACATAAAATTATGGTGGCACAGAACACAATTGTAGGGGTGCATTTTAGTTTTGTTTATATAAGGTATTAAGCTGCATTGGGTTTTAATAGAGGGGAAAATACCCCTGCACCCCCGTGCCAACCCCCTCCCCCAATCTGTTGTTGGTATTTGCTAGAGTCAGTGGCATGCTGAGATTATAAGCAGAATGCACTAACGAGGTTTTCACATATAACTTGACCTGTTACCTTGTTCAAATCATTAGAAATTCATGATGCGTTGCTAGGATGAAATAGCGAAGTTAGAATTAGCATGTTCTTTTCCCTACACATTAACTCTCAGGTATTTGAATATGCAGTTTTGCACACAATTTCTGTGCCCAAGAGAGGCCTGCGCAATATAAATAGACCTAAGTTGTGTCTTTATTTTAGACAATTAGAAACTGTGATGACTCTAGCTTACCCCAACACTCCTGAGTGTATTTACTTGTACAGCCATAGATGTATCTGTTGGTGTGTTGTATTCATCTTGATCACGTAAGATCCTCTGCTCTCCACCAGGATGGTACCACACTGAGAAAGAAAATTGTACAATTCCTGCCACCGTAGTTGATTTTATCACGGCAGACCCTTTTCCTAAATTTGGCCAATTTTCATAACATGCATCAGGACAATTTACTCTACTTCTGACAAATGTACAATACTTATGTAACATAATAAAATAAACAGGCAGTCAATACAATCAGTTCCCCTGTACAAAAAGTGAATAGCCATCATAAACAAAATCATCTTGATTATGTGTGCATCATAATAAATCACAATACTTATTAAAACAGGCTCATAACCCTTTAACAATATTTGTTGTTAAAGAGGCTCCATAGCATCAAAACTTGTTTTAAATCTCACTTGTCAGGTTTAAATTTTTAGCTTCCACTTGCTACGTCGGTCATCAAATATTTATAACATATTTATGTGCACTCTGGAAATTCTCGCCAAAAACAAAAACAAAACATCTGAGGATTTAATAATAGATTGAATAATAGATTTCTAACTCACAGAGATCCAACTCATGAGCTCTACTCTGCTTGACAAAATGCTGTCTTCTGTAAGCTGCATCCAGTATCTTCTGCTTAGTTTGAGAGATGCAGTCAGAGCTGAGGACAGTAACATAGTACTCATGCTGCCCATCAGCACCAACTACAGACAACGACTGTGTTTAGACAAAAACAGAAAGTTTGTCTGAATCTCACTATAAACATGTTCACATCTCACATGGTGCACCTGCAATCCTACTGTATAGGTTATTCTAAGTTCTCCATTTCTCTGTTACCAATTTGTTCATGTAATGAACATGTTTTGAGCAATTAATTCTCTATTAGTTCTAAAACACAAAAGCTTCAAACTTTCAACTGATCTCTGAAAAGAAACTTATTTGCCTCTGTATTACAACTCTGCTCAACACATCAATGCAACAATTAACTAGATGGAATTTTGACTGCGCGCAGTCGAAAATGATGCCTCCGCCATAGAGCAATTTAAACAAGTTTGGAGTTTAAATCTCCAGTGGTTCTTGAGATATCATGATAACAATCTCAATGTATGGAATTTCATAAGTTGACCTCTGTGACCCTTGACCTTTGACCTACGTGCTCCAAAATCTAATCAGATTGTCTTCCTATGGTGATACACACTATCATTAAGTTTGAAGTTTAAATCTCCAGTGGTTCTTGAGATATTATGATAACAATCTCAATGTATGGAATTTCGTAAGTTGACCTCTGTGACCCTTGACCTTTGACCTACGCGCTCCAAAATCTAATCAGATCGTCTTCCTATGGTGATACATACTATCCTTAAGTTTGAAGTTTTTACATCTCCAGTGGTTCTTGAGATATCATGATAACAATCTCAATGTATGGAATTTCATAAGTTGACCTCTATGACCCTTGACCTTTGACCTACGTGCTCCAAAATGTAATCAGATTGTTTTCCTATAGTGATACACACTATCACTAAGTTTGAAGTTTAAATCTCCAGTGGTTCTTGAGATATCATGATAACAATCTCAATGTATGGAATTTCATAAGTTGACCTCTGTGACCCTTGACCTTTGACATACGTGCTCCAAAATCTAATCAGATCGTCTTCCTATGGTGATACATACTATCCTTAAGTTTGAAGTTTAAATCTCAAATGGTTCTTGAGATATCGTGCTAACAAACTCAATACAAGGAATTTCATAAGTTGACCTCTGTGACCTGTGACCTTTGACCTACATACTCCAAAATCTAATCAGATCGTCTTCCTATGGTGATAAATACTATTCCCGAGTCTTAAGTTTAAATCTTAAATGGTTCTTGAGATATTGTGATAACGGTCAAACGGGACGGACGGACAACCCGAAAACATGATGCCTCCGGCACCACCTTCGGTGGCGGAGGCATAAAAAGGGGATCTTTAAGTGACATTGCTATGCTCAAAGGGTGGGGGCAATGACAGTCCCCTCCACCCCCATCCCCTCCCCACCTACATGGTAGACTACATGTACCTGTATACATCAAAACAATTTCCATTTTGGGATTGAATATCACATTACTGTACATTTTTTAATAAATCATGGTGGAAACTTCATATTTTTAGCCCAAATTCCACATGTGAAAAAGTATCCTGAAATGAGGTACAATAACAAGGAACAGATCCCCCTCCCTCGCCCTTTTAGAGTTTATCAATCCTGGTATCTCATGTAAGGATTAAACTGTAAGGTACCATTTCTTCATAAGGAACATCCTCCTCTATGAGACAGTCAAAGTTGAGTGAGAAGTAAGACTGTCCAGTGATGATATCAATGGGTCCCTTCTCAACTTGAATCTTGATAGATTGGTATAACAGGTACAGTGACTTGGCAACATGTTTCTGGCAATAAAATATAGAAAGGAAAATTATATGATAAGAACAAACTGATAGGCAATGTAAATACAAGAGTTTTGTCTGAAAGAGTAAAATAATATAAAATGTTTTAAAATGAAATGTGTGTGCATGTAACTATCAAAAAGTCATGTTATTTACCAAATGAAACTATATACTTTATTTTGTTTGAAGCAATATACATGTAGAAGTAATATAAAGGCAAATTCTACATGTACGGCTCTAAAAGTATTACAATGTGATTTGATCAGACATTATATATATATATATATGCAATATCTTCATGAACTTGGTTGGTAATAAACAGTGATCAAAGATCAAATAGCACACATTTATGAGGTACATATCACCACTGCTCTTATCTCACCATGTATCAATTAGATACTAATTTACCATTAGTCTAAATAACACATTAAGTACATGAAGCATTATTAAAATGAAATATGTAGATAACAAAACATACCTTAAGATAATGGTACATGCAGAGAGAAAACCAGTTGGCCAGCAGCTTTTCAACAATTGTTTCAGTTCTGTGACCAAAATAAACAAAAAAAGATGATAAAAATATATTCAATGTACTTACGATTGAAGATATTAGATGCCAAGTAGGAGAAAATAACATTAACAAATTCTGCTCTTTAAATATCTGAATAATAAAGTTGGAAGAAAATGGAGATAAAATATTGCCAGTGTGTAAAACATATTACTCACTAAAAATGCATCAATACAATAGTTTAGAATTCAAATTCTTCAAGAGCAGAATGTATATTTCTAGTAATATTTCAGACATTAAAAAGTGAGATCACTAAGAAATAAAAATTAATGACTAAATATAACAAATAGAGCCATACACCTGAAATGTTCATATGATCAGCCTAGCAGGCCTGTGCCCTTTAGCAGTATATTTGACAATGCTTAAGTAGCAATTAGGTTTAAAATTCAAAAGTTAAATAAATGTGTTTAGCATCTTACCTTCGAAAGAGAGACTTGAGTTGTCTTCCAGTATCTGATGCATCACTGATCTGATCTTCCAATAATCTTTTGAGGATCCTTGAGAGGGAAAAAGTAGATGTAAACCAGTTGAGCATTGAAAACAAACATGTAGAATGTTTTTTAGGCTCCAGCAAAGCCAAATTCTATGTGTGCAGACTTGTATTCCTATTCATTGTAATGTTTAAAAAAGGTGGATTAACAGGGAATTCTTAAGTTGGTATTTGTTATTTCTACTATTTGATAAACGCCAAGTACTACTTGAAGCACTTCAAACATGCTAACAATGTGCCAACAGGGAAATGAGTAAAATTATATTAAACATAAATTAATCATTCCTGTCACATACAATATATATGTGATGATGCACTTCCATTGTAATTAACTTAAATCCCCTTCTTTAATACATGTAATAATAATAAGTCACATTTGTATAGCCCTTAATACTAGATTTCTAAGCATTTAAAATTGAAATTAGTACCCCTGTCACCGGTTTCAATTGCCAATTGGAACATGATAGTGCATGCGCCCCACTCCCTGCGGAGTATTTTGGCCTCGCTCCATTTTACAAGCATACTACATAACGTTCACATCATACCAGGTACCCATTTAACACCCGGGTAGAGAGGGACAAATGCAGATTAATCTCATGCCGAAGGACATGCTGCGGCACGACTCAAATCTTTTATTTTATTATCTTTTTTTCTTCTTCCATAAACTACCTAATAAAGATAAACTACACAATAAACAAATAATGGGGGGGAGGGGGATAATAAAATAAAATAAACTTTTAAAATAGGAGTGCCAGAGCAACAGGAATTACAGAGTACTGTGCTTTTAAATCTGGGTATGCCTGTGTAGTTTAAATTTTTTAAATCAATACATTTGTACATATATATCAAATATAAGGTAAACTTATAAATATCACAGTGCAAAATGAGAATGAAATGAAAATACATCCATATGATTAATGGCCATCCAGGATATCAATACTTACTTAGTGAAGTAGTCAAAGTTCCCTTCTGATACCAGAATAACTGTAATAAGTGATGCGATGTTGACTCTGAAAATAACAAGAACGTCAGTTTATCCGGCACTTCACACGCCACATTCAAACTTACTGCGGGAGAGTATAATCAGAGTCTCTTTCTCCTTCAATGAATTTGTAATGTGCTTTGTTCAATTGCTCTGATATACATCTACATTGCAATAAGACCTACATAACACCATATCTATGTCTCTATTAGTCTCATTTGAAGTAATAACAATTTTCCCAGTAATTATCATATTTGCACTAATTCATGAGGTAAATGTATTAATTGTGCTCCTCTAGATTCAACAACATTCCATTTGCCACTATTATTAAATATCTTTCATTGATGACATAACCAATAAACAAAACCAAAGGAAACGTCAGGAGCAAATTGATCAGCATTACAGTCACACACCTCCTACATGATACACAGTGCAGTCAAGTTTGTTATTGTGAAATGACAAGAGTAACAGAAAGGGACACAACTAGAGAAAAGAAGTGTATATTTACCGGTCTCTCCTCTGAGATTTCCTCCTCTCTTCCAACTCTTGAATGTACTTGACGAGGAAGTCAGGGTTATTCAGCTGTCTGGAGAATGTGATCATTGCTCGCTCTAGATCTGCATCCAAGTACTATACATATACAGTAAATCAGTTTACAAATTACTTTCATATGTGCATGCATTAAAACTTAAACATTCATTTTGTCTGTTTTCTTATCTGTGTTTTTTTGTAAAGATATGATCATCATATTTATGGCTAATGTATAGTATAAATGAAGAAATACAGAAATGTTTGTAGCTCTTAATCATTGGATAAAAGTTGCTTAATTTACAGGTGCATGTGCATCAACATGTTTCGCTTCTTTGTTCTTAATATTAATGTGCATTTAAAAAGCTTCTACGTTGACACTATATAGCATAATCTCATTTGTAGAAGGATAGTCTTCTTGTGACCAATAATTCTGCTACACTTTGATACAATTCTTCTGTAAATTCTACAATATATTTTGCATAAAAGAAAATCTATTCTATAGTACTTTTGCCATGGAACAAAAGGCTCTATTTGTACAGTGTTAGAATGCTATTCCTGCACATAGCAGGTGTCCATCATGTTTGTGGAATCACACAGCAACCACCAAATGTAAGACAATCAAACCTATCTATGGAGGCCACCTAAGGGAAACCGAGAAAGGGGACACTGTAGAAAGGTGGCCTTTTTTTAGACAGGTTCTGCAACACACATTTCTTTCTTGAGGAATACAAAACCACGGTCACTCTAGACAGGTTGCCTTCATAAAGAGGTGGCTACTGATAGAGATGTGATACATACTGACCTCTGGATCAGCGGTAGCAGGGAGGATATCCAGACCTGAGAAGAGCATGTTTCGGGCATAGTCCTGGGTGTTTACAAATGGAATACCAAGACCTTTCACCTGGTCTTCAACTTCTGTCATGTCAACCTGCAAGTTGTGGTAGGCTGAAGGGAAGTAAAAAAAAACTCATCATAAAAAGATGGTTGGGCAATTGCACAACAGAAATCTTCAAGAAACATACAATTTAAAGTGGGGTAAAACCAATTGTAGCAAAAATAATGATACAACAGATTTCTTTTGATTGATTGTAAGTGGATTTAGATATGACAGGGCCCTATATGCTGCAAGATAGTGCCTGTATAGTGTACAAATCACCTGAAAATAGAGATTTAAGTACAGCAAGATTGTATAAAGTCAATAAAAAAAACTTTACCTGAGTTAACAGTAAAAGAGTATAGTGACAAAAGTTAAAGATAACATAAAATCTCTGTACAAGGAACCTGAGTCGGACTTGGATTCAATGTGCTACTGACTTCTGTGCAGGTATAAGGGTGCATCAACTAGTGTTCTTGTAGGTTGCTTTCATGTTCATTGAGAACATACTTGAACATGTTAGTAGTACCGGTATTGCGACAAGACTTCCTGTCATACAGAGCTATACTAGTTACTGGTGATATTTACCTTCTTCTGCACGATTCTGAATTTTTTTTTCAAGAAGTTCCAACTCATCCACCTGCTGATCAATAGCTTTCTGTCTACGTTTGACCAAGAACCTTCCAGCAAGACCCATGACAATAATGATTACCACTAGAGAACCAACAGTAGGTCCAACTATGAGCCCAATCGAGGGTCCAGTATTGGTTGAATATTGAACAAATCCAGGGTAAAACCAAAGATTTCCATGCTTCACCTACATCAAGAGGAAAATATACAGCATATACGTAGTTTTGCAATTATTTTAAAATTAAAAATACATGATGGAACATAACTAAACAGTATTGCAAATCCATATGACATCAAAATATAATCAGAGGTTGGTTTTAACTTGATCCACTAGCAAAGTGACAGAGATTTCTACTTGGAAAAGTAATAATACTAACATCATTTTACATGTTTGCTGAATACATCTCACATTTTACAATAAAATTCATAAATTACCTCCAAATTTTGTTGAAAAATTTGACAGGTGTCATTAAAATGTACCAATCACCTAAAAAAAAAAAAAATTAACTTTTGAGTAGCTAGAATGTATGAAATCAATCTTTAAAAGAAATTACTTGGCATTATATATGTTAATGGTTTAAACTTGGGTTCTGTGAGAAAGGTACGTGTGTGTCGACCAGTCTATTAACAAATCTATTTTATTTTTACCATATTGAAACTGCAATAGCTCTTTGATAGTAGAATTAGTATTCACAGCTCCTATTTTGAATACACTATGGCAAATTAGAACCCTCACATCAAGAGCACAACATGTTTGGGTGGTCAGTACATTTTAATGGCTATTTTCTCCTGTTTTTAGTTCAGATGCTTGAAACTGAAAATTTGCAGAAGAGAAAAATAACTTACTGTCACAGCTGGAAGATTCTTTGCATCTCCCTGACCTAGTGTTCCATTCAAGTTTCCTGCTTGAGGCTGGACATCTGGTAGCTGACAACGCAGGACATTCATTCCAAGATCATCAACAGTGCATTCTCCATCAGGTCCTAACAAAACTAGTACATCGTCTTCTGTACTTGCCAAGGTTAAATCCATGCCCTAGAAAAACATAGAAGCAGAATTTACAATTTTAGCTTCAACCAATTTACTCATAGCATGTGCAGTCAAGCCTGTGAATAGAAAAAATCAAAGTCCTTTAATATGCCAATGAACTTAAAAATGTTCAGTGTAAATTAATTTCCCTATTTGAAATGAATAATAACAATAACATTACTATACAAAAAATAATAATAATAATAAGTTACTCAAAATATGTCAATACTTTGCATTAGACACAATAATAATTCATTAATAATAATTAATTATGAAATACATTTGACATATATCAGATAGCAAACACATTACACTTAATTTTATAGCTATAAAAATTATTTTACAAATAGTATTGTATTACGTACATTACATTAAAATTATATATAAGATGTACTCTTCTTTAAAGGCAGATATCATGACAAAATACAGAGAATATTGAAATTAATATAGTAATCCACAACTATAACATTAAATTTTAACTTTCAAGTGTCTTTTAAGCCAGCATTTATATTGGATTTTAAGCGTATGTAAAGCGTATGGCTCTTTCTTCAATATGTGAAAAGGAAAAGAAGGCAAATTTCTCCTGCAAATTTACATAGAATCATGACAGACATTAATTCAGTATCAAGAATAGGCTAGAGGCATTACTGCAATATTTCTATTACATGGCAGAATCTAACCGTCAATAACAACGTCTATTATTAAAGCAATTCAAATTTCAATTGAAAAAATTAAATAAAAAACGATCATGTACGCGAACCAAAACGTATCTGCAAATACAGAGTAATGATGACAACATTTTTCGAAATGATTAATCAATACAGGCTAAATGACTTATTTCATGAACAGAAATTTGGTGTTGCAGGTGTGTATGAAGAAAACTCCTAAACTCACTGTAATCTCGAGTCGTTTATTAGCACTCTTATAAATTCTGCTGTTCCCACTGAAGTTTACATACACAGGGTCTGGGAAATATTCAATTGTGCCGCCATCAATCACATTTCCATCAAAGTCAAAGGATAAATTTGCGATCATTGCATCGTCTGTTGCTCGTCTTCTTCTAGCAGGGATAGCATCATCAGGAAAACTTGGTGTTGGACATTTGAGAATGGTTTCTGTTCCATTGCAGAGCTTTAGGACATAAATGTCAAAGCATTGATAAAGAATATAGAACAAAAGATATGAAAAGTATTAAAATTTCAATTCCATTTCATGTTATTGCATTATGATCACATATAAGATCCAATAATTTATGAACACAACCAAATGTGATTTTAAAGAGAAAATTTGGGAATAAACCTGTAGATTAACAATTACATGTGCGAATGTAAATGTGTATGCATGGCAGAACAATTCATTCATGTTTTATATAAAACTGACAACATACATGTACTTGTACAAGCAAATACAAAGTATGCTAAAGCAGTACTGTGTCAAATAAATTTATCTAAATGTTACTAAATACAATGTACAAGGGTATGCCTGAGAAAGAGCATACAGGTAGTCATCCAATCTTTTACAATCAATCTATCTATGGTTACTAATCTCCTAAACATATATGAGTATAACTAAAACGTCTAATATCAACCAATAAAACCAATGCTTAACCAAGCATTCTACGGGCTATAAAACAATTAAGGAGTATGAAAGAAATAAAGGATAACATAATACCCTACATAAGGACTAGTATGCCTTAAACAATGCACATGTACTATTAGAGCATGTAAAGGAAAATAAAATAATCTTCTCACAAGTTTCTTCTATGTTTAATGAATGTATTTAAAATTGCCACATCTCTTTGTATAAGTAATATTTGAAGCACGTATTTTTTAATATACTAATATACTATAACCTGATCATTTCCCTTGCATATACAGAGCAAAAATACATCTTGATGATTGATACCCTTTACCAGTAATGGGACTTGAATGAAATATAGAGAATGCATACCATACCTCAGAGTTGCTTGCATTAGTCGTGAGAGAGGTAACATTAATCCTGGGTTCTTGGATCAGATCAAATCTAACGCCAGTTAGTGTGATATCAAGACCTCCTCTGTTGAAATAAAAAATAAATTCCAAGGTAAGCTTCAAATAACACCTAAATATAAGAAAACAGTCATATGTGAAAATTACAGACAGGGAATACCGGTACTTTATAACATTTGGTCAATTGTAAAACAAAGAAAAAATGGTCAATCTATATATTCTTATAGTATATAGTATCTATGAAAAATAATGATAAACTTTATCATACACATGTTTAGATGGTTGCTTGGGCTGAATAATAACAAATTAGAGAAATAGATCAATTAAAGCTCCAGAGAAATAGAACAAGGAAAAAGAGGATTACCATTTTTTTTTACTGTTTTACTCACTCATTTTATGAAAAATCTTGTAATAGTGAAGCAATAATGATCCATTATGTCATACCATGGAGAACTTTACCAATTGTTTTATACATAGTACAAAGTAGTCAATATAATCCCTCTTCACAATGCTTTTGGTGGAACAGACACGTGTGAAATTTAAATAACCATGCTGCTTCTTGAATAACAAAATATATTCTATCAATAAAATGAACAGGGATATTTGTAATGATTTCTTAACAAAGGTAGAGTTCTCTATGCATAACATTACAAATTACTGCATTGCCAATGGGTAATTTTTAATACCACTGAAACTTACAAGAATCTATTTCTATTAGTTGACTCATAATTCTATTATAAAGTTATTCACCAAAATGTTTATTATGACTAAGCTCACCATGGGGAATTATCACAGTGATTCTTTGTAACCATGTAAATGAATGACAATAGAGGATGGAGAAAAAATTAAAAATTCATATTCCATGTTACTTACGACATGATAGATGTTGTCCTATCAATATTATCAATCCTTGGATTTGGCATGTAGGTAAAGGTGTAATCGCTGAAAGGTCTTTCTTCTCCATCAAATGTCATGGCCAAGGTTACAGTAACCTGTTCATTCTCTGGTATGCTGCTTGTGATGCAGGTTGCGAATGAGTCTTGAACAGAACTACAAAATAACAAATAATACCCATTTACAGATTGAATGTACTTCTATTCTTTCAATCTCTGCCTGATATTTGTTTGAATTAATGGAGCCTTTCATGAATGGATATGATGAAGTTCACATATTCATTACAAAATATTCTAAAACGGTATCAATGAAGAAATGTGTACAAAAAAATATTTCTCAAGGCCTAGTAGCTATACAAATTCTTCTCAATATTCCAATGCGCTTCATTACATTTTATTACTAATTAAAGTTTAAACAGTAAAGAATTACCGTGGACTGTACATAATAATTACATCAAGCATTAAATGTAATACACATTACTTACATCACTACGCAATCTGCATCTCTGAAACTTGCAGTAATGTCCCTTCCAGTGTCCAAGTACATGCCATTGATAGTGATTTCTGTACCCCCTGCCACGGGTCCTTCTCTAGGATCAAACCCTGTGATCACAGGATCCTATCAGAGACCAGAACATGTCATCATATTGTATATACTTGTTTCTCAAAGGATATGAAATGAAATGTATGTTAAAACAAATCAATACATCTATCTGCATGTTTACATTTTGATCTAACAACTGTTGACATGAATTTGGATCATTAAGTTCCCTCCCATGAAAGATTTAAATACTTAAAAGAATATACAAGAACATATGGACTAAGAGCTTATCGGTGCAATTATGCAATTATAAGAAGTATTCTTGGAAATCCAGACATTGTAAACTGTCTATCGTATGCTATATTTCCATTGTTTCACTCAACAATTATATCCCAATACTTTGGCTACATGTATAATCATCAATATTAAAGCCTACATTCAAACTTTTATAACATCATGAATATATTTCAGTTGTTGCTGTTTTGTTTAATAGTCATATTAACCTTTTTATTTAATTCAATTCAATTTTAACATATACCACATTAAAAATGAATGAATTAATGCCTCTTCCACCACAGTTGCAGAGGGATAAAAACTAGACAGGTTTTCATCTTACTCACCCTATACTGAAATTCTTTAGTGCTCTGTCCTGTCTTGTTTCCTTCCCCTGACACCACCGTGATTTCAATGCCTCCTGATATTACTTCAGTAGATATTGCTGTCATACAACTTACACTGCAAAACAAAAACAAACAAGACAAATGCGACTGCGTCTCCTATATGCCTCCACCATAAATTCAGTATACGAAATGCATGGAAATATTTGTGACATATCATAATGAAAACAAAAAGCCTATCTCTTGTATTTCTTTATATATCACAATAGCAAAGCTAAAACCTGTTATTTCAGAAATTGACCTTTGTGACTTTTGACATTTGAATCCAAAATCTAATCAGATCATCTTCCTATGTTGATACATACTATCCCCAAGTTTGAGCCTCATATCTCAATTGCTTCTTGAGATATCACGATAACGAGGCCAATAATAATAACATAATAACAATATTTATAAAGCGCAGAAATCACAATAATTTAAACAAGTTTAAGGTTTCTCTTAAAGGGATCCGGTAACTTTGTCTTAGATCCTTTAGAAATAATCCTTGATTTAGCTCACGCTGCAATGATAATTATATACCTTTAGGTCAGTCAGGAACTCCATGGCTTTTTTAAGCCGATTGCCTGTCTGATTATCAAGATATTAATGATTATAATTACAAATTTTGAAAACCGTTCGCCGGACGGTTTTCATAACACTACAGTCTATTGGGGAAAACGAGTATGGTAAAACCGGTCACTCAAAGATTACTTTTTTGAGGCACTTCTTGATTATTTTTAAGTGCGAATATTACACCATATCACAGACACTGGTAACATGTAGGACCGTGTATCTCAGATTTAACATTGTTAAACGATCCCTTTAAAACGTATTTATTCAATGTTAAAAGTGTACACCCATGAACTCAGCGTCCAACACTACATGTACTTCTTTGCTTCTAAGTGGATTTTCTAATTTGTATGACTTTTTCTTGTAATTCTTTCCTTTCTATTTAAAGCGCATAGGGACATGCTATCCTGTAATGTGTTATGCGCTATAAAAGAACTGAGTATTATTATTATTATTATCCATCTCTAGAAATGCTCAAGGCGCATCAATACCAGGAATGTAATAAGTTGACCTCTGTGACCTTTGACCTATAGGTTACTCCAAAATATAATCAGATTGTCTAAGTTCCTATGGTGATATATATTATCATCAAATTTGAGCCTCATATCTCAATTGCTTCTTGAGATATCTTGATAACGAGGCCAATGCCAAGAATTTAATAAGTTGACCTCTGTGACCTTTGACCTAGTTAATCCAAAATCTAATAAGATTTTCTTCCTATGTGATACATACTTTCATCAAGTTTGAGCCTCCTATCTCTATTAGTTCTTGAAATATGGCGTTAACGAGAAAGCGGGATGGACGGACAATCCGAAAACATAATGCCTCCGGCACAACCTTCGGTGTTACACTATAACTTGCAATTGTATAACTGATGAAATGCAGTTTACTTACTTATTCCATATTATATAAACAATTAATTACACCTTTAAGATGTTTGGCAACACATTTTCATTATAAACATAAACATACAATTGTACAAAATTAAAAAAAAAAAATTGTGAAAATTGGTATTACATATATCAGTCAGAAAAAAAGAAATAAAAGTAATAAAGAAGAGTAAATATGAGATTTACCTCTGTCCTGGCTGGTAATATTCGCCCATGTTGTTCAAATCGCACTCCAAATCTTGAATAAAAATTTGAAGTACATCATCAAATACCACTCCAATGTCAGTTCCGATGATTTCTAATCTTGTTTGGCCATTAATAGGACCTGACAAGGGGTCAAACTGCAAGAAAAGAAGAAAAAAAAGAAATAAGAAATTGATCCCATCATATCTCTTTATATCAAACTATTTCAGTCTATCACTAGCATCAAAAGGGATAATTCCAAATTTAAGAATCTTGTTTGTTTGTTTTTACTAATCATGTGTCAAATATAAGATTCCTTATGTGTGTGTACATGTATGATACAAATAATGAATACCAATTATATGTAAATGTATATGAAATAAATCTAAACATTAAAAACTTTTCTACAGGTATAAGGCTCGTTCAGATATATATGCCGCGGTAAGCCATGGTGTTTCTGAATGTGTATATGAATGACAACTGCGTGCAGCAAAGGTCATACAAATATTCACTTTATTAGCTTTACATGTGCTATGACATACAGAAATGTGAAGCGTTTTACACTTGTGTCATCATACAATGAATTACCACGGTATCCGAATGACTTAATAGTTCGCATTTACATCCTGTTTGAACAAATATTCTCTTACATCAGTGATCACTGGTGCTGAACATAGATGTGTCTCATTCTGATGGAGAAACTGGTTGTTCTTACAAACTTCACTTTGAACGACATTGCAGTCATCACCACACCAACCACACTTCAAGATGGATGGAGTTGCATCTTGGGAAAGGCATCGACTGCAACTTCCACTGTTAACTGAACACTTGTAAAGGGTGACTGCAATTCAACAAAACAACATACTTTTAATAGCTCAAAATATCCATTAAATGCAGCTCAGAAGTCACTCTTTATACACACTAATTTTTTTAAACTGATTTTCTTAATGACATTTTTGGAAAGACTTTTTAAACATGCAAGAGCATTCATAAGAATACTGCTGTCGTGTAACTGGTGCCAGACTACATACCCATAATTCCCCTTATTGTAAGAATTTTAAAACTGAATGTGGTTCATAATTAATCCTTAAGTCTGACTATATACTCACATACTACAGTGATAAAGAGTAGACATAATATCACTCCTCAGGGAACGACCACAAACAATAGGTTATTAATACAGAAGACATAAATTCATCCCGTGCCAAGAACTACATGCACAGGTCTACATGTATGTGACACATTCTAATGGTTTTAAATTCCAATTAAAGAAATGAAAAAGGTAAACAATATTATTCTAATGAAAATTTAGCTCAGAATTAACATCCGAGCTTGCCTCACTTTCTTCACTTTTGTTTACTGGTTTACTCACAATCTCCTTTTACAATAATTTAGAGTGCAAATTCAAGATTTCACCATGTAATATCTTTAAAAATGTAATATCTGAAGCAGACATTTTTCAATACATATTTTGATCAACTCAAAATCCAATACCACCTGTCTAAAATGATATTAAATAAAGTACCATTGACTCCTTGTAAAACGTTACATGATTATATGTTAGACATCTATTGGCTTTAATACCATGCGTTTCTGACAGGTCATCTATGCTGTTCTGTTCATTCCACTGTACAGAGACACTGACATTCTTCTCGAGGACATTTTCATTGTACATGTACTGAAAACAAAAACAAAAAACACAATGTTATGACAAAAGAAGGAGAGAGAATCTGTCTTGAAGTAGATGGGACTTGCAGTGCAAATCTATCAACATGGTTTCAAAGCTGTTCTCACTATGGTTAACTAGTGGAACAAACAGGGGAACACCTTAGTTTATTTTTGGCAGAAGTAATACGTAGCTGTATCATATACTCTGTGGCAATCAAACAATGTGGCAATCTCAGGGTTTCATTCCATAGCAAAAAAAAGAGTGAAGAAATATGAATATCATAGACTTTGGATATACAAGTACTTTACCAGTAAGAATAGCTATGAACAGAGACAAACTGAACATTTGTGTCTGCCACTTATTGGAGTAAACCACAAGAATAACTGCAAGCTAAAATCAGGCAACATAAATGGAAACTAAAGAAAATTGTGGACAGCGAAAAAGCTTCAGTTTGTCTTTATTCACAACTATTATTATACAAATGATGCATGCGCATGAGTTCATTATACGATCCATCCGCACTTGAGTTAAGGCTGTGTGTATCTATCGCATGAAGCTGTTAGGCTGAGTGCGATAGATACACACAGCATTAGCGAGAGCGGATAGATCATATAATGAACAAATGAAAACATGCATCGTTTGTTTTATACAACGAAACTCCTAGATCCTTGTTACTTGATGTAAAAAGAATTTATTCAAGATTGTTTTGTGACAGTATATGGTTGACAAATAAATCTCAAGTTTAATAAGGCTTAATTTAGTGCGCATACATAGCTAAAGATATAGCAAGCGCAGTAATTACCTCTACCCATTTACACATAGTGCTGTGCAAGAATAGGCTCATGCTCACGCAGTATACGCGCTCTAACCTCTACGTGCACTACTGCGCTCTGAAAACGAGTTCAATAGTATTGGAAAATATTACACTCCTTTTCATGAAAACGAGTGCAATAGGCTCAGTTAATGAATCACACGTGACCGTGCTTGACCAATCATTTGATTAGGATCTGGGAGTGAATTGTATAATTGATTTTGTAGTAGCAATCATCTTTTCAGTAATTTTAGCAGTAACCAAATAGTAGGTGGAAAACAAAAGGTATAACATATATCTGGGAACTTAATTAGAGATTTACACAACCAAGACCCTTAACTCATATCCTGCCATAAAGACTGCATGCACGCTACCGTTTTATCACTTTGTACACACGAGCGCACTATCAATTCACTGCTTAATTCATGCAAGTGAGCTACTGCTTCGCTGCTTCATGCATGTTTGCTCGCATTCGTAATAAATTTATAAAATTGTTATTGTTCATGCCAATTGTAATGTGCTGAGTGCTTCCCACACACTATAGATCGCACCATCAGATTATCAGATTATTTCAAAAATAAACTTGGCACAGGGGGGATTTGTGGCTTGGCACAATGGGGATTAGCCCTGTGGCTCTGGGCTGTATTCATTATGGCACGATAAGAGTACAAACTACTCTTTGAATGACAACATAATAATTTTCTTTTTTGTTTGTATATTAAATTTGCCACACCGTTGATGCTAAATATACATTTAAACATTTTAGAGTCAAATTTATAACTCCATGAATACTTGCATTTTAATTCAATGTTTTCATGTTATTGGAAAATCATATGTTACTGTTAAAGTTGTGATAAATGCTGGGTTTGAGCAGAACTTGAGGTTTTACCTGTTCATCATTGCAGAGAATGTAGGTTTCATTAAAAGTGGTACTGGGTACTCTCACTTCTTTTCCTTCAATGTCAAGGATGCACTCATATGTTACTTGGCCCTGGAAATATACAAAAAGTCATGTTAGTAAGTAAGTAAAGTTTTATTTAACCATAAAATGAAACATGTACATACAAATGAGTAACATAGTAAACATAATACGGTAAAGGACACCCTTAGAAGCAAATTGCTTGTGGTGGGGCCTTAACAAGAAAAAACAAACTACACATAAATTATACAGTTTAAAAAACTTTAAAATAACATGATACAAACACACAAGCACGCTCACACATATACATACACACATACATTCAAAATATCCTCCTCTGCTCAAACTTGTTTACATAAATCATTAAATAATAACTGTTTACATCGTACTTTAAATCTAGATAGAGTTGTACTTTCCTTAATATTATTACTCAAATTATTCCATTCCTTAATGCCATTTAAATAGAAAGAATTTTGTGCATTTGTCGTACGAACTTTAAATAAATGTAAATGATTTTTCTGACGAGTAGAATACGAGTGAATATCACTATTAATAACAAAGTTTATATTAGGAATTTCTGGCAATAGGCGATTTTGAAATTTAAACATAAATATGCGAATATTAAATTGAATCAATTCAAAAATTGGGACTAGGTGTGTTTTAACAAAAAGTGGCCGTGATGGGGCTAAATAATCAGATTTAGTAATAATACGCACGGCTCGTTTCTGTAACAAATAAATCTTATCTATATATGATGCATAAGTATTTCCCCAAATAATATTACAATAATTTACATGTGGAAAAATCATACTATTATACAACATAAGCAAAATATTTGATGGTAAAACATGCTTTAGCTTTGACAAAACTCCAATACTTCGAGATAATTTCAACGAAATGCAATCAATATGAGGTTTCCAATTAAGTAATTCATCAATTATAATACCAAGAAACTGAACACATTCTTTCCTTTTTATAATATTTACATCAATTTGTATAGGCAATAAATCACTAGGGATCTTCCGATTTCGAGAATGAAATATTACATAATTTGTTTTATCATAATTGAGAAATAATTTATTACATTTGAACCAATTATCCAATTTTATCAATTCATTATTCATAATATCAACTAAAGTATATACACTACTATGTGATGTAATAACGGAAGTATCATCTGCAAAGAGCGTAAAATTTAATACATTTGAAGATTGTTTAATATCATTTATATAAATTAAAAACAAAAGGGGCCCTAGAACAGATCCTTGAGGAACACCACATATTACATCCCTTTTAGTCGAACAGACACCGTCAACCACCACATACTGCTTTCTATCACTCAAATAGTTTTCAATTAATTTCAATGGAAGGCCGCGAATACCATAATAATTTAATTTTTTGAGCAGTATGTGGTGGTCAATGGTGTCGAACGCTTTTGACAAATCCATAAACACACCCAATGAATAATTACCCTCATCCATATTCTTAATTACATAATCTGTTAAATGAAGTGCTCCCAAACATGTAGAATAAGTCTTCCTAAATCCAAATTGCTCATTTATCAATAAATTGTTTTTAACCAAAAAATCATAAATTCTTTTTTGCAGGATTTTTTCAAATAATTTTGAAAAAATTGATAAAAGAGCAATTGGTCTATAATTTTGTATATTTTCTTTTTCATTTTTCTTATAAATGGGTATAATTTTAGCTAATTTCAAACTGTCGGGGAATACTCCAGAAGAAATTGATTTATTAAATATATTACATAATGGATCAACAATAAAGTGTATACATTCTTTTACTACTCTGGGAGAAATACCATCTGGGCCACTTGCTTTATATGGTTTCAATGTTTTACTAAGTTCAATTATTTCAAATACTGTAGTAGGTTTTAAAAACAATGTAAAATCATTATGAGTTTTTAAATAATCATTAAATGAAGTATCTACAACAGGAATGCCACGAGCTAGATTACTCCCTACATTAACAAAGTATGAATTGAAACATTCAACAATCTCTTTTCTATTATTGTAACTAATATTTTCAAAATACATATTACATGGCAAATCATTCTTCTTGCTCTTTCCTAGTAATACATTAACTTGTGACCATGTTTTCTTGCAATCATGTTTATACTTAGCAAACATTTTATAATAGTACTGTTTCTTAGCTGTTCGTAATAAAGAAGTTAATTTATTTTTATATATAGTATACTTAGTTCTATTATTATCAGTACGTTGTTTCAAGAACTGTTGATGTAATTTTTGTTTCTTTCGTACTGATATTAAAAGTCCTTTACTCATCCATAGTTGCTTGAATTTGCACTTCTTGTTCTTTTCAAAAATGGGTAACAATGGAAAACAATCATCGTACAATAATGATAATTTACATATAAATTCATTATAACAATAATTCACATTATCAACATTATACATATTTGACCAATCTATTTTTTTCAACTCATTCTTCAATCGAGATATCCCGTCTTTTGTAATTTTTCTTTTCTTCATACTAGCAAATTCAGAACGATGTCTATACTGATTATCTTTATTATTTTTACAAACATTAATACAATACACTGGAAAATGGTCAGAGAAGTCGGAGTATAACAAACCTGAATGTACATTATCATTTAAAGTATTTGTAAAAATGTTATCAATAAGTGTTGCAGTTTTTGTAGATACTCGAGTAGGTTTCGAAATTAGTGGAAGCATATAAAATGAAAGCATTTTTTCTAAAAAATCATTTGTTTTATCATGAGAAGCACAATTTAATAAATCAATATTAAAGTCGCCCATAATATATATTTCTTTTCGTTCACTATCCAATAATTCTAAAACAGAGTTCATCTTTTCTATAAAACATGGTATATCAGAGCTTGGTGGGCGATAAATACAAGTAATTACAATAGGTTTTTTTAAAGGTTCATTTGTTTCAATTGATACAATTTCATAATCAGGTGTAATGCATGTCAAATCATTGCGAATTTTATACTGGATATTGTGCTTAACATAAATTGCAACGCCCCCACCGTTTTTATTGTCTCTACATTGTTGTATCAAGGAATACCCCTGCATAGAATATATATCAAGATCAAGATTTGGGTGGAACCATGTCTCAGAAACAGCAATAATATCAAAATCAAATTTCACTGAACTGAGTAGTAACTGAAAATCATCAAAATTCTTTTTTAAACTTCTTGCATTTATATGTATTAAAGACAAAGATGGTGTACATAAGCTATATTTCTTTCCAAAATCTTCACAAAACATATAATCACATTTGAGTTGAGTTACATCATAGTCATTATCCAAAAATGGTGTTTCACTGAATTTGAGTTCTTTATTCATAACAAATGGATTTATTTTCAAATTTTGGAGTCTTTCAATATTAATATTTTGATTCAATTGAAAGAAACTGAATACATTCCAATAAAAATCATTGTCACTAAGAAAATGATTAAAAGGTAATATACTTGAAATACATTGCGTACAGATGAATGATTGAGCAGAGGATAAAAAATCAGCACAGTTCACACACTTCATACACACTCACCCAGATAAGTCAAACAAGTTACAATAAAAAAAAAATCACAAAATCACAAATTAAATCCCCTATTAGGGAATACTGAGTTCAATAATAAAAGTTCAAAGTAAAAATGTCTATTGAGAGGGTCGGGAACCTCCCAGGGAAATATTATAGTTCTGTCATCTTACTTTCTCTTTCTCTCTCTAGCTGTCTATCAGTCTATGTGAGTTTTTCTTCACGTTCTATTCGTGGTTACCTTAATTTTCTTGCCTCTTCTATGGTACCGATAACTTTCCTGACCGATTTGCCGTTTGTCGCAGGGAGTGCTACCAGGATGCGGCCATCTGACGACCAAGCTGCGGATACTCTTGGTGACGATCTTGCCACCTTGAGTATTTCGTAGTTATGGGAGGTCAGGTCCTCCGCTATAGTAATCCCGGAGTTTTTGAGCCGGCGTCTAACCGCCATCAGTGTCTGCTTCGCGCGGTAGGTAGCAAATTTGACGATGATCGGTCGGTGGTGAACCTGTTCCGACCTCCGCGTCGCCCTATCCGCCACAGCGGCCCACGATGTCGGTGTCGATGCGGCTGTGTTCTCCGGTCCACCCGGAGTCGAGGTCGGTGTCGCTGGTAGTCTCTGCTGGTGAACTGAGGCTCCTATGCCCTGAGTGTCTGGTCTCCAGATCGCCCCGATCCGGTGGCTTCGGTCGAGGTCCTTTAGTTGTAGCTCCACTCCTAGCTTCTCCTTGGCAATGTTCATGATGACGTTGTCGGTCTGTTCTCCTGTGCTTTCGGGGACTCCAAAAACTCGTATACAATTTCTCCTCGAGTACTGCTCGGCGTCGTTGCACTTGTTTTGTAGTCTGTTAGTTGAGTCTTCCTGTGTTTTGAGTCGTTTTTCAAGATCGTTTATTTGTTGGCTTTTACGTTCAGTCTCGATCTGAAGTGAGACAATATTTGACTCGTTTGACTCTACTTGCTTCGAGAGTTTGGCGAATTCTTGTTTTAGTTCTTGCATTTCCTCTCGTATTGTTTTCTTAATCGTTTTTTTGATCATGTCAAAGAAGTCTTTATTGTTGAGAAGTTCAGGGATCGGAATTTGCGTGATTTCGCTTGACTGTGAGTTTCGCGTTGCTCTCCCTGCCATAACTCGGGCTGATTTCCTTTCATTAGATCCACTGTTTAGACCCTCCATTGTGTGGAGGGGTACGGCGATACAAAGGAGGGGGGTAAACTGTATTGTTGTTCAAAAAATAGTTCGAAAGCTTTGCGTGGACTAGTGATCACGTCGCGATAGTGTCACTGAGATATATTTCGGCCGACTCTGGCCCGGTGTTGTGAACTGCGATGCCGTTTGAAGTTATATGTTTAGATATGAGAAACTGGCTCAATACTTTCAAGGCATATTTTGCCCTACAAAATGTCAGGAAACTCACTTATATGTCCTGGGAGGTCCTCATGGTATATGTAGACACAATCAATATTTGCAAGGGAGTTTGCAAGGGAGTGTTATGTACGTGCCAGACTTGCAGAATAAATTTGGGACAAAGTCGGGAATGCATCTTTTCTTTTTAATCACAATGTATGGTGTGCTTGTTAGAAGAAGAAAAAAAGTACATTACTTCAATCCAAATGTACTAGTCTGAAGTTTAAGATAAATTTACGTGTAAATTCATACTTGCAGACTGAAGTCAAGTCTTGTTCATAATCTGACCGTGACCTGTAAGCAGTGGTGTTGAGGTAATACATGTAATGTAAGTCCACTTCCACCACAAGGTTTTCACTATACTTGAATTTACAAAAAATCTATATAAACTGCCTACCAGTGGTATGCAATAGTGAATCTCTTGTAGCCCTACTAGCTTCATAATATTAATATAATTACCTTTGACTGATCTGTAGGAAGGTTCTTTGCAGATAGTGAGTAGCCAGAAGGAATACCGACTGGTATGAGAAACGATTCTGTTGCTCCAAGCAGCTGAGGGCAAAACCCCTGTCCTTTGTTTCCAGCACCATCAGTATTCTATAGAGACAAGCAGTCAGGTAACATGTGAGCACGGAAATCAGTAACCTTGAGCAACTTGTTTGGTGCATATGTGTTCTATAAAAATGTTTATATTATTGTAACGGAGTTGATTCACCGTAGCAGGTGCATGTCAGCACATGGGGAGTTTAGGTGGTGCATGGGCGTCAACGTGGGAGGACGTGTTTTTGGCAAGTCGGAGAGAATCAGAGTATTGTTGAAGTAGAATTACATTGATGTTATAGTTATTCGTGAATAAAGGGAAGTACCTTTCGATCCTGTAAAGTGACCCTGTGTTTCAGAGCATTATTGAGAGTGGCGTGATGTTGATTGCTTAGCTGTTTATGAAAAAACCTTTGTGCGGGTGATTGGAGTCTATGTTTATAGCCACTCGGTAAATGGTGAAGGGACCCAGAGGAGAAATCATTACATGTACATGTAGTAATAAAGCAAACAGGAAAAAATCTGCATGCTTAAAAGAGCAGTAATTCAATTCATTACTTGAACTTGTGTATTTAGTCTATGATTACATAATTAGGGTCGGCTCTCTGATATATGATTTGCAACATAAAGCCCCCCAAAAGCAAACAATTCTTGGGCAAATTTTCCCCCCAAAAGTTTGGTTAAATTACAATAAAACATAAGGAGATATATCTGTAAATACCATTTGATTGACAGACATTGCACTTTGTGTCAATTAATGCTTTATTTATTCCTTTAGGATGCCAAACAGAATTTATGAGAGGGCCTGAAACCATATACAATGATCTATTTTGTACTCTAGCCTAGGAAAGCTGAAACTATATATGGCATGAAAACACTTTCGTAGTATCCCTGCATGAAGTGCTTACATTTTCTCCAATAACCACTGTATCTCCTGTCTGACATGGGCTGCTATCATCTGTACACTGGTTGTCATAAACACACCAGTCACATGGAAAGCGGGTTGTAACACAAGATGAACATCTGCAAGAAATTGAAAATTACTGTTGTATTAAAACTAATACCAAAACTACATGACTATTCACAATGATGCAAGTCATAACCCTTTCTACAATACTGCCAGAAGTTCAAATTTGATCATTATAAACAGCCCCAATGCCAACAAGAACAACTAGAAAATAGCTTGCTGAAGTTTAATGAATCCAAGAACTTACGATTTAATGTGACTGCAGTCAAAGAAGAAGAAATCTGTGGTCACAAAGTCGACACTTGTTTCATTTGAGACAACAGACAGAGGCAGGTTCAAGAAGTACACTAGCAAGCAAAATGAAAAGAAATGTTAAGCATACAAATCATTTTAATGCAGACAAAATCACGTATGAGTGAAGGATGATGAACCACTTTCTGCTTTTTGTCTAATAACAATAATTAGAAGATAATCAAACAGATTATTAAAGGGGCGCAGATACTGAGAGAAATACATGGTAATTACATCAGTCCTACATTATATCATAAACCTCTGAACACCTTTATACGATGGGAATGTCTCAAATCAAGGAGACACTTCACCTTGTGTTCAACATACAACTCAATCTGCTTTGTGGATTCTGCATGTCTCTTGTGTTGTAATGAGTTGTCTTTCAAAAAATGTCAACAACAACAAAATAAATCAATACATTAGATAACAAAAGATGTACCATATTCCAATTATTTTTTACAGGTATTGGTATTTTAATTACTTATCAATAGTCAGCACATGTTATTTATTCAGATAGATGTAATTAGATTTGCAAAGACAATGCACATGTACAATCCGCACTGGTACACATTTCATCTTTATACTTACTTCCATCTGGAATTGTAGGTATGCCGTTTGCAGGAGGGGATGTACAGGTGACAGTATTACCGGTAGTTGTAGCAGAGACCTCATAAGAGTTAAAGGCACACATGTATTGAAAAGTGCTCCTAAGATCTGGGAGCTGTTGGACTGTGATGATAATCTATAACAAGAATGGGAAAAAAGAGTGTGATTTCTCAACAAGACTTACATGCACAGGAAATCTCACATGTCATTTTACATTGCTTTTACTTTTAATAAGTTGTATTTCATTCCCTGACTATAAAATTTGAAACGTTATAATAAAAATGGAAAATAATATTATTTTTGATTTTTGTTATAACTGATCATGTCCGAGTCAGCAGTCTCTGCATGGTCAGTAATAAATAAGCTAGTCAAGTATCACTTATAGCTGATATTTACGTGTAGTACAAACTATATTTTAATCATCCTTAAAGTGATCAAACCAGCATGGATATGCAGAAGGAAAAAGGTAATCTGAGAAAGTGAAATTACAATTGTATTTACTTCTTGTTGTGTCTGATGATAAGGCAGACTGTTTGGCTGGACATCAGAGATGGATACACACTGTAAAGCATTGTATGATAACCATCGAGTCGACTCATCACGTAAGGGGCATGCCTCATATCTTGTGCACCTTTAGAATGAATGGGAGTATAGAGAACCAATTCATTAGTCTTGATGTGTAGAAACAAGATCATCAATAGATGATTTTTATTTCTATTAAACTAGACTTTAAATTAGACTTTTTGAGGGTATAAACTTCACAAATTTTTTGTTATAGGTTGCCTTTTCTCCCTTGCATATGTTGTTCAGGATCTAGTACTCTTGCACCCCAATTGGATACAGTTTATAATATACATAGGGTTCAAATTATCTAATCAGTGACAGTCTTGTTGCTTTTTCTCCCTATTATTTGTTATCATTCTCTTGTTTAATATTGCATCCTCAACAATCCTTGCAATGGTTCAACATTTACAAAAAATCTGAACCTATGGTTACCTTACTAAATTCTCGACTATAGTTCTCCTGAAATTTCATTAATTTTGTATCCAGTAGAAGAAGTGAACAGAAGACCGCTTACTGATGTTCAAATGTGAAATTTTTCTGTTCAATTGCAAGGAATTTATTAATCCAATATTCAGTCCGCCATCACCTGTGGGAAGCGAGGTGCCTCCATATATTTTTGTATCATAAGTAGAGTATTTTGATGACAAATTAAAGTCATTTGTTTCTTTTCCTTCTTTTACATTTAGGAACAGGATGGTTAATATTCATCCAGTGGCCTCTGCCCCCCCCCCCCCCCCCCCCCCCCGGTGACAATATGTCCATACGCCCATAATGGGTAAAATGTACTAGAGAATGTGTGTTAGTGGATTAGAAATGGGAGTCTACAGCTTATTTGTTTCACTCACTCACTTTAACAGTTGATAGTTGGAACAGGGGAGGGGGGAGGTGCTACTGTAAGGCCCAGGTGCAATAATTACCTAGATATGCCATTGCACAATTTTGACAGAATTCATTCTCTACTTTTTGTGTGTCATGTTTTACACCCATAGTAAGCCTCAACTTAAAAAAAGGTTGAGGAGCTGTTCTAGAATACACAATCCATAGCAAGATTTGTACAAAAGCACCCACCTTGCTTCTAAAGTACACCATCCACAGTAAGGGTCTCCAGCATTTCCTCCATTGCCTCCAATGCATTCATTGCAGGTCTGGTATTGGGTACAGTTTGTCAAATCCAATGTCAGGATCTACATTTTGTTTTTATAACATGAAGATTAAGTTATTTCCTTTACCGGTATGTTGATGATGCTGATACACATATCTATGCTCACCATGTATTGTTTTGTATTTGGTAGAATAAGGAGACCTTTAAACGGACCAACAACAAAAAATATTATTTCAAAACCAGGGCTATATAAGACAGTTAACAATTGAACATCTAGTGCGAAAAGGGGGGGGGGAGATTTATATCATAAGAAGGACCAGACAGAACTTATGAGTTCATTTGCATGCACATCAAATTCAAAGCAAGCGCAACGACTTTTCTGCCAACAAGTGCCTTCATCGTTTTGTGCACTCAAACTTGCAATATTTATTTACATCACAGAACTCAAAATATACAGAGCAAAATAATTTCTCCCTTTTAAATATGTGAATCATTATGTAAGGAGATATGGTCGAGAACCTTATTTTCATGAAAGCATACATACATACATACATACAATTGTCTTTTATATAGCGCAACATCCAACGAATTGCTCGAAGCGCTTTACAGAAATAATGACATAGTAAACACAAGATAATACATGTATAAAAGAGTAATTATAATAACAAACAAAAATATTAGAATTACAATTTACTTATTGAAGAGGTACGTTTTTAGTTTTTTCTTGAAAATTTCAACTGAGGGAGAGGTACGGAGGTCGAAAGGGAGGGTATTCCAAATTTTGGGGCCATAATAAAAGAAACTACACTCCCCCGATCTTGAATTGATACGTGGTAATCGGAGGAGCGTGGAGTCGTTAGAAGAGCGGAGGTTGTATTGAAGTCTAGGAGGAGTATGTAGAAGCACAGACAGATACATTGGTGCACAATTATTCAAACATTGGTAGACAATTAGGGAAACTTTGTATATGATTCTGTTATTTACGGTTAACCAGTGTAATTGCTTAAGTAGAGGAGATGCTGATTCATACCTGCTCCCTCCCAAAACAACCCGGGCAGCACGATTTTGGATTCGTTGTAATCTTTGAATGTCTGTCACATTAGCATTCAAAAGAAGAGAGTTGGCATAGTCTATTCTACTGAGGATTAATGATCTTACGACATGATGGCACGCATCAGAGGTCAACAGATTCTTGATTCTAGAGATATTGTACAAATGAAAGTTAAGCGATTTACACAAAGCAGTAATTTGTTTAGACATGGACATTGAAGATTGAAAGAAAATACCTAAGTTTTTGACATTGTCAGACATTTGTACTCTACCATTTCCTATGTTTATACTTATATCACGCGGTAAGTGATGTCTAAGCTTTGGTGACATGGCCAGCAGTAGTTCCGTCTTTCCTTCGTTCAGTTTGAGTTTATTTAAGGTCATCCATATACTAGTTTCAGAGATACATTGTTCAAGTTTACTTATTTCTTCTTGAAAATTTGCAAGACTTTTGGGGTTGAAACTTGTGTATATTTGTGTGTCGTCAGCATACAAATGATATCTAAGACCGTAGCGACTAATAATTCTTCCCAAAGGTTTGACGTATAGCGTAAAAAGGAGCGGGCCGAGTACGGACCCTTGTGGAACTCCATAATCTAAAGTATGAACATCAGAGTAAGTGCTATCTATGCGAACCCGATAGGTCCGACAGTTAAGATACGACCGAAACCACTGCAGAGCCGTGTCACGTATTCCAAATTCTGAGGAAAGCCTATCAATCAAAAATCCGTGGTCAATGGTATCGAAGGCTGCGCTTAAATCTAATAAAACTAGTATCACACCACGCCTTTTATCAATTTCACATAGAATATCATTTCTAACACGGGTTAGTGCAGATTCAGTACTATGATGTCTCCTGTATGCCGACTGAAATTCATCTTGTAAGCTAAGCTCTTCGACATGGGCTGTCAGTTTTGAGGACACCACGAGCTCAATCACCTTGGATATGTAAGCAAGATTAGATACAGGCCTATAGTTTTTAAGTTCCGAAGAAACCAACGAAGATTTTTTCAGGTGAGGAAAAACTATTGCATATTTAAGTTTGTCAGGGAAAACTCCATTCACTAACGAGCAGTTTATGATTGACGTGATAACGGGTACCATTACCTCTGAATTAGCTTTAAGCAGCCAGGTTGGCATGACATCCAGGTCACAGGACTTGTTTGCATACAATCATTCAATTTCAATTTATGAAATATGGAGAAAGAGTAGAAAAGTCAGAAAAAAATCTACAAACAGAGAGAATACATGTACTTTACAGTTCTCTTTTTTGAAGTTTTTCTGATTAAAAGATAAATCAGGACATTAAAAAATGAAATGTTATTTTTTTAAACTATGTGATTATGCTCATACTGTCAGAATCACATGAAAATAGTGTGCATTAACAAAATTATAAGTCAGTTAATATGTTGTATACAAATCAATCATCATCTGAATCACAGAGTGGCATTAAAGTGCTACACTGACAATTTCACACTTCAATCCTTCATCTGGGTAGAGAGAGCAGTTTAATTTCAGTGACAAGGTTGATCAATTGAATTATAGCCTGGCACTTGTGTACCAGGCCAGAAACATACATGTACATGTACACACATATATACACAGAATTCTATACATTATGATTATATGTGTATAATAACCAATTTGCATAAATTACATGCATTAATTGGCCAGTGGCTGTTCTAGAGGGGGCTTAGGGCTCAAGTCTCCCCCCCCCCCCCAACATAAAAAAAAAAATCATCAAACCCCCCAAAATGTTCAATTGTTAAGCAAGTTACATGTATGTGTAGAAAATGAATTAAAGAACCCCAAGCCGTGCCCCCACTAATTTATCAAGAACCTTGGCATCACTAGCATATTCACACATTAATACTTATACTTGTATAACCTACCTGTGAGCCTTGGTCTGAACTTGTGGCCAATGTTATCTGCTCCGTAGATTCATCAAGAAATATGTCTTGTAATACAGATCCACTTTCAAGAGGAACATTCTCATAGACGTAGCCAAATGAACTATTCACAATATTAACCTGGCAAAACAAGCAAATTAGAATGATAAAGTATATCAATTAAATAATATTCTACAAGTGTGCATGCCCATACATCAAGAAAATAATCATACAATAATTATTTTCTTTAACAAAATTCTGTATTCTGCTGGATAAAAAAGGGTAAATATATTTGTAAATTTTCACAAAAACACAATGTACATAGTCTATCAATCAATTTCATATCTATTGATAAACAATGAATCCTCAAGGTCTCTTCTGGGTAGTCTTGTCTAGCTATTACTCCGATGGGGACCACATGTGTGTCTTGAAAGAAGAGTGCTTACATATGCATTCATCTTCATGATGTTGGCTGGTATTTTGACCCATTTCAAGTCCCTCCTGTAGTCCCCAGTTAGAGCTGGACAAGACTACCCAGATGTGAGAGACTTTAATATCTGTTCTTTTAGATATCAGTAGTTAAATATAAAACAGGTTCTAGAATGTAGGTAATATTATTCGTCAAATGACACCACATGACCGTGTATCATTCCTTCTTACCCAGCCTACTGTGCGAAACAGTTCCTTTCAAAAAGTGATGCATAGCTGGGATGCGGGTATGTGTATATATATTTCACAGACGCGCACAAAATTGAGATGTGATGAAATGCAGGTAGTTACAAATACGTCATTGATGCGCACACTGAGATGAATTTTATACTATTAGGCTGTGCTTATGTACTGTGATGTCTTTCAAAGCAAATGGTGCCATCCCCATCCCCCCCCCCCCTCCCACCCAACTGTGCACTTTGTGACATCTTGATCTGGTTTTGTTGCTTATTTTTCAAACTAATATTCATATTGAAGAGAAAAAACAAATAAGCTCATGCATTATAGTGATATGCACTGAAATGGGTTAAGTCACAATGAGCCAGCAAAATTCTCTTTCATTAATTCTATTGTGACTAGACCTGCCTGCAGGACGTATTCACCATTGCACTCGTTTTCATGAATTACTTGTCTAGTTTGTTTCATAGACTACAATGTATTTTTTTGTAGTAAAGCCTGATAAATTATGTTTCTTTTTTAATCCAGCAAAAAAAGTAATTCTGTGAGGGAAAAAATGAATATACAAAGCTAGATGTAAATGCACATGTAAGCACTATTATCTTTGGAATTTGAAGTCTATATTACAGTACCGGTATATTGTTTTGTGTTGCTCTAGATATTATTTCACTCCTTGTGCCATTTTGTGATATTCATCTAATTGTTCTCCTTTGTAATTGAGAAGCCAGCTTCTCCTCTTTGAATGTGCTCAGTAAAAGGGGATTGAAAATATTACCTGTATTCAGATACTTTTCATATTCCCAATCCTATGTAAAGTCAAAACATGGTCTCCTAAATAAAGTTAGAATTTTGTTATCTGTCCAGTTAATACCTTAAGACTGGTTATCCTTCACCTGTATGCATTTATGTACACTAACCTTATGTAGGTATCCTTGTGTATCTCCCATGAATGCCACAGTATGTTGTCTCTCTATGGTTGTCACAATGGAGGTGCATATCACATCAGGAATGGTGAAGATGGGCGAAGCAGAGAGGGGAAATGTACCACTGGCATACCGGTAGAGAATCACAGGAGGATCTTCATCAATATAAGCTGTACACTGTGCTGTTTCTGGTGGAGTGTATGGGTCAGGAAACTGCCAAAAGAACATACATGTAAAGAGAGATAATGGTAATGAAAGTGTTACAATGGAGTTTGAAATATACAAATATTAACTGATGTGTCAGTTTGGAAGAACGGGTAACCATTCCACTGGTATAACAGTAAAGAGAAGCATTACTCTTCTTCGTAATAGGCTGCACTGGACTTTAACATCTAGAATGAATGCTTGAAATAATGGCCTGCTGTCTTCCTCTGGTAGGTGAGGTGGAGGTAGGTATATCATATCAAGTAAATTGGTGCTGGGTTAGGCAGAGAGGAGAAGCATTCCACTAGCATTCTTGTAGAGATTCCATATAAAGCCATCATCTTCATCATAAGCTGTACACTGGACTGAGTCTACCTGGTGAAGTGAAAGCAACTGACAGAAAAATTGAGAATATTCATAACATTTCATGGCACATAAACTTTATCATCTCCAATGAGAGTCATCATCAGTGGTGATGATGGATGAGGCAAAGAGTGAAAATATTCCACTAGCAGATATACCAGTTAAAATGTAGCAATAAATGTAATCTTCTATGTAACGTAGTATTTTGCAAGATATTATTTTCACAGATTTTTTGACTTGTTGTATATAGCAAGTCAATATAAGCGAGGGATGACTGCCCAAATTTGTACTGTGAGGAGCCTGGGTTAAAATGTCTGTGTCAATATCATCCAGGAAAAATATTTGTATGCAAATAAATTGCCTGATTCCCTGCATTTAGAGTTTAATAGAAGTAAGAAATCAGAGCCTGGCAGAGGAAAAGCTTCAAGATTTGGCCCCAAATACCGGTAAAAATAGGTTTTACACTTGCTCATTTAGCTTGCAACAGAGAGAAATATTTCTTCCGCTTTGAACCCCCCCCCCCCCCCCCCAAAAAAAAAAAAATGAAAAGGATTTTATTTGCATTTACATGAAATTGGATTACCGGTACATCTTACTTGTAAACCAATTTATTTGGTAATCCAAAACTCTTGAAAATGTAAGGTTGAGTGTTACCCTTTCTCATTTCAGATTGATATTTTTCATTTCATGTACAAGTTCAGTTCATGAACATCTCATAATAATACTACAAAATTTACTACAAATATAATTTTCAGTCAATATTCCATTTAAAAAAAACAAGAAATCAATATCCTGTTCCATCTTGCATCTACACAAGTACAGTGTACGTATATCAGGCGCGGATCCACGGGCCTAATTCTTCCGGCCCGGCTATGGCAAGCCCTTTGTGTAAAAACTAGATAAACTCTGTTTTTCTCAGATAAACTCCGTTTTTCTCAGATAAACTCTGTTTTTCTCAGATAAACTCAGTTTATCAACAGATAAACACAGTTTATCAGAAAAACAGAGTTTATCAGTTGATAAACTCAGTTTATCAGAAAAACTCAGTTCATCAGTTGATAAACTGAGTTTATCATTGATAAACACAGTTTTTCTGATAAACTGAGTTTATCTAGTTTTTACACAAAGGGGTTGCCATAGCCGGGCCGGAAGAATTAGGCCCGTGGATCCGCGCCTGTATATACATGTATATGTATGTACACCCGTATATTCAGGTATGTCATCTCAACTACAATGTGGATCTCACAATGTGATCCAGTCTGCTCATGTTGGACCAGCAAGATCCCAGTTAACTAAATCATTCAGTATCGAAAGAACTGATGGCCTTTTGTCTCTCTAAAACTCTAAAAACTGAATGCATCAGCTAGCTGGGATCCTACTGGTCCGATATGAGCAGACTAGATCACATTGTGAGATCTGCACTGTAAGATGTGTTTCATGTATTTATGGGCGTAGAGCATTTCAATATGCAGTCCCTCAACTATGGAACAAACTTCCTATTAATATTAAAGAACGTTCTTCTCTTGATATATTCAAGCCTCTGTTAAAGGCTTACCTTTTGCAAACGTAATTTGTTTGTACCATTCTTTATACAATACAATGTATTAGTTTCAGTTTGGATATTCATCATGATATTATGTTCTTATCATTTCATTTCTTCTGTACTCACTTCTTGAATTTTTTCTATTTCCACAGCGCTTAGAAACTTAATTGTCATTTGCGCTATATAAAAACTGAGTATTATTATTATTATTATTAATATTTAATTTTGACTTTTGATTTTGATTTTATGCAGGGGCCCCACTGAGTGAATGCATGGCTTGATGGGATTACCATGTTCAGATCATGTCAGGTCAGGTCAGATCAGATTAAATCAAATCAATTCAAAATATATAATCATTTACAATTATAAGAAATCATATCAAAGCAAAGCAAATCAAATAAACCCGCACTCTACTCAATCGAAGTACAATTAGGTGTGCACATCCAAGAACTACAGCAAACTCTGATGATCATGATAATACATATGCACATACCTTTTAATTGAATTGACTTACTGAGTTACAAAAGCTGTCTCCAAAGTAGACGTTTTTTGTTCCTAAGTCGTTTTTGTCTTCCTGGATACATCCCAAGACAGCATCTTCAAAGCTCTGCAGGACATCACTCATCTTATATATACAAAGAGCAGATGAACTCTCACTTGTGAATACAGCATACAGAAGGTCATCAGTACTCTCAATACTGAATGAGTCAGCTAGCTGGGATCCTGCTGGTCCAATATGAGCAGACTGGATCACATTGTAAATCCCATCGTGAGATTCACACTGTAGTTCTATCTCTGTGTAGGATTCAAAATCATCATCTAATGAATTACGACACAGTCTCCCCAAGTATACAGAATCTCCCCTTGAGATGAAATAGTAGAGATATTCCATGTAAGTGATCAAATGTTTACAAATTGCCTGTGTGGTAGAAGATGCAGGTGCTGATACCCGTTGTACAGGTCTCAGGTCTACAAGACTGTGCTTTGAGACAGATCGAATATTAGCATTAGCATCACTGCTCCCTGTAAATAAGTACAATCCACCATCTACAGTACCCTCACCATTGCTTACAAAGTCAGCACCTAAAAAAACAGCTCCAACATTGGGTGCATCTGATGTTGTCACAACACGCTGAATAGTACCAAAATCATATTTCACTACATCATGTGATATATTAGTCAGGCTTCTCGTCTCACAGTAACCATCACAGCTGCCACATGTGATGAGCTTATCCTCAGGTGATGGAGCTACAAGAAGAAGTTTATTGTTGTTGATATTAGAGCATTGTCCAGTATCCACAGAGTGTTTGAGAGTCAGGTCTGAGTTGAGTTGATAGAGTCTCTGTCGTGCTCCAATATAGACATCTCCAGTGATGTTGTTGATGGTGATGTGGTTGAATGGCAGGGTGGGGTCAGGACTCTTAAAGGATGATACCAGGTAGGAGGAGAGAGGAGCTGAGTAGATGGTCTGGGTCAGGCAGATGAAGAGGACAGTGAGAACAGGCAGAAACCCTCTCATCTTTAAGAAGTGCACCCCAGCCATGATTGATGAAGTTTCCAGGAGTGATACTTCTTTTCTGTTAAGGGTAAAAGCAAGAAATAACTGTCAGGACAGATGTGAATGCAATATGTGCATTTTGCCAATACAGATAAAAACATGCTCAAATGACGATAACTGAAATCCCCTACAACAGGTACTTGTAAAGTTAAGATATGAAAACAGAATTCAAATTCAAAATTCAAATTCAAAGTTTATTCAACACTCTTCATAAAAACATTTAAAACATACAAATACAGAATGGAGTTATAAATATAAAAAAACACAGAAAGTGATAACAAATACAATGGCAATTTATAAGAGCATTTGGGATAGGCAGAAAGGAGGGAAGTTCCTTATATAAAAGCCTACCCCTAAAAACACACATACATGAAAACGAGAACAAAAGAATAGAACAAAAAAACAAAGAACATATTAAAACTTACTATCATGCACGATCAGAGTATATAAGAAAATGTCAAAAATTTGCCCATACTATTGATACTGATTATTATACTTGTTTAACAGAAATTGTTTATATTTAATTTTACAAAGATTGAGAGTTTTGCATTTTTTTATTTCCTGAGGTATACTATTCCATATTAATGGTCCTTTAAAAAATAGTTAATTTTTCATACAAGTCGTTCTAATCTTGGGGAGGTGATAATTTAGGGCATTTCTGGTATTAAAATTATGCACATCACAATTCAAGTTAAAACATGTTGATAAAAAGGTAGGCAAGTTGCCATTAAAACATGAAAACTGCAATATAAAAATTATGCATATCGATTACATTCAAAATTCCAAGTTTACAAAATAAAGGATTACAGTGAGCATAATATTGGGAATGAGTTATAATGCTTATTGCTTTCTTTTGAAGCTTACAGTAAAGGTAAAGACCAGTAATGGTCATGCGATTGCATTGTGAAAGAAACGTTGTGGAATCGATCAGAAAAGGTTGATCATCTAGCATCTAGCATCTGCAAGGTTCTGGAATCATCAAAATGATAAGAAATTTGGCCCATTCTTCGTAAAGTTACAAGCACTATACACAGAAAGATGTATATGGGACTACCCTATATCTCTCACACGACCATGAGAGAAACAAATTTACCAAATATATGAATTAGTAGGCGGTTTCCCGGCAAATTTTTTATCATCATGTATTAGTCAAAACATATTCTTTCACATGATTGGTAATGAGAGCTTCCATTTCATTTTTTGAAATTGGGGCGTTTCCAATACTGGTCTTTACCTTTAAGTAACCTTAACATATCATTTTTATTAAAATTTGCCCATGCAACTTTACAGTAATTAAAATATGGTGTTATTAAAGTATCATACAACATTTTCAAAATATTTAAGGGATAAAAATGAACTTTATATAAAATACCAATATTTTTTGCTATTTTATTGCACACCACATTTATATGCTCATGCCACTTCAATTCATTATTAATTACAATACCTAAAAACTTAAGATTATCTACACGTTCAAAATTATGATCATTTACTCGTAAGTGCATGTTGTTAAAATCAATATTTCTATTTGTAAAAACCATAAACTTAGTTTTATCATAATTTAAAACCAATTTATTATATAAAAACCAATTAGAAAGTTTCAAAATTTCTTGCTTAAAAACATTTTGTAAAACCTGGACATCAGAATGAGACATAAAAACACTTATGTCATCAGCAAATAAAATAAACTTTAGTTTATCAGAAATATTGCACATGTCATTAACATAAATAATAAATAAAAGATGGTCCAAGGATGGATCCTTGAGGCACTCCACATCTAAGTTTTTCAATATTAGATTTATCTTTATTTATTTGTACAAATTGGGTTCTATTTTCTAAATATCTTTCAAACCATTTTAAAGTTACTCCACGAATACCATAATAATATAATTTTTTCAATAAAATAGTGTGGTCTAATGTATCAAATGCTTTACTTAAATCTAAAAAAAGGCCCATTAAGATATGATTATTTTCAAAAGTTTTCAAAACATTATAAATAAAATGCATAATTGCATTAGATCGTCCTTGTTTTCACGAAGTGACGGTAGAGAGGAAAATCGTAACGCAAAGTGAATGCAATTTTTTTTCACTACCGTCACTTCGTGAAAACAGCGACGAGATGTAGAGTGCCCAGGTCTAAAACCATATTGACATTCAGTGATAATATTACACTTATTTAAAAACATAAAAAGTCGATTATAAACAGCTCTTTCTAAAATCTTGGAGAAAACAGGGAGTATAGATATAGGTCGATAATTAGAAACATTTTCTTTAGTGCCATTTTTAAAAACAGGAATAACCTTTGCAAGTTTTAATTGCTCTGGTACTATACCTGCAGATAAAGAAATATTGAATATTGCACTTAAAGGACATGATATAATATGAACAACTTTTTTCAATAATTTAACACTTACATCATCATGACCACAACTCTTATTATTTTTTAATTTACTTACAATATTGATTATTTCTGTGGGGGTAATGGGATTAAAAAAAGCTGTACATGAATTAAAATCAATATTACTATAAATGTCATCATTACTAAAATCATTATCTATGTTGTTGTCTAAATTATCAGTTAAACTAGGTCCTATATTAATAAAAAAATTATTAAAAACAGAGCATATTTCTTTCTTATCACATATAGCTTGATCATTACACATAACCGAGTCGGGCATATTATGCTTACTCGTACTCTTACCGAGACTTTCATTGATTAATTTCCATGTTTTCCGTATGTTTCCTGATGCATTTCTAAATTTGGCCTTAAAATATTCTATTTTAGCTTTTTTAATTTTACCATTCACCATATTTCTATATTAGTTGTATTTATCTTTTTTATATTCAATTGGATCTTTCAAGTACTTCTTATATAATTCACACGTTTTTTTGCACATTTTGCGTAACTCTTTAGTAAACCATCGGTTATTATATTTTTTACTCTTTACACATTTTTTCAAAGGAAAACATTTATTAAAAATACAAACATACTGTCTTAAAAAACATTCATAACTATAATTTGGATCATTAGAACATAAAGTCCAATCAGAGTTATATATTTCATGCATAAATTTTCCAATATTTTCCTCATTTAGATCACGTAAAACAAAATTATTTTCTTCATTTTGTATGCACTGTTTTTTATTGATTAAAAATACTGGCAAATGGTCACTTACATGTACGTCACTTAAAATTGTTCCACACCAAACTTCTTCTAAATTGTTTGTAAAAATATTATCAATTAAAGTACAAGACCTGTCAGTTATTCGGGTTGGACAATGAATCATGGGATATAAAAAATGAGTCATCAATAATTCTAAAAAATCATTAACAGATTGGCAAGAGTTAACGTCAAATAAATTAATATTAAAATCGCCCATAAGATATATGTCTTTATTTTCCTTATGAACAACATTTAAAGTATCTTCTAAAATATCTAAAAACGATTGCACTGGTTGATTTGGAGGCCGGTAAATAACACCAATTAAAACATTTTTCTTTACCTTTTTTCAATTTCTATAAACATTGACTCAAAACATTCATTATTTACATCTAAATCCTTACGTTGTTTATATTTCAATTTCTCATTTAATAAAAGTCCTACACCTCCTCCTTTCTTACCTTGTCTTACATTCAATACAAAAATATAATTATTAAAATTGTAGAATGGGTCAGCCTCTTTAATCCAAATTTCAGTAAAACCAATTGCAGAAAATTGCACATCAATAGCATCTAAAAGCGAACATATTGCACTATAATTCTTATTTAAACTACGAAAATTTATATGAAGGTAACTTGATGTAAAATATACTTTAGAATGAGAATTAAAAGTGTTTAAACATGAATTAAATTCCTCGGACGTATAACAAAAACTATTTGGTCCATATTCTTCATCCTCCCCTGTAGTTGGACTCAATAACTGATGTATATCTTGGGGTTCTATAGGCATCTATATTTCACATTTATTCCGATCATTTTCACTGGCATTTTGACATAAAAAATAAAGAGAAAATAGAGAAACGTGTACATGACACAGATAATATAAACGAACATACAAAACTAAGGTTACGAAACCAAAGCCTAAAACACACACAATTAAAACTAGGACTTAAAACCAATAACTTAAAACAGTTCTACAACTTAAACAAACTACACAAAAGTTCAGAGATTTCAAATATTGTTGAAATAGAAGAACAATTCATAAATGGAAGAAAAAAATAACTAAAAAATACAATACGAAATATTAAAAGCAAATCAGGACTAATTTAGTCAATTGTGGGGAAAATGCTAGTCAAATTAGTGGAATGTATCATCGCATGCATGTGTCCATTGCTTTATTATGGTAGTTTGTTCAAATCATGTATGTTCCGTATGACCTTTTTTGTAGTTTTTCCTCTCGTAGCGGCAATCAAAACTATCACGTGACCATCTGATGTCCAGGCTTCTTTGACCTTTTCGTGATGCTTGGCTTTCCACAAAAGATCTAGGTTGTATGCCATTAGTGCTTCATCAATAGCTAAGCCAGATCCCTTCAGTTTGCGTCTAGCGTGAAGAACAGCTGACCGCTTCCGATAGGAGCAAAACTTCACTATTATCGCTCTCGGCTTTTTCTTCCTGATTGTAGCGCCATCCGCGGTAGTAGTAGTTGATGCATCTCCGCTCTTCGACGAGCTGCTTTGCACCCTGGGTGAGACACGATGAGATCTGTCAATCTCCTCCGTGGACAATTGAACGCCTAATCGCTCAGACACAGATCTGACCATCCGTATTCTCATCTGTCTTTTCAGGAATGCCGTAGAATTTTAAGCAGTTTCTTCTTGAATACTGCTCCATGTCATTCACAGAAAGTTGGAGGTTGTTGAGAGTTGTTGCTTGGGTGGAGATCATACTATTCAATTGCTTGATTTCATTTACTTTGGCCTGGACGTTGGCTTCTAAGTCCATTATTCTTCCATCGTTGATCTCTAGTCGTTCTGTTGTAGCAGTATTACTTTCCTCCAATCCCTCAATCCGATCAAATAACTTTTTCAATTGTCTGTCGATTGCCTTTTCCACTGCTGAATCAATTGCTTTGAAAAAGGCATTGCTTTTTAGGTAATCCTGCACTGCTTGAATAATCGTGGTCTCAACCTTTTGTTCTTTTTGATCCAATTTGGCTTTAGCTTTCGATCTGGTTGTGGCGAGGGGGCTCGCCATTTTGAAAGTATGAATGATGGCAATATAATAACAAATGTTTGATTTACTGATTATAAGTCTGTTTGGTATATCGTATTTCAATCACAAACGCATATTCAAGTTCAGGATCGAAAGAATATATAGGCCTATACTATCAACAATGTGTGCAATACAAGAATAACAAGTTATTCAGTTTCCACCAAGATGAATATAATATAGCCGGTCATAACGGATGAAATATGCCTCGTTACATGAAATGATACATTCCGATAGAGTAAGGCTCTTAAATGTTATGACATATCCATCGTTTAAAGCGATGTTGAGTTCAATGTATCAAAGTTACCTTCCGTGGGATGATCGCTATATGACCGATCCAGTTGTATGCTGACAGGAGTACATGGGACTACGCAGTTCTTCGGTGTACTGTGGTATATAGTAATCAAGTTGTCCAAATCTCCTTCAAATGTTAGTCACTGAAAATTGTTCCAATTTCAAATGTTCAATAAATGTTCAATAAAGCTCACAAAGTCCTCCAAGTGATAAAGTCCAATTAAAAGATAGGAATTTTAAGAAATTTTTGATAAATCATGACCACCCTCACTATGCGTGTCTCTTTCCTTATTGTATGAGCCTGTATGAAGACAGTATCCGAATTCCAAAAACGGCTTTCAGGTTTTCATTTATGCCACTAATTATGAAATGTCCTGCAATATATTGTATATACAAATCCATTATCACTGCAACCAATGCTCTTCAAAGTACACACTTCACTAATTTCAATTCAAATGAGGTTTTATTCAAGACTTGTCAAAAAGTCCAAAGACTAAAAATGCAAGTTTACATCAAACATACAATCATATAAAAAAGCATTCAAAAACATAAATATATGTAAAGAAAAAAATAGCAAATGGGAAAATATATCAAAATAAATAAATGTTTACATCAAAACAACAAAGCAGTAACAAAACAAAAAAACAAAAAAAGGTACAATAAAATACAAAATATAAAATATTGCCATATATGTCATAGACAAATAAAATGTATCAATTCTAACAACCCTGGGTTCCCAAATCCATAATTCGGTTAATCAATGTTATAGACACTTATGTCTGTGACATACAATTTACATGTATGTACATACAGCATGTAGAATGTATATATTGTCAGTGGGGTGACAAAACCTTGTATCTCAAAAATCATGAATTTTCAGGAGTGCGGAAAATCTTTCCTGTCTCAACAAATTTAGTGCTGTGACACCGTCCTTTCTTTTTAGAACTGGAATATTTATACAATTTTTAATGTCATTGTTGAAATACAGTAAAATAATTGTTCTTTTTTCTAAAGTGAGTTACGAGGTCTTTGCGTTTATCTACATTGCGATACGAGTTTTTAGTTTTTATTCAAATTGAGATACAAGTTCTTACTTTCAACTCTGAATGAGTTACGAGGATTTGCATACACTAACTTCAGTACTGTTAGGCCATGTGTGAGTTACAAGGAAAAGAAATTACGTATCTTATGTTACGAGGTTTTGTCAGTGCAGCTTCAAAGGGGGTTAAAATTATGAGGTTTAGTTTAAGGGTGTTTGTGTGGAATTTGTGAAAAAAACGAGAAGGAGGCGTTCCATGGATTTATCAGGTGGTGTCGTAGGCCATTAGGTACAAAATTATGCAAAAAAATCAAAATCTCAAAAAATTGAGATACGAGGTTTTGTCACCCCACAGACGATATACCATACTCTATACATGATTCTATTCCAACATACATGTTTTTAAAATGCAGTTATTTCAATAAAATGTCTCGTTAATACAAGACATTTACAAATCAAAACGTCATTACATTTTTTGTCAATATCATATATAAAGTAGTTTTTCCCAGCCCAAAGCTTGAAATTTATTAGTCATGGTTTTATTTTTTCTCTAAAAATAATTATGATGAAACTACATGTAGTACAAATGCAACAACATAGCATTAAAAGTCAATGCAGTACTGTATGGAAGAATTTACCGGTAAGTGTATCTGTACAGCACCTTAACAGACATTAATTAAGCACTTTATAATTCCAGATGTAAGAAGGTGTTATTGGTGATAACTATTTAAAACTCACCAATATTATTTTACTCTCTTTCTGTGAGTCCTTCTGCTGTTCAAAATCACCTGATAACAAAATAAGTAGAAAAAGGTAAATGTTGCATTTTAGAAGCTTATTGCTAATTTCAACAGCAATATTTGACAACTCATCAATGATATAATGGAGAGTTATCAGGTAAACTACAGTATGAACTGTTTCTACTTCACAATTTGCTTTCATGCAGTCAGAAGGGGTTCTCATAGGGCGACTCCTGAAACGGTATCATGGTTAAAGAGAAGGTTCATTGAATTTAAACTTGACTGAATTTGGTATCATTGCAATCGAAAAATTACACTGAGTAAAATTATTAAATTTGTGTAACTTGTAAATTCGAGCAAAAATTATAAAAGTTGATTAAACTTGATGAAAAATCAACCCACTCAAGATCCCGAAAACATCGTAATTCAGGAGACTTTTCAGTGACGTCACAATATGAACGATGGGTCGCTCAGCTGAAATGATTGACGACGGTGCGCGATGCAGTTTGCGTTCAATTCACATGTATTGCATTGACTCTTGAGCACATATACCCATTGATACCCAACGTTATTTACCTTCATCAAAATCCCCTGGAAATATCGATTTGGACGAAAACATACTTGATTTTAGTTTTGAGGAGATAAAAGGAGGAGATAAAAGAAGGAAGTACCTCGGACAGCAACAACGACAATGGAGATTTTGGAGGTCTCTACTCTAGACTATAAATAAATTTCATAACTTCAAAATAGCAAATGGATAAAATGTTGAAGTAGGTTCAAGTATACCGTTCGTCTGTCTCTGCTACGTACATAAGTATTTATATACAACCTGCCTGAATTGCATCGCTTTTTACGGAATTCATTTTTATGGAATTTCCTCCTAAACTCATTACGTTATATATCCAATATTGAAACATTCATATCTGAACTCAAAACTCATCTTTTCAAATTAGCACATCAATAGTATATAAATAGTATATAAGGATAAACAATGTTATAATTTTTCTCTTTGTTAACACTTCTTTGTTTACTATATATGTTTCTGCTTTATCTTCTTTTTATGATCGTGTTATACTTTATATAATTATGTATATTGTAAAAATGTAAAGCGCATTGAAATGTCAACAGACATAAAATGCTCTATAAAAGAACAAGTTATTATTATTATATTATCAAGCGCAGCTTTCTTGTCGTAGCCAGCCTAGCCGGCACTCGAGCTAGCTGTGTATCGTGAACCAGACTGATCTAAGTCTTCTCTCAGTTTCCCCTTTCCCCATTTATCTGGTACTATGACTTGATTTATTAAAAATCTAAATTAATCGTCCTAATCTGACATTTTCCTAATGAATATCTTGACAATTTTATGTCAATTTGTCGCCTACTATTTTGTTCCAGAAGAGTCGTTAGGTCAGCATGCAAAATGTCCTCTGCACTCCCAGATCAGACTCATACACCCTCGGAATTAAGTGATTATTTTTTTAATTTTCATGCTCAAATGTGACAGAAAATAACATAAAAATCAGACAAACATTTGTAGAAAGTTTTTTCATCGGCGTGTCCCATTAAAAATGCCAAAAATAAAGGAAATATCACCACTGGCATCTGGCAGTAAATATACAAACAATGTTAACCCATTTCTAAAAATTGCAATGGGTATCCAACATTGTCCTGAATATGTGATACAACTGTAGGTTGTTCATACTGTGACGTCACCTTGTCACATGTAAATAACGCCGTTATTCCACTTTATGAGTGGGTTCTGGAAAGAGTAATTTATTCCTCACAATAGTGAGGGCTTAAAAAATGCTTTACTCGTTTTGTTAATGTTCTCAGCAATCTGCAGAGGTATAATTTGCCCGTTTTCCAAATTTCAATTAATGACCTTTCTCTTTAAGTCTAAGCTATTTTGTCCCTTACATGTACATGTATGTCACCAATCACATCTAAGATTTCAGTATATCTGATGACTATGTCAAGCTGATAACCCAACCAGTGAGAGCTTGAACTATACTAAAGTCCGCTTAACACCAAATGAATGAAAATGATGTTTAAGTGGAAACTCAAAGAAAATCACAAACATGTCAACTAATTTATCACTAGAAACTGGTAAGCTAACAGATGGCTATCGTACAAAAAAAACATTCATAGTGTGAATAACATGTAAGGTACTTGTAAGTAGGAGGGAAGGGGTATTTTGATAAATATAATACTGTGTGGCTGGCAAAGAAATTTCAGAAACATTTCTTGCTCCCCTGGTCTATAAACCGTTTTGCAGACACATTCTTACTTTAAAAAACTTCTCAAAGGGCAAGTCCACTCCGAAAAAAATCTTACCTTCAATAGAAGCGGAAAATTCAGAACAAACAAATCAAAACAAATTTGAGCAAAATCAGAAAAACTAATAAGAAAGTTATGAATTTGTAATGACATGAAAACTTTGAAAATCACAAGACAATTTGGCAACTCACTCATGAGTCTGTGACGTCATTGCCTCATTAACCACTAATTGATTTATTTATATTGATAATATAAATTTCCAATTTTTCCCCTAAAAAGGCATTTCCTCACACCAGCATCCAAGTTATATTAATAGTAATATGATTTTGTTTGGATGCACTAATATAGAGTAATTCTTTTCAGTTAAATTATGAAAAATGGATTTTGATAAACTATTTATATAAAAATTAATGATTATGGATATACAATATTCAGAATATAGTATCAATTCTTCAAAGTTCATAAAAGATTTTGTGAAATGTCATGCACACACTATGATACAAATCATATAAGATGGGTAAAGGCATGGGAAAATCAATTTTTCGGGATTAAAAGGGAAATTAATGGGAGTAAAATATATCAAGCAGTTGATAAATAGTGAGGCAACGACGACACAAACTGATGCCCAAATTGGCAATTTTTGTAGTGATTTTCTAATTTTCATAGTTTTTCATACTTAAACAAAATTCATAACTTCCTTATTAGTTATCTGATTTTACACATTTTCTTTTTTGCTCTGTTTCTCTTGTTTTTCTGCATCTATAGAAAGCAAATTATTTTTGGAGTGGACTTAGCCTTTCCTTCACTGATGATGGTTAATATCTCACTAATTAATTGTTGAATGATCAGATAAAAGTTCAATATATCATAAAGTACTGTGGCCCAATTTCCCCCACATATTGTATGCACTGAGGGTTGAACAAATATTGGGAAAACTTTTCATCAAGAATGGTGCAGTTCCTTTTTCTTCTCCCCCTTACATTCATGATATTTAAAGAGGAAGTCCAATCCTACATTTAATTTTATTGCTGTTGATAAAGGAATAGATTTGTTTCGTACAGGGTCAGGGAGTGTGTAAAAACATATGTGTATAATGATTATATCTCTGGTGCATATATATATATATATATAAATATTGTCCTTCTAAAGAGATATTAGAAATTTCTGGATTTCTTTTTTAAAAGGAAAACGGTCAGGTCCTCAAAAGAAATGTAATATAGCTGCTTCTGTTAAAACGAATCTAAGATCATATACTAATCAAATACCTAATATTCATACCAGTTTTATTAGACTCTTGTTTAACCCATCTGATGTTGATCGACATGTTGTTGATGTTGCTGTTTTCTTCAACCCTCCCTAAGATTATTTGAACTCCTCAAACTTTGAAATGGAGTAAGCTGTTGCACTTAAACATATAAGAATGTGCCTAACGAATGCGCCTCTATGATAATCTTACAATATCTTCCACCATATTTAATACAGCTATACAGAGTTCTTAAAATCTGCTTCATGTCACAATGCTCAAGACCATGCATATAAGTCACAGTGCTTCAATAGACTCCTTATTTCAAATCCCCTTTTCTCGAAAGTAAAATTTGTTTGGGGTTGAACTTTCTCTCTCTTTTTAATTTCACTGAGTAAGGAAGATCCAATTCTGATGGTCTTGTTACCATTAAAGCTGACAATCTCTTCATTTGGTGACTCTTTATTTTGTGGTGCCACAAATGCAATACAGGGTACATACATATGTATGTTTTATCAAACAGCACAATAACACTCAGATTGACATTAAATATTACACTGTGCTGTGGATTCATTGGTAGCTAGGCCGGCAGCAATCCAAAAAATTACAAATGTCACCTCTCTCTGTATATCAACACTTCTGTGTGCTACAAAAAAAAAACATTAAGGAGCTGCATATAGTTCCAAGCCTTAGCTACATGTACTAGTAGGATGAACACTTATACTCACAGAATATATATTGACTTGAGTCATGAAATAAAAACACCGATCCGACTAGTTAGTGCAGTAGGCCCATATCAAGCATCTCTAAAGACATACAAATGTAGTGTGCACATATGGATTTAGGTTCCAAAGGTCTCATGAACAAATACAAAATGTAGACAGTTTAAAAACTTGTTGACACCCCTCATCTACTCCTCATACATGTAGTACCTTCTTATCACCAGGAACCAACAGAGCACTGTAAGACAAGAAGGGATTTCCCCTGATGTCATCCTGCAGGAACTAGTAGAGAATGGTATAGACTACATGTACATGGCTGTATGCACTGCAGTACTCTGCATTGTATCTGTGGTGGTGCAGAATACTTTGAAAAGAATTCTTTTTCAACTGAGTCACAGACTCACCCATTCACTCAGACAACAAAAGACTCAAGTTACATCAATAGCGATTAAATCAATGGTCAAGGGGATTTCCCACCCCCACACATGTAATATGTATGGATGTGTGGGAGTGTCCTGCTGTGATTGTATCACTCTCCAAAATACAACCAGCAGTGCATGCTAACCTGCGACCAAACATATTTGAAAAGTCATGATATATATTGACTTACCTACATGTACAATCCTTACAGTGTAAACCTGTGCATGAAGAAGATTTCACAACAGGCAAATGAGTTGTTACATTGAGCTAGTACAAATTCACCCTAGCGCACCGATGAACACAAACATTGAACTGCATACATGTGTATCGTCTGCTAGAGAATGGTAGTCTGTGAGTCAGCACACTGGGTGATTCCATCACATACA